AAAAAGAAAAGTTTAAAGTGGTAGCGCATGTAACATACCACACGTATATAATATTGTAGTGATATATTTTGATATATTTCTAATGGCATTGATATTCCTAATCTTTCGCGGACTATATATGTACACCTGTACTTCGTATACTGTATCATTATTGCATTTGTTGAATAAATTATCTTGTAACACTTATACACGTTGATATTATTTTGCCCTATGCGAATATCCCAGAGTACGAATGAGTTCTGTCTCTCTCTTACTCTCCTCCGTCCTAACTGCATCCTTCACCTACTCCTAATATAGTTTGAAATTCAGTTCTCGAAATTGCACCTCTGGGAGGCTGTATCTCGAAAACGGCTGGGTTTAGGGCTTTTTCCTTGAAATTTTGAAAGATTCCTTAATGCAAAAAGTTAGAATGGTCCATAGAAGAGGCTGCTACAGGTTAGATTGCGATAGGGCCACTTTCAAAAAATTGCTTTACTTTTTGGTACTCGCACACATCTTTTTGAATTTTGAAATTATCAGGCATTCATAGTAAAGAATTTCCATTAGTTCGAATTTTCGCCGATAAGAGGGCAGCACCTCCTGGGCATGATATGTGGCGCCATCTCTGAGAGAAAGAGTGAACTTTCTCCGATAAAATAATTCCGAAGTCAATTTAAAAATCCCATCGTCGAAATTTCAATGAGTAAATCTTATTAAAGAATTCGCATTAGTTCGAATTTTCCCCGATAAGAGGGCAGCACCTCCTGGGCATGATATGTGGCGCCATCTCTGAGAGAACGAGTGAACTTTCACCAATAAAATAATTCCGAAAGTAATTCGAAATTCAGCTGTATCACGCTGGTACAGATAAAACTGCGATAGGGCACTTTCAAAAAATCCCTTTACTTTTTGCAACTTGCAGATGAAATGAAAGTAATGGCAGAGAAAATGCAGCATAGCCGAGAAGACGTGTAGAAGCATAAGGTTGGAGGAGAAGGAGAAGGATGTTGTTAGGACGGAGGAGTGTAAGAGAGAGTCAGAACTCATTCTTACTCTGGGATATTCGCATAGGGCAAAAGAATATCAACGTGTATAAGTGTTTAAAGATAATTTATTCGACAAACGTAATAATGATACAGTATAAAAAGTGCAGACATACATACAGACATACAAAGTACATAGTATACAAAGTGCAGACATGAATACAGACATACACATACAGCCCGCGAAAGATTTGTAATAACAGTACCATTAAAGATATATTACATATATCACTGCAATATAATATACGTGTGGTATGTTACATACACTACCACTTTAAACTTTTCTTTTTCCAAAAGACATTTTAAAAACTTAGTTTTTAAGAATATACTAGGAGGAGAGTGATGGAAATATAGGAAGGAATAGGAGATTCAAAAAGTGTATAAGTGTTACAAGATAATTTATTCGACAAATGCAATAATGATACAGTATACGTATATAGTATATGGCTTGCGAAAGATTAACAATAACAGTACCAGTACAAATATACTACATATATCACTGGAATATAATATACGCGTGGTATGTTACATACGCTACCACTTTAAACTTTTCTTTTTCCAAAAGACATTTTAAAAACTTAGTTTTTAAGAATATACTAGGAGGAGAGTGATGGAAATATAGGAAGGAATAGGAGATTCAAAAAGTGTATAAGTGTTACAAGATAATTTATTCGACAAATGCAATAATGATACAGTATACGTATATAGTATATGGCTTGCGAAAGATTAACAATAACAGTACCAGTACAAATATACTACATATATCACTGGAATATAATATACGCGTGGTATGTTACATACGCTACCACTTTAAACTTTTCTTTTTCCAAAAGACATTTTAAAAACTTAGTTTTTAAGAATATACTAGGAGGAGAGTGATGGAAATATAGGAAGGAATAGGAGATTCAAAAAGTGTATAAGTGTTACAAGATAATTTATTCGACAAATGCAATAATGATACAGTATACGTATATAGTAGATTATTCTGGAGGAACGAGAAAAGAGAACAATGAGAAAAGTAGGAAAAGTAGGAAGTATGAGGGAGCGAAATGGGCCCCACCCCGCCCATTTCCGTGAGGTCCTACCTCTCCACAATGGAGCTACGACCCCTCCGAAGCCCCATAGGGGACCGTGTTTTTTTTTGTTTTTTTTTGAGGAAAACCCCCGAGTCCTGCGGCTTTCGCGCACAGGACTAGGGGGGAAAAACCTCAGGAAGGGAAGGAAGTCGGGTCGAGGGACAAGAAAAACGCACAAGGGGGTAAGGTGAAGTTAAACGCGAAGAAGCTAAGATGAGTTAAACGCGAAAGGGACAAGTTAAACGCGAAAGGTCTGCCCTTAGTCAAGATTCACCGCAACGAAAGACCGCGGGCGTAGCACCCAGCGAACCCTTGCGGGCACGCCGGGACATCCGGAAGGACGATATTTAACGCTACAACCTCCGTCCCTTCCCACGGGCGAGCCCAGTGGGTTAGACGTAAGGAGCCACGCCCGCCGCCGGCGGCGGGCCCCGTTAGCCATCGATCCCCGCGCAAAATGTCTCCGACAGAGGGTGACTTTATACTAGCGGGTGCTCAATAGCACCCGCACCTATCCCAAGTGAAGTGACCCCCAAGCACAAGCACAAGTAGGACTTTACCCAAAGTCAACGGACTACCCCTCCGACCTCCCCACGGACAAATAGGATCGTCTCTACCCACACAAGTGCCCAAGGGTCAAGACATGTTGGGACGTTTTTAGCAAAGCGAACAAATGATACTAAATACGCGAGAGCTAGACACCTGGCTAGATTCACTATACGAAAGACCATGGCCGTAGATACCCTAAGGGGGCTCAAGGCCCCCGCGGGAGACCCATAAGGTCCTGTTGCGGCCACAACTTGGGCCACCAACCACTGAGCAAGCTCAGCGGAAGAGGCGGAAGGGCAACCCCCGACACCATGGTCTTAAGTCTAGCTGCACTAACCGGATGACTACTCTTATATGACTACTTGAATTAAAATGCTCGACCCGACCAAGGAAATAGGAAAAGTAAGACAAGCACAATGTAAAGAGGGAGTGAACAGAGTGAAACGAGAAGTTATAAAGGAAGATAAAATTTAAGAAGTTAAAAAATAGAAAAGTAATGATTGGTGGTATAAAAGTAGAGAAGAAATAAGGAAAGAGATAAATAAGAAAGTAAAGAATGAAATATAAAGAAGAAATAAATATAGGAAAAGTAAGACAAGCACAATGGAAAGTGAGAGGGAACAGAGTAAAACGAGAAGACAGAAAGGAAAATCGAAGTAAAGAAGTCAAATGTAGAAAAGTAAGGAATGGAGTTATAAAAGTAGAGAAGAAACGAGGAAAGAGATAAGTGAGAAAGTAAAGAATGAAGAATAAAGAAATAAATATAGGAAAAGAAGAAAGTTCGAAATGGGTACGAGAGGTAATTCCGAGAGACCAGTATAGGAGACCGGCTCGAGGAAGAATGAGCGCTTCGGGCCTGACTCGAGCGCTCCCCCCACCATCCGCCTGCTCCGGCTCACCGAGTTCTGCGCGACGAACATGCGCGCACACAATTTTGGGCAACTTCCAGTATTTCTAAATATGCTTCGCCAGAATTTCCGATTTCTAAGTGTTAATATTTTACTTTATTGATTTAATTATTTATTTTAATGTTCCAAACACCTGATTTATTAATATTTCAATTGGAACGTAATTTATTTTCGATATTCTACAATTTCAATTTAATTTTTATCTACTATCCGTATATTCTGCAAAATTTTGATTTAGCCTCAATTTTATATACCATATAAATTTGGAAAGTAAATCTAGATCCAATAATATTTAGTAGTATTCGGAAAGCTTTATTCAATGTTTCGAATTTTCAACATTTCTGTGCAACTAATTCTTTTCTTCTTCTTCTTCAATGTTTCAACAATAGGCTTTTTCAATAGTTCTTGAGAAGTTCCATAGTTTCCGGTTTCGTTCTAAGGGTTGCTTTGGGAACCAGCGGTGAATAGCGGAGAACCTCTGCCCACAAAGCTACGCGTCGTGTTCACGTTTAGCTCGGCTACGACGGGATTCGCATTGTCGACGGAGGCGATGATCACAAATTCCTACTTCCAGACTCGTCGCTACGATTCAGTGCTAAGATTTTGGTATTGCCTAAAACTGTAGAGTTGTGCATCTCCTTACTCATCTCTGGTACATGTGTAATTAATGTAAAATCGATTATATTGCGGTCAGAGTACAGATAAACTGCAGATAAAACTTTATTTACAAATTTTCAGGTTCGTGTCCGTGCTTAGGGTTCCAGAGCCCCGTAATTTTCCAGGCAAACGTGAAGTCCGCATGAAACAAGTAGAATGTATTAATATCAATGAAGTTCTGTGTCTACTTACCTACAATTAGTATTCTTTACTTTTCTCTACTACTACACTTACCTGTTGTATTATTCAATGCGGTAAATTGATCAGGTTCATAATAAAGAAAAGGACACTCGTGTAGTTTCTCGTGTTTACATAATAAAGATTAAATTTATACAATCCATTAGAATTTAATATAAATAGTATTACGATTACTGCAAGTTACAAGATAGAATTACAATATTCTTACACGTGTGATAAAAAATATTCGATTTTCTTCAGGCACTGTCTATATCATAACCTACTATATATACGTGTATTATTTACATTCATTTAAACGGAGTCATCTGAAAGGCGCGAAAGTTACGTCGATGTGAACGAATATGCTCAAGAAAAAAAAATATATCAAACCGTAAAAATCTGATTATGACCATTCTGTCGAGTGTTTAATCTAATTCGGAAAAAAAAAATCAAAATGATAAATAAAGAAATGAAGTTTAGGCTATTAAAAGCTCTACGGAATTATGTATGTACACCCTAAGTCTATCTAAAGTACGCTAGAGTTAAAGGCGCTTTCGTGCGACAATTCATGTGTCATTCATGTGTCGCCATACGGATTAGTAGAAGCGCAAGCTATTGTACGAAGATTATACTGTCCACGGAATTTTCGGAAAATTTTTTTCAATTAAATTGGACGCGCGGTCAACGAACGTTCGAATGACAGTCCTAACGAGGGTAACGTTACTATAAATATATAAGAACGTAACTTTTAAACACTATATATATAACGATCCAGTGTACCGTAGACGCCGAATCACTTGTCTTTTTTTTTCATAGTCGATTTTGCGAAAAACGAATATACGTGAGACAGTGTATCCCCTACGAACTGTCTAAACTTATGTACACGTTACACAGTGTAACTGGCTATTATCGAAAGTACATAAATTCCTTTTTTTTTTAAATTTATTTAATCCCATGAAACAGTAACTATATAACATCTCATAGAAAGTATTATGATACATCTGTGACAGTGACGTGACAATTGCTCGTTCGTTTACGTGACCGTCGATCGCGCGCATCCTCTGTGATAAAAATAACAGTAACCGCGTGTTTGGTAAGGGGCGGAAGTATTTTTCGATTTTTAGCGTAAAAACGTTCTACAAGCTCGATACCCAGTACAGGTGCACGCACTGTGCACGGAACTAAATATGAAATTGGCACCACGAGGGAATCCCTGAGGCAAGTTATTTTCGGCTGTTTACAACGAAATCAATAATTTCTGCTATTTTTTCGGTATACAGAAAAATTCAGTTGAATTTTACGCTAATTGGTCGCGATCAATTTCGCAATACCCTACTCGGTACTGCGATGTAAGATTATTCATGGCCTTTACATACTCACTCGGTCCGGTAAATATTAACATAGGTATTTTGCGCTTTGACCATAAAAATGACATATATACACATTTTTCTCATCGAAGACTGCGAATACTGTCGTCCATCTCAGATGTACACATTTCTATAATACAGCAGCGTGGATCTCCACCCAAGAAATGTTCTCAACGTACGAGATAGCATTGGTACGAGAATATCTGTGACCGAGACGCACCCGGCGATTGTAACACGTGCGTGTCAGAGTACGAAGCGGCCATGTGTTTTTTTATTTTCAGAGCTCGGACTTGTCCTGCACAACTTCCTCGGAACAGTTTCTAAAGTGTGAAGAGAGAAAGAGAGAGAGAGAGAGAAGAGCGTCAGAGAAGTTTTTCTGTTTCTTAATGTTGGTTAAAAAAAATAAAAACACTAAGCACGAGCAACGAGAAATAGAAGTGAGGTTAATTTTATACATGTTAATGTGGCTGCGGCGCGATGAATGATTCTGTTACTGCGTATTGTTCGTGTCTGCTGATCGACAGAAGGACTCAAATAAGCGAATTATGATATTACATAAAAAGCACTTTTTAATCGGTGACACATTTTAGCCTAAATATCGTAATATTACTTTACAAAAGGACATTTCGACTCCGTTGCCGCTTCCGGTGCTTAACGCGCCTTTCTTTTTGCGCTCAGCGTAGCCATTGAATTGTCGCGTCAAGACCGGAAGCCAATAACGACGAAGTCCTCGGTATTATAATGATGGCATTAACAATAAATAATATAGACAATTATACAAAGTTAGGCACGAACATCGTTAACGTAAAAAATAGAGGAACACACGTGGATTGGGTTCCGCTAAGTAACCAACCGACCATTGTTTCCTTTGGAATATACACACCGTGCAGGTGGCGCCACTATCGCACGGAAACGATGGTCAGTTTTCAAGATGGACGGAGGAGCCTTAATGAATATCATATAACAAGGTAGAAAAGCGAGAGGAAGTTAATAACAAAATGGGATTGTTAGGTGGCTCCTCGATCCACACGATTATTCTCAGTCGTAGGTCGAAGGCCTCCGGGCCACGGTCGCAAATATTTTTATCTTTCTTTCACGGTCCTCCATGGTTTTTTTTTCTTTCGATTACATGAAAGCGATTAAAAATAATGATAAAAGATAACCGTACGAACTTGACACAGGCTTTTAAAAAATATAAATACATCCAACATCTAACGACACTTATCCCGTACCATACCGGTATAATAAATTAAAGTTTAATAAGTATAAGAATCTACTCGAATCACTGGTAATAAATTGGTAGTAAACACAAAAAGGATGTAAGTCTCTATATTAGTATTTAGAATCATTGTCATCGATAATTCGTACTGTTAGTAAGTTTAAGCCGATATTACTAAACTATTTGTTACCCGTGTACAAAAATCGTGGCACTGAATACTAAAAAGCTGTACAGTTAGCGCGACAATGGTACGTACAGTACAAGAACAATGAATTTCGTGTGGACGTAACAAAAGAAGTATAAGTTAATGAAGTAAAAAGAATGAACGAGTTACAAAAAAAAAAAAATAAAAGAAACGAAATGGTGGCACGTAATTTCTTACGAGTATAAATACGAACAAAAAAAAAAGCCAAGAGACCGTTCATAGTCGCGAACGTGGCCCGTTGCCAATAGAACAATGTAGTAAATACGACGTCGGCATACGAGAACGATGATATCCAAAAGCTTGGCGTTTTGTCGGTGGAAGCCTTTTGAGCAATGATAGCGAATGGTAATGATGTAGTTAGCGAGCTTTTAGAGACTTTTTTTGTCGAGTTACAACCTTCGTAGCGAGGCCATACTCAAGGAACTGCATTTCGCTTTGCGTGTCGGCTGAACCGACATTGGTGCCACCAGAACATCGTCCCTTGACGGAGATCCCGAGCCACCGTTGCCCAATTCCTGAAAGCACATGAGATTACCTATTCCAATCTGTCACAAAACCCCACACGTGCAATGTCCCGCGATGATAATTCTATTATTGATGATTGTACATGACACTGTCTGATCACTGAACACTGGAGATCGCCATAACATCTCCCAAACAAACGAAACTCCATGCAATCATATTGATCTACTTTGTAAGCCCATGATAGCTTTGTCTGGTTAATACGGTTAGGACTTTTTCCGTGAGAACCTTACCTGAAAGTTTGATACACTGTATAACAGAATTAATGAAACGTGCACGGGATACAAAAGATTTTGATGTAAACCGAGGACATGCACCCGATTACCCATTGATATGAAAAATTTACAAAGTCTTATGGTGATTCCCGAGATTACATGTTCCCAAGTGAAGGAATGACTGATTGAAATTTAAAAAAAAATAATGGAATACTTTAACTGATCCCTAAGCGTGTGGTGTTTTATCTAGTTATCAACACGAAACACTTTCAACCAGGGGAAACACTGCGCGACGTTGCATTCCTGAAAACAGTTATCCGCTTATTTTGATATTCCTTTTTTTTTGGGTTCATATATGAAAAACGTGTTTTCACGAGAGAAGACACGAATATCGATCTTGGTGCATTGTCCTCCGTTAGGATCAAAACGACGAAAAGCGATTTTAACGTGAAGTGTATTTACAGTAAACTCGTAAACGTACTTACGTGACATTCAGCGGAGCTCAATCCGTCTTAGTAAAGCATGAACAATTGACATTTGACGAGTTAACATTACATAAAGGATATAAAGAGAAAACATAGAACTACACAGTCCGTACTTGGACGTATTCAAGGAATTGAGAGAGTCAACGAATCACAAAAGAAAAGCATTAGACTGAATAGCGATAACGATAACTTTATTTAGTTATCCAATGCTTTAGTGGACGGTAACAAAAAGCGATGAAAAAATGCATACGTTGGAGAATTCAAAAAAAGAAATTAGTCCTACACTTGAGATTATACCCATAGCAAGCGAAACACGAGAATTCTCAGAGCCATCTGTGCGAAAAGTTGAGAATAGAGATAAAAATGTATTTTGCAAAATTAATTAAAGAGTTAATAGCGAGGGAGACCAAGGCGAAAATCTTCTGTCGTGAAACATGATACGGCATGGGATATATTAAAAGAAAAGAGATAGAAAGAAACGTTACTGCAAGCAAAGATCATGTGCATAGCAAATACTGTGCATTGTTGTCAACTAACGTTAATATTGTTGCAACTAGCCAATCGCATCTGGGCCAGTTGTTGACTGGCTGGCGTAAGACTATTCGTTGAGCCGAATGGCGACATCATGGTGGACATCGCGCGTTTCAATTTGCTTGGCGTTTTGTTGAAGCTGAAAGCTCGGCCGACTTTCATCCTGGTCCTAGATGCGAACCTAAACATGAAAACGTCACTGTATATATTTTAATTTGTTCTGGTTTCAAAACTTTGTTAATAATTGCGACGCTGAAATTCTTGTTATCACAAATTTGAAAAAAGTAAAATCAAATAACGAATTAAACGATTCCGTACTGAATTGTTCGTGTCTTTCTTAAAGAGACGTTTCGATCGACTGGAACTTGTTGTGAGAGCAAGAATTCATACAAACGAGGGGATATAGCAAGGTTAAGAGGAAAAAAAAATTGAAAATGCAAAATAAAACCAGTTCAAGCATACACCAATAAGTACATCGTGCCAAAGCCAGTAACTAAAACCAAAAATATCTACGTTAAAGACATTGCGTTACTTCTTAGGTTAGGTTAGTCCATAGTGGACTTTAACATGCAGTAAGATACGCCTTAGATAGAAAGCCGAATGACAGAATGTTATAATAATATCGTAGCATACTTTTTTTTTTTTGGAAAATAGAAAATAAATGATTGAAACGATCCGTTTCTTGCTTGAACTGGCCCCAAAAAAACCACCACTTTAAAAGCAATTTTGAACTAACTCGGTTAACTATAGACTATTTTCTCATTGTCTTCTATTACTCAATTGAGAATGAAGAAATTTTTCATTTTACTAAAAGCGGGTAAGGGATTTTTCAAGCAAGTAAAAAAAGTAATTAGCCTGGTGCGAAAACTGACGGTAGTGGGACATGTAATGTGGTTTCACACATGCTATTCAATAGGAACACATACGGGTCCATATACTCCAGGTAAAAATTATGAAATAGGCTCCTGCAACCAAACGGGTCGTTACCCCATTATTCTTTTGTTCATCACATGCGATACGGAAAAGAGAAGAAATAATCATTAAACATAAAAATAGAATACCGACATTTTCGAGGAACGTGTAAAGATTTATCGCTTGAACCACCAAATCTTTCAAAAATCCGTTCTTCGTTTATATATCAACAACAGAGAACGTTCGTCGAAATTCGTATAAAGTATAGATTTCTTTTTAATCAGGCTACTTTAATCTATTTTCAAATGCAATAGTTACACTAGTACTTACTTAAATGCTTTGCTCAATGTGCCTAATGCTATGTCGCTAGTATCAATCTCGAGTTGATTTGAATCGAGAGTGATTAGAAAAGTATCCTGAAACACAAAAATTAACAATTTACTCGTTGCGGAATGATTATGGCAATGAAGTTAATTATACCTTAAACGTTTCATATATTTCATGACTTACCGCGTCAGCCTTACAGACAGTATTAGCCATTTGTCGGCAAAGCGTCCTAAGATAATTTGTTTTATTGACCTCCTCGTCGGTTATCGTGAACGAGAACATCTTTTCCTTCAGTTCCTGGTTGCTGCGCACCATGAGGGCGAAGACTTTGTGGCATTCTGCAATAGTAGATGCATACAAAATATTGAATCAACCAACCTTATCTTGGTGCAGAAAACAAAATGTATAATAAAATTTCTTACCGTCAGTCTCACGGATATCCACGACCTTCTTGATCGTGCTCAACGACAGCATTCTGATATGTTTATACGGCTTTCCCTGGCTGAGTTTTGCAGAATGTAAACCGTTCGCCGTATTGGGGCTCTTCAAGGAGTTGAAGGCCTTCGAACGCTTCTTGCAGATTTCCAAAGTATCCGTGAATAGAAAGAGGACTAGATGATCGCCACGACCGCTGAGTGCCTCGCCCATTTCCATTACGTCGCACTTCCCAATGAATGAACGATGCGACGAGACCAAATGCGGAGGACAATTATCGATCTCATTAAAGATATCGAACATTACGAGTTGCCCTTCAGTTTTGCGCTTGTCTTCGTTAATATAAGTCATGACTTCCTTAATACTGCTGATCGACAGTTCCAGCGCGCTGTGGTCCGGGTTGTTTTTATTCGTGTGCTTAAGAATATCTTTAAGAAAATAACAAAGACCCGTCTAATTATACGTTCCTCGCTTTAATTAACCTCTACGTTAAATACAGGTCGTTTTAATTACCATTTAGCAATAAGCTAATACTGGGTAGCCTCTGGACAGGTTTGATCAACAGCTCCTTCAAGCTCTGCCGGCCGCACTCGGGCTTGGTTTGGCAAATTTTTAAAAAAGCATGAAACCGTGGTTTATTTTGGTCGCACTGGTCGAGCATCTCCTTTGTGTTTTCGAAAAAGTTCACGTACGGTGGATATGCCTTCACCAGATCCGGGGCGTATTTTAAAAAGATATTTCCAATGCTCACGTCCTCCGCCCAGCGAGACGCACTATAGCGAAGTTCCTCGAGCATCTTCTTGTGGACCTCGTAGATCGGCGGGAAGTTGCCAAAGATAATTTTTGCCTCTGTACTGTTTAGCAGTTCCCCGGTGGTTTCTATGAGATCTTCTAATGGCGACTTGAATAACTGAGTCCAGAAAAGACAAAATGAAGGTATCGTTCAACGTGAACCGATACGAATTCTTGTAATCTCGTTTTCTTCTGCTTTCTCAGTGTCATTCATATTCAGGGTAAACTTACCGTCATTATTGTACTCAGGATACCGACGTAGTTTGATTCCGTCTGTACGAGCTCCAGGAATACTTGATGTCGCGGTGACAGGTTCTTCCTCGATGTCTCTGTGTTAACAGCTTCTACTTCTGGAATATCTGCCGATTACCAAGAGTCCTGTTCACTGCTCGCGTCCCTCGTATGGTTGTTACGGTTAGTCGTTACACAAAAGTTATCAAGCTATTTTTCAACTTCGAGATGCTATAAATTCTCGAAGTTCTTGAGACGAGGTAAAATGCCATAAATAATTTTTCATTTCATATTGAATCACCGCGCGTTTCACTTATCAAATTATTATTAAGATTTCGAATAGAACTCGATAAGAAATACTATGTTAGTAAATACCTCATAAATTCTTTTGTGAAAAAAAAACCATAAAGGAGGAATGCGAGCCCGTTAATACTAGTTAGTATCTAAAAATTCAATATAAATTAAACTTATCGTTAAACCACCACCGCAGATAGTATTAGGTTCATGACGGTAGCGTTATATAATAAAAATTTGTGCAGTGCACAAATATTGATCGATGCGCGAGTAAATTATTAAACTCGTATCTCTGATCACAATCAATAACTTACCGTCCAGCAGTTGCTTATCAGGACTGGCTGTACAGTCAAGAAAACTTCCACTGACGCTCAGATGCCCGGCGTCGCTAATACTGGAACGCCTTTTATGAACTGCCGGGGAGTCAGCACCGTTTTGTACCAAACTCGACAGAGTTTCGGCCAGTCGTTTACGTTTCCGTCTCGTAGATGCTGTGCTAGGTGTCGCTGCCTGTTGACTATCTCTTCTGGCCGAAGCAGTGGGCGACAGCACAGATTCTAAGTACTGCATGGATGAATTCTAATTTGTAGAAAGCGCTTCTTCTTCCTTTGCGTATGTCATTATAATGGTATTCGGATAACTTACGTCTTCGAAAAGATATTCCTTCTCGTCAGCTGCGCCTTCATTTTGAACCGACGTCCAGAACCATTCAGCCTTTACTATGTGGGCCCGCACGGAGGCCAAGTCTGGTAGAGCATTTACATTAGACTCGTCCACGACCTATAATAATAGTATTGTATTGAGATTAACGGTAAATATTGTATAACAAACATTACAATCTGGACGTGAAACAATGGACATGATAAACTGTGACACATAATCCAAATGCAACAGGTTAGTTTATATATACGTTACTGTTCACAAACGGGTGGACGGTAAACAGTAATAATTACCCCTGACTATGAATTTTCACCAAAAACTATATTTACGATCGTAACCACACAACCACTAGAATAAATTGAACAGAACCAGAGCAAGAGTTTACAAATGTACTGCGCTATCGTTTCTTCTACATGAGATAAAAGTACTGTCGTTTAATTACAGAACTGTTCAATTTACTGCTAATTCCCTCACAATTAAATCCTTAAGTGATGAATTATAATACCACGATAAAAGATTTCTCCTGCGACTTCTTCGTCTTGTCGAATCCCGAAGTTTGATTTTGAGTTCTGTCCAAGGAAGTGGAAGCATTGCTGGTCTTTTTCGAATCGGTGGACATTCTGGCGATTTTAGCAGGGATTGACGCGGAATTGGACTGGGATCTTTTACCTTCAGGACTCATGTGCACATACTGTTTAGAATCCGACGTGTGATTAGTTTCGTCGGATTTAAAAATTTGCCTTAAAGCCGTACTGAAGTTTCTCTTGGTTCGCAAAATCGGCGAACCGTAAAGGAGTAAATCCTCCCGGTGTCTGCATAGATTCGGTTGCGAGAAAATCTTCACGGAACGTGTTTTATCGGGAGACGTGAATTTTGTGACAGCGAAACAGGACTTTGACCGTTTCCAAATAACGTATCGTCGCGGTGTTACTGCTTTTTTGTTCGATTGAATAGTTTTTGACGCAGGTGACTTATTCGTCTGATCATCTTTCGAATACTGTGACGTTATTACAGGCACCTTGCTTTCCGTCTGAATTAATTGACTAACCGGTAGCGACATGGATCTTACGTTTTTTAATTTTGACATTCTCAAATCGAAACTTCGACTAGGTTCCGATGTATCCACGTCCATTTTACTAGAGACTATAGATGCCAAATCCAATTCGGTGGATGTCACTATTAAACCGGAATTTGCAGAGCCCGAGTTAAGCGAGTTTAATCTAGAGCCAGTTATGTCCTGAGACATTCTTGTGGACGAGGAGATATTGACTCCGGAGTCATATTGATTTGAAAAACAATCGAACGGAAAGTCTGCGTCTTCGGATTTAGTGAAATCCATGGAAATGCCAGAGTCCAGGCTAAGATCCGAAGCAACGCTGAATCTGCGTGCAATATTGTCATTCGTATATCTCGAAATGTAAGGGTGATACTGAACCGATGCCGATCGAGAGATTGATCCTGAATGGTCTGAAGTTTTACTAGGGATTGTATTGGTATAAGGATCGTAAAACGTGAAGGTGAAGGGTTCAGTCTTTAAGGAATACATTCGAGATGGGATACGAGGTCCCATGTAATTCCCGACATCGCGGTACCGGTTGTCCGAATCGGTCACCTAAATAAATGTATTCGCAAAGTGTTGCTGTTAAACTGTCAGTGTATTCCAGTCAACCAAGTAAAGCGGTAAGTGTCTTTTTTACAAGGAAATCGTACACAAGGGAAGAGTAAACTGTTATACTTACCACATGAGTGCAGTTAGGATCATCAATCTCTGTCGATTCTCCACCTTGTTGTTGCAGAACTTCGCACATGTGCTTTTTCTCATCGTCGGGAAAGCCAAAGAAGCATACTTTGGCCCCGAAGAAAGGTTTGAGTTTCTGTGTTGCAACCTGAGAGCATCAATCATTTCGTTTCTCAATAGAGCCATATTGGTTAACTTCCTTATTAAAGAATCGAAATTAATAACACGAGTTTCATACCAATTCGTCATTACTGCCGTAGCTGGCAACGTCGTCCTTAGCTTCCCACAACGTCGTCACCCAGCTAATTGACATTATCGGCACACGAAACGTTACGGCGTATCGATATTTATCGCCGCCGCAACAATTCGCCAACAGGTGAGTTACCTTACCGCCCATTTCCTTCCGGATACTGCCACCCATACTGTGGATCATGTTGATGAGCCTTGTCTGGATAATAATGAAAGAAAGGATATATATATATATATATATATATATATAATTTATCATCTTCAACTTCTACAAAATTCATAACAATGTCATTTCCATTCTACCCGTCTCAAATGATCTCTTTCTTTTCTTCAACAAGTCAGGTAAAATGGTCTCTCGCGACGCCTAATCAAGCACAATCACTGTCCCTTATCAGTTAGCCACTCATGACTGTTTAAACACAGAGCCTGATAGCGAGACTATTTGAAAATAAATTAACCGTCTATAAACGGATATACTTACCAGCTCGTCTTTCTTCCGGAAACCGGTAAAGGCGACAACGATTCCCACCATTGCTTGAGTGTACATTGGTCGGTTGATGCTAGGTAGAGAAGCCTTCTTGTCTGCCAGCTGCAGAAGAGCAGTAGGTCCCAGTATTCTGTTTGAATGGAAAAAAAAATAAAGAAAATATGAGTGAACTTGCACCTTGTTTTACAAATACACATTTTTACCATAATCAAACTCACTACGTCAGAACCTAATAGGACGAATATTTACCTCGAGTCGAGGTGTGAAAATAAAAAGTTGGACAAAAAACTACACAACAGAAACAGCTCGTGCCAAGTAGTAATGGCTACGATTGCCTTGAGATAGTATAACCCGACAATGACGCGGTATCGTGACGCTTAAAGCGTGGAACATTAAAACTACTAGGGAAGGCTACAAATAAATGTCTTGAATCAGGGTGAAAGAGAACATCAGAGGAAGTAATGTTCAAATCGAATCTGACAACAAACCTGTGGGCACTTTTGGATAGTCCCTCGTATTCAGGTCCCTCAAATTGCTTTAAAATGAAGTACGTGCAGTAGGCAGTATCTTCCATATATTCTGCACCAGTTTCAGACTTCAATACCGGCACACTGAATTGTTGAGCTGCCGCGCCCAAAGCCGGATCTTCTCCGGCTTCGCCGACCAGGCATATCCTCTTCTTGCGCGGAATGATCAGAGCTAATTAAAAGATACATATATAATTAATGAATAACCACATCAAGCCATCGATCTTACGCTTCCCTATTTAACCTCATAGAATACAGTACCAAGGGCAGATACATATTACGGGGACACGTTTAAATGATGTGATACAAGATAAAGAAAAGTTTTAGATTTGCAACGTTAACACTTTTTATGAAATACCGTCGGTGCGGATATTATACAAATGCGAATAATTGTGCAATATCAATGTTTGCTTATACAGACTGTCCAAAAGACAAAACCGGCTGATTGTCTGCGAGGACGCAATGTAACTGGCGCCGCGTTAAACGGTAATGCGTTTAACGAATAATTCATTGCATTAATCATGATGCTAATTTTGTTTGAGTCTGTAGAATATTCACTTTATGTTGGAACTGGAGTCATGGGAATTATGATGAGAATTGCGCTCTGTAGTATAAACCCATTTAACTGTTCTGCTGCGTTTCATGGTGAAATTTTTAGTCTTTCGTAATAGGCACGTAACATGTGTATAAATTGATAGTGTATGGCTAATGAATTTTTTTTCATAATATTTATGTGTAAAAGTGGGTGTTGAAAAGTTTCTACTTAATTGAGACGGTACTTGGTGATTTATAGACTTGCTTTAATGGGAATTGCTTAAACTGTCTTTTCCTGTTGGCACTTTCAGTCCCCTTTATAGATATGCGAGCCAGAGATCATGTGCAATTCAACGTGTGACGAGTCCTGGCACATGCTTTGTCTTCTTTAAACATTTTTCTTGCATCCCTTTGCTTTTACTGACGAGATATGTTAGATGGGTAGTTTCTTTTGAACCCTTAGGGACTTATTTTTGGAATAAATTCGCCCTTAACCCCTGGAGTTATAGTATTCTCCCTTTTGGAGGCTATACTTAGATTTTGAGGAAGGATCGTTTGTCTAATGATTTTCCGCTTGAGGAATATACCGAAAATAAGAAGTTATTTTCGAAAATGAGAATTTCTTATGGACGGTAAGATATAATGTTGATTTAAGAGACCCACAGGCCATCTATATACAATTTCTTGCAGCTTCTGCATGGAAAAAATAAAATAAATATGTAGCACAGAATCTATTTTATTTTTTTAACTGCGAAGAACGTAATTTCCTATGCATCATCTTGTTTCTATATAGTTTAAGGTAAACAAATTATGGTAATTAAATTCCATATGAATTTATCTTGATGACTTGGTGAAAATATATACCCAGAGAGAGGAGCATATTGAATTATACCACATTAGTGAAATGTACGATAAATTCTAGTGCAAAAACCATACATACAAAATGGTAAAAGTTTTTGCATATGTGTACATGGTATACGCAACAAGATGATTCATCTCCAAAGTATAGAAAGTCAAATATGGTAACTTAATCTTACAAATGTCATTTTTCTTTAAGGTACCATCAGACAAAAACTTTTTTTATGAAGTCTAATATACTACGAGGAAGATAGGTATAAGGACGATAAGGACTCTACAGAAAACAAAGTCAAAGAATGTAAGCGAATCAATTCCTTATGGTAGGATAAGAATTCCTAGTGGCAAAATTATCTTGTTCAACAGATTAACTGCATACATGACTGGTATCAGTCTATCGAGATAATATCAAACTGATAGCAGCTGCCAATATTACAATTGTTTCCAACAGAGTTAAATAAAATGAAACCTAAACAATTCCTCTAAAATACCATAATGAAGGAGTCTTGCTGTGTGCAGGCACATTAAAAATATAAATTCAATGTAACCTCATGTGTCCTAGTACAAAATGTACAAGATATAATGTATAACATTTGTAAAATATCACGATTGGTATCCCTGACAAGATAAAAACGTAAGCAATATTACGCGTGAGTATCTAACACGCGTATCAGTAAAAAAAATAATGATATTAGTCATGAATGTTAAAATAAGAACCGTCAAGATCTTCAAAAATTCTCAAACAACGGTCAGAGTATAAAACAAAGCAATAAAATAACAGATACAAAAGTCCTGAACGAAGATATTGCCGAAGCATCGGTACATAAGACAGAAGATCTGCTGGGAAGTCAGACACAGTAGGTAGGGTTAGTTCGGCAGGTGCCTCAATCGATGAAAGGTAGCAACACGCGTATCAGGTTAGAAAATGACAAAGATTTTTAGAAGAATTAGATTCAGGGGCGAGCGATGCTGCTGCCGAGACTTACGCTCGCTCCTGGCCGGCTCCTCACTATTTATATCGCTCGTACTGCTATGAACGCTTCCCTCTTCCATTTTGGCCGTTCGTTACAACATCGGTCCGTCCTCTTGGTCCTCGAGTCTCGAGTTATGGCGCGTCTCGAAACACTTTCAGGCCCGCGACCCGGCAGCCGGCACGTTTCCAGGCTCATTTAAAGTCCATCGCCGATACCAGCGGCACTCGCGCACCGAGAAAACCCACATGAATCAAACACCAGAAACAATTCGCACGCACTCGTATTTACCAGCAGAATCACTCGACGGTGATTCGTTCCGTCTCACTTCGTTTTACCGTGATGCCTTTTCACTGGCTTTTCACTATCCCTGTCCCACTCGATCTCGTCAACTCAACCTGCCATTCGTTCACTTCTTCGACAAGGTTGCCGAAGACATAACGACATTGGCTCGATTACGAATCCTTCGGTCACGTGGTGGAGTCACGTGGGAGAGAAACGGTCGACGATGCTCAAGATGGCGGCACCTCTCCTCTCGAGGACGTGGACTAACGGGAAGGGGTTTATGTCAGACTTTTGGAAGAGATGACGAATCACGCGGTAATATATATCTGTTATGAATACTCTTGAAGATTACAGGTGATTTGCAACTTTAATAATTCAGTGAATTCTAAGATACTTCCTCAACACTACTGGACCGACGAGTTACGAGGTTTGCGTCACATATGGTAGCGCCACCACGTCGCAGCGTACGGAAGTAAACGATAACTTCAAATCGTTAAAGTGAAATTCGATTGTGAGACGGTAAACGAGAAAAATAACTGTCGGTTGTGTTGTGAGAAAAATGCTAAGTCTGAGAATGAAGAGTTTATTATTTCCTTCAGAAGTCTGCACATCCGTTGCAATTCGCATGCCCATAAAATACTGTATGCGTTATACCATTGGTATATATTTTCTTTTATGCAGATGTACACATATTTATATATATAAATAATTTAGATACTTATATATACATACATATAGTATGTGTATATATATTATGTATATAATAACAGCGCGATCAAAACCGTGATAGATTGTTTGACGAATGGGGTGTGATATAAATTACAAACTGCGTTCATGAGGTGGCTATAATAAAAAGCGCCACGAGTTGTATGCACTGTAATAAATAAACCGCGCGCCTATGTACTATATGTACATATAACTACGAGTTAGTATTATCACTACTAGCCAAAGTCAATCATTATAAGAAAAAACTGGAGGGAGAAAAGGGAATAGGATACAATTAAGAGTCTCAAAAGAGTCTCTGGCGTACGCGTAAACTTTCTCGAAAAGGTTCCGATATTTCGAAAATGGAAAGAAATTCCAACAAATATATTTACATTACGCACTCGCTCGCACGTCCTATCTCATATATGTCAGACATTCAGGCACCGTCGGTAGATCTTGAAAAACAAAAAAGGAACCGACACCAAACAGAGTCAGGCTCTGAGGAGGGGTAATAAAAAAAGGAAAGAAATGAAAATCATTTATCCTTTAGTCGAATTTTGTTCTCTTTTAATAGTAATTAAAATAAATTTAAACGCCTTAAACAATGGCGACTTATTAATCTCTCATGATGTCGTTCCTTTGCTTTTCAACTGACAACTCGTATCTTTCCACCACATTTACATACTTCGGGGCTAAGTATAGGATGGACTTGAATAATTATTAGTAAAAATGATAAATAACTTTTTTGAAAAAAAAAAAGAAAAGGAACAATAATACGGCTGTTCTTTTCCGTCCCGTTCGCTTATACTCACTGTTCTGGGTCTTTTATTCTACGAAAACTGAGACGCCAAAAAAATTGCGATTCGATTCGCACAATATAAATTCAAACTGGGACAACTAATTCGAGTAAAAAGTTCGATCTTCAGAAAAAGAAAAAGTATAATTACCGCGAGTCAAAGTGGTCCGAAGTTATTTATAATACGTGGGACGAAGAAATTCTTTATGTTCGCGACGATTTTCGTTTCCGATTGCAGAACATCCAAGAAGTTCCTAGCATAGTTATTCTCAGTCGTAGGCATTCATGCAGACGCACAGCGACGTAAAAGTATACTACAAACATATTCACACTTTTCTAGTCCAGTTATTCGAAACGATTAAACTTAGGATTGCAAAGAAATTGCAAATTCTCTAGAAATTCTCCTCGCACCATGTTATTTGTTTGGTTTCGTTAGGCGGTGCCGTACTGCCAGTATCTGCTGCGAGTCTCGTGAATAAAATAATCAAAAAATGAGATATCCTAACATGAGGATCACTTAGAGTGTTGACGTTCTTCTTCGTCGTCGCTGTAGTCATCGCTCAAGTAATGGCTATTGGGCGAGAATTCAAAGCGACCCGATTTCTTCGGCGGAGGACTGCGAACAAACAGACACGTATAAAAACGTCATTAATATATAAAAATTGCATTAACAATTACGAGATCACAAAGAAGTAAATCGAAAATACTAAAATTTCAAATAAGTTGAAATCTAGTTCAAACGTGATTGGACTAAGATCACGGTTAACCTGTCAACATATAACTAGTCAGTTGGTTAATAATTTATTTACCTGCTCTGATCTTCGCCGTGATTGCTGCTATTACTGCTATTGGGACTCCCATCCCGTTTCGGACTAGCCGGTGGTGATAGGGCCTGCATTAGGCGACCTTTACTTTCGTTCCATATAGTGGACTATGGTGAGACGAGACAAGCGAAAGGAAAGAAAAAAAAAATATTATCAAATACCGAAATCGCAATTGTCTTATTATTCTATTAATTATCGCAATAAATCATTAGAACACTTGGTAAAGCTATTTCTCTTTATTAATGAGCGCATAAGCGATTCTCATAAGATCTACGGACCCTGACGGGTTGTAGTCTTCCCATAGAAAAGCAGGAAAGCTAGTATCAAAAGCACCGTTATCACATAAACAATACCCACCAGGCGGCCTTCTCTGCCGAAAAGAAGCAAAAATGCTTCTATGAAATCTCTTGATTTTTCTTCCCACTTGCTTATCATGTCCACGCGCTTCTCGCCAATATTTTCCATCACGCGTTTACCCTTGTCCTTCAGGTCATCAATCTTATTCTGCAATCGGAACTTCTTCTCCTGTAACATGAATTATTAGAGAAATGTTAAAAATCCTGACGGGCACTACAAGCCAACGAATCCATTAGGAATACTAACGTTCAGAAACGATACGTTCAATTCCTTAGCACTGTAACCACGTGCCAGATTTCTTCGCACATAGATATCGTAATCCTTGACTATCCTGGCTACGATATCCGACGTGGATACACCTTCGGTACGTTGCGTAGCTACGAACATTCCCTTTACTTTAAGAGCTGCGTAAACGTCATCGCCTTCCTCGGTCATATATGGGATATCGTCATGGGCAACGAAATCAATCTGCAATAGGAAGTCAAAATTTTGTTCTGACTCTTTAATGATTTAAGAATTGTCGAATTCTTTTCTGATAAAAGAAAATCATTAATTCACCTTGTGCCTAGCAAGAAAATCATCGTCCAATTCCCATGGTGCATCCCGTACCACTTCGTCCACGTATCGACAATGTCTGACAGCGTCATATCTTTCGGCATCAGTCATAACTGTCCTACCCTTTTTACTATGAGTCAATTCGTCATTGCACACTGTAAAATAAACAGGACTTCATTCTCATGATTGTTATTAAAACTATAAATACAAACGGAAATGCTAATGAAAACAATCATACCGTGTATTTATTTATATTACCATCAAACAATTTTGCATAGTTACTCAAGAGTTAATACGATATATTGTTAATGCTTAGATCTATCTAAGACCTATCTAATTCAATGAGTGTATTTGTGAAAAAATTTGGAGATTAACATATCTACTTTGAATTCTTTCGTTTCGCTTTATTTCCATCAAGATCCTTTGAAAATTATACAATTCGATAATCTCCGTGTCTCCGCGCCAGTTGTTTATTTTATTTTTAATTACACAATTGCAACAATTAACCATATCCGATGACATTGAAAAAAAAAATAAAATTAATCATACAGAATTTTCTATGACTCATTTCCTGCGATAAAAAAAAATAATGAAAGTCAATAAATAACTTGCATCTAACTATCCTCGACTTGTCGCGTGCAGTATCACTGTCTTATCTTGACCTTTTTAACACTCCCGTATCCGGATGAGTAAAAAGAACTAATCTGACGGTGAATGTATGGACGTATAAATGAAATATTTAAATAGATAACAAAACGGTCGTCACCATTTCTGATTTTGTGAAAAAATATTTGAAAAAGTTCACGAAGTCCATGGGAAATACTTTCTACGGAATTATAAAAATATAAAAATAAGGTACGAGTACGTTGAAGATTTTCTTGTTTTCCTCCTACTACGAGGGTTACCAGTCTTGGTACTAAAGAGTGTCAACGAACGGTAAATTATTCTGTTCCCAAAAGGTCTATACCGGCTCTTAACTTACCTCCGACAATAAGGTAGACGTTTGGAAAGATATTTTTAGCCTGCATCAGCTGTCGGGCATGGCCCTGATGAAACAGGTCATAAATACCGTCAGCATAGACTCTCACTCTTCTTGGAGCTGGAACAAAGCCAAGAACAATGTTACCCCGAATAGTGAACCACCATAAACTACCATAAATCATAATAAGCTCGCAGAATGAATAAAATGTGTCAGTAAAGTGGAAAAATTTACCTTTACCACTCCTGGCCACTTTCAGGGTAATCTTAGTCCGGTAATCGCAGGCATCACGCTCTGCTTGGGCTTCTTGATCGTCGCTGAACGGGGCTTCTTTGCAAATTGACTATAACAATTAAAGTAAAATAATTACCGTGTATAAGGAATATTAATCAACGTCAATTACTTTGTGATAAATGTTATAATAGACAAAATTTTCTTAAATTAATTCATGGCTCGCATCCTATAGAAATGAGTCGCCCGGTACACGTTCGGAAGTTATAAATGAACGTATAGCAATCTGATGGATAAAATAAAAAGTGGCGTGATAAATTATCTTGCTACCAGTTTTCGCAGATAATGTCTTACCAAAATTCTAGATTCGTAAATCGGTAAACCGTCCAAATTTCTTTTAAATGGTTTTAAATTAGCCCTTGGAAAGGGATTAATTTCCACTGCTAAAGCCATTTTCATAACAGATTATTCACGTTTTTACTTAATAATTGAAATACACTCTTTTGCATGACGTACACCACAATCGCTACGATATTTATTATTTTGTTGATAAAGTAAAAGAAAGTCTAGTTATTTCATTCACAATTTGTACGATTTTTCCTTTTAATTGATTATTTTTTAATAGTTGAGATTTAACTCAACAACGTTCACCGCACCGATCTTCTCTCTACGACGCTCACAGGCTAACTGCTAGAGAATCAGAAGTGACCATCCAATACACTGATACCACATCAAAGCTTTGTAGAACTTTGGTCAGGGGAGTTCATTACTGATGTCTGATCTTTCCCCTTGATGACCTTATGGTTACCCTACCATTTTAAAGTTAATTATTGGAAAATGGCACTGGTATGATTTTTCTTAAGATAATTAGTGGGAAATTATAGAATTAATCAATTCTGCTAAAAAAATCGTAGAGCTTTTTGGTGTACGTAAGAAATTAGTTATTGAAAGAGAACGTTTAAACTTCCAGAATGTATTTCAAGGTTTTTTTTTGGAGCAAGTGAAAGTATTCAGCAAACCTTCAGGTACATGGCAATCATGCAAAAAAATGTCTTATATAAAAGATGTAACTTCATTTACATTTTTTGCTTTAAAGATACATGTTGCTATATTTCATGTATTAGTTACATTGGATTTCTTATAGCAATGTCACAGTCAGGAAGTAATGTGATTATAATTTAGGATAAAATTTTTATGATTTATCGAAGTCTCTTTTAAAATAAAAAGAATGTGAATGCTAGTATTTCATATATGCGTAGTGACAGGGATGGTATAACACTTATAACAGATATAAAATTTGACACAGATTGGATCGATACAAAAGAGCCTTATCGATACGGAAACACGTTACTTATAATCCATATAAGACAAACTTTGGTCGAGATAGGCAATACAAACCATGATAAGAAATAACCCCTTTCAAAAATAGTTCAAATGATCAATCATTTGACAGCTACATTGTGGCATCGGAAAGAATTTTTTAATTTATGATCTTTGAAAAAATCAATGTGTTAAAAGTTATTTACAAACTGTTGATACTTGGGATATAACTAGTCGAAATAAAATTGATATTGCTGTACAAATGTTGTACATTTGAGTTAGGTTAGAAAATATTATTCAAAAAGGTAAGCTACTATTTAAGGGCAACAAATGACATAATACTATACTATGTAAAGCAATGTTTACGAGCCACTACGGAGTAACCTGGTAACATGTACAAACCCTGTAATAGTAGGATTACACTGTATAAAACAGTGTATAAGGATCATTACCGGGTAAACCGGCGAGTCTTCTCTGGAACAGGAAGCATTTTCTCCATTTTGGTTGTCCCCATAGCTCATAGAATTCAGCATCGTGTCGTCCCTTGCACGCTTTCTAGACATTTTTTTCAAACTTTCAACTTGTAGATATCCATGCAATCCCTTCGGAGCTGAAAAAAAAGTTATGGATGTCACTAAATAGTAGTCAGTAGTTGCCTGTAGTGCGGTGACCTACATAACTTAAAAAGAAATCAGAATTTTCGTGTTTACGCTTGAAATCTGCGAAAACGCTAACAAAATCTCAATATGTTGCAAAAGTGGAAAAAAATAAGAGTTCAGTCTGCCAATTTTCTGAAGCGTCTATTAAAACAGGCGAAAGACCTTGTTACTATTATGTAAACGAAAAGAAAGTACAGTCAAGAAACAAAAAGAAGCGACTCTCCTATATTACAGTCATTTTTATTTTTTTCTACAGAAGACCATTAGGCAATGGGTACCACATAAAAGATATAAAGTCATTGGTATCAATGAATGTCAAAGTACGAGTAACTCGAAACGTATCATAAATTTAAGTACGAGGATTAGCATACATTTTTCAGCATTTTCCAGATTTTCCGGTGGTAAAAACGAAATCAAGAAACAGCGTCAAACCTTTCTGATGAGATTCGCCGTGCCGGAAATTTGAGATCGGAAAAATCGTGAAATAAATTGTCAATCAACGACACGCACGGGAGAGTAGCAAGGGTAAATTATATTATCTCAAACTTATTAAAGTATTGATTTTAAAATCTCTATCGCGATGAAATAATTTTAAAAGTGGCGTGTCCCAAGAAATCAGAATTTGACGAATTTGACTGAAGTACTAAGGCAAACGCCATATTGTCAGCTGACCAGCAGACGTCGTCACGCCACATAATTTTAGACGTTTGCGCATCCTTAGTACGCAGATAATGTATGTACCTATGGTGTAACGACGCGTAGCTTTACGACTGACTGGAAATGTTTCCTCGTTTCACATTTTTGCTTTGTAATTCATAGAAAATCATTATTTAATTATGCTTTCCTATCATTTCGACATAACACGCACGATCTCCAATTACAGTAGAACATGATATCTCAACAGTCAACATATAAAACTACATTTTCAATCGCGTAGATTCGGACATTTCACTAGAATGTATTTAGCATATTTTACATTGTACATACATTTCTATTTCATACTCCCGTTAGGTATTTCCATTCCTTTATACTCCATGTCCGTAGATAATACTATCTTTCCTAAATATGTCATAAACATCCTATTTTATGGCGTTCCATTATAAAATAGGTCAAGTACAGTAGCTCTATTAATTACTATTATGCCCTGCTATTAAGCGCAATAAAACTAAATCATTAAGTTCAACTGCACGATCAACTAAATACTCAAAATCTCCAACTACCTATTTATCATAACGGGACTTCTAGATAAGTTTTTTACGACATTATGGCATATAAGTTATGAATCACATGGAATTTATAGTACATACTGTGACAATGACTATGATAATAACCCCTCATATTTGCACAAGTAACTAAGTATGCTCTAAACAACACTGATAAATGTCTTGTGAAAATAATGTAAACTTTCCACAATAGAGTTCATCAAATAATATAAAATCCATTAACTCCTCACCCTTTTTGTAAATTCCCGCAGTGTGCTCCGTGCTCTACCGGGAAATACGTGAACTATTTTAAAGTTATCGCGAGCACGTTGACACTTCTTCACGCTTGAGTATTCCTCGTGTACACGAAAACCCGGCACTTTGCTATAATTATCTAATGAATATTCTGATAGAGAAACAGTATCTACAAACCACCAAGGTTATCAAAGTACGCGAAATCTAGACACCGGTGTCGTGCAAGAATCGGAGCTGCCTCGCGTGAAGTCGTTTTGACAATTGCAATGGTGGACGAACCGTACGAGACGAGAGAAGGGATGCATGACGTAGATCGGATGATCTATGACGTCATAGGAGGACACGAGCACTTAGATTTAAAGTGTACATAACTGTACGCTCATGTAGTTATATATTTTTCTATGAGTTTCTAATTTCAATACTTGTATATCTGCTATAAGTTTTTGCAGATGGAGCAATGGCAACTACACTTTATACATACGATACATACATTACACTGCATCCTAACTCCTAACTTGCAACGTTTCATAGTTGCCTATTAATCATGCAGTCCAGCAAAATGTTGTTAATACGTACATACGTTTTTATGTCGTCGCCTAATAAGCCACCATCGAACGTCGTAAAAGTATAATCACGTATCAAGGCGATTCAGCATTTCAAAGTCCGTCGAATGATGCACTCGGCACATTATATGAAATCCAATTGAGAATTTACATTATTGAATTAATAAAAATATTATATCGTATAGTTTTTAGCAATACCCATATCAAGTACATTGATTTAACGTTGAGTAACGTATCACGTGGCTAATCCTTTGAGCGGTACGGTCATACAGTTTAGAGAGTTAATACAGACACGAGTAAGAGTGATTAGTTAATTCTTATGCAAATATAATGACTGTAACCCTGGGATTCATACGGAGCCATAGATTTATTATAGTTGGGTATTGCAGGGTGCGAGTATAATCAAAACGAATTAATTACAAAGCTGAGATTTATTTTAATCAATAATAACTTTAAAATAATCTCTATATAATTATTAGATTTATATTTTTATTCGTCGATCTATCGCTATTCCTCTTTCATGCTTCCTATCTCGTAATTCTCATATCATCAAGTAGTTTTTCTTTTTCTTACTCGCACAAGTCATTACGATGTGTTTTCCATCGTCTGTATTATTTGGGTACGATTAAAAATGCTCTTGGCGACAATGTCGCCCTCGCGAATTTTCAAGTGTCGCGTGCGGCGCTTCACGAAAACATTCCTACTTTCTCATATATATTTACAAAAGAAAATACTCCTCGTCCTCTCTTCTCTTCTTGACATCGATATTGGCCACTTTTTTTTCGCTAAGGGATATAAAAAGTCCCATCACGGCAAACAGGCAACAAATCGTCAGTGGGTTTATGCACGGCACATTATTCATTTCTTTCTTGTTTTGTTTAGTTAGTAAGACAAATAATCATTGATTCTCTTCGAGGCTACATATTATGTTTGCTCTTCCGCCTTTTCGTTCGTCTTATGCTTTTTCTTTCTCATAGTCTTAATGTAGTAGCAAATTGTGTTACAATTAATTATCATATATAAATAAATAGCAACGAGAACAGGTTCATTGTTAGATAAAGAACTAAGAAATATAATGACGAAGAACAGTGCATTCGTGTTCCGATGTTTCTTTTTTTTTAATTATTTAAAACAAAAATAAGAAAAAAAGTTAAAAGAAACATTATCGTGTAATGTCCTTGTCTTATCTTGATCGTGACTGTCCGTTGAGTTCTTTTATTACACAGTGCTCATTGAGGGGAGAAGTTCAAATTTTGCACTGGAGTTGCGAGGGAATTAGTTTTGTTTATAAAATAAAAAGATAAAAATAAAGAATGAATACCCACGTAACTCTAGTGCGCTATTCAAAAATACCTCAGGGCAATGCAATTATAATCCTGTCTAGCTCTCAACACTGCAATATTATCGATTATTACCATTAAATAACATTTATTGTACCTAAATTTAATAATAAAATACCTAAATCACAATGTCATGCCGCCATCCGATGGCAATGAGCTGGTGGCTTTTTCCAGTCTATTTGCTTTAGCTTTTTTCCTACTGATTCGTCGTTACGTGGAAATGATCTCGTTGGTGGTGGTCGTGGTAGTAGAGTAATAGTAGTACTAGTACTAATAATATAATAATAATAATAATAATAATAATAATAATAATGAGAGTTCTCGTGATTTTCTTAATGACAATTAAATCGGCCCACTTGGTGCTCGCTAATATTAAAATTCGCGAATGAAAGTCCAGTTAATTGTTCTGGCGAGCTATCGAGTGAGCAATTTTCCAGTTTGCTTGATTTTTTTTTTCGAAAGACGGTAAGAAAGTCTGGCTTCGGTAACAACGTTCAGTACGTATAAATAAGTCAAAGAATATTTTTTAAGATGAAAAACGAGCGACGGGCCATAAAATTTACAACAAAAAAATTGTTCCGTAACGAATCAAAAATGTGATCGTGCAGCTTTGCAACATTATCGAAAAATAGTCACTTAACGTTAGTGGCAAACAAAGAAATTGCGTTCGATTATTTATATATACGTATATATATATATTTTTTTTCCAATTGATTCTGCTGCTGGCCTTACTTGGCTGGCTCGTGTCGATTACGGTAGATATTATCCTTTTTGGGTTCTTTTCCTTCCTTTCGTTCTATTTCTTTTTTCTGTCTAGCTACCTAAGAGGTCTCTCGGTTTCCGGTTTTTGCTCATTAAACTTGAGGCTTTCCGGCTTTAATTTAGGATCACCAAATCATTTCGATCTTACGCTGTTAAAATTCTTCGTGTCGAGGCTAGTTGGATGGCTGAGTGCTGAGAGCCTCGTGTAATGCTTGTTGTTGATCTGATGTTAATGAACTTATACACACTTGGAATATCGACTCGTTGCTCTGTAATAAAGATAAGAAAAAAGGTTTTGTATCGTGAAAAAGCAAAATATATCCTTTGAAACTCTCTACTATATTATATGGCTCTCCTTACCTGTATTTGCCTAACGATACTTAGGATTCTGTTCATAACTGGATTATCTGCAGGGACAGCGTCCTTGAAAAATGCTTCAGCAAAAAAGCTTATAAGTCGTGGTAAATTCGCGTTATTCGGTCCTAAAACTGCGGGATGATTGGCCTCTATTAGGTCGCACAAATAACCGTAAACGTGAGGCGCCTCGTCCTCATCTTCTACCACTGGCAACCAGGACAACCTTTTGAAAAAGTAATAAGTATTAAGCATTACAAGAATTAACAAATTCATAAATTGTTATAAATGCCAAAGTTACATAAAATAGTAGTATAGGATTGACTTACCAGTGTGGAAGCATCTCGTCGACGTTGATAGCTTTGTTGTTGTATTTGAGAATTTTTGTAACAGCCGAAATAGCATTTTCTGTGGGATTCACATTCTCTGGTGATCTTGACTCGGGATCATTAATGACTTCCATGAGTCGCGGTAGTGCTTCTGCGCAGGCTTGAGCGAAAGCTTCACCTCCAAATTGTCCAAGAACACCGCATCCATATGCCGCGGCTTGTCTGACTTCCGCGGATTTGTCAGAAACGTATTGGATCATAGGCCTCAGGAAGAACTCTTGATACTTAGCGCATTCCGGACCACCGTATTCGATAACGTCGTCAAATACACACAATGCCCATTGATGATCTGACCATGAGCGTTCCGGTGCGAGTAACTTGACAAAATGTCCGCATATCTGATCGAAGAATGGGAAGAAGGCAGACTTATGTGTGATAAAAAGCGCGTGAAGAATGTCAGCTATCTTGGTGAGGGTATAAATGTCCTCGTTGTCCTCTTCCGCCAACTGTTCTTCGACAACCTCATCGTAATCCTCATCCTTGCGCTTTTCCAACCTCGCTACGGCACGCTCGAAGTGTTCATTTAGAAGTTTGTCCAGGATACGAAGAAGCTCAGCCATTGGCTGTGCACCTAGACAACCGGCGCCTAAGGTTTCTATGCACTTCGCTAGCGAGTACAACAACTCCAGCAACACTTCCGATTCCGGTTCTGTGTCTATGGCTTTGAGAAGTTCTGGACAAATGTAGAGCCACATGCCCTCCAGGTACTGCGGTCCTGTAAAAAATAAACTTGATGTTTAAAAGAGAATCGTCTTCTTTAACCATTACCAATTGTCATTGCATTTAATGTATCTTTAGATAAGTGTATATCAGACGTACCTTTGATTTTTGCGCAGTCCAATAAACAAGGAAGACTCTCCGCTGCAGCTGTTCTGACACCATCGTGGAAATAAAACTTGAGCATTGGTACCATGAGTCGCACGACTTCCTCAGCATAATCCGCAAAACCTTCCTTGAGTTCTCGTGCGTAACATACAAGCATTTCACATGCTGAAGCTTTGTCTTCCAGTCCGGCTGTTTTAATGCCGAAATTCTGTTGCTCGCCGAGGGACACGAATTGCCAATCCAGATCACCCTCAACGCCTTCCATGTCTTCGTTGTCCAGCAGCGCTACTTCTGGCTTCATGGCAGCTGTGCGCAACACTGGACCCATTACTAGTGGCAAATATTGTTCAAATTGTTTGCCTAAAAATAAATAGTGCATTAGTTTATTTATTCAAGATGTTTTTATTTTATTCCTCATATAAATGGACTTACCCAAAATTTTACAAATTCTAGCCCAGGCCGAAATCAGGTAACTAGTCTGTGGATCATCATCAGGCAGGTCACCTTCTGTATGAGTTTTGAGCAACATATCCATAACTTCACTGGCATCCGTGATAAACTAAATAATACACCATTATTATTATTGTTAAAATTCAGTTAACCCTAGCATGGTAAGATAGCGTCACCTGCGACGCCAGCTACATTTTAACTACACGTATACAAATTTTGCCTTACTGTTCTAGGTTTAAAATACATTCCAATTCATACCTTTTCGGGACCAACAGCCAATCCAATTAAACTAACACACTCAATAGTCTTTCCACGCAGCATTTTATGTTCCTGCTGATTTGCATTCTGTATAATATACTTGAGACAAGGCATTAGGCGGTCATAATAAGTAACAAATTGCTCCTCGCAAGTATCAGCGACAGATGCAATAGTAGTAACAACCTGAGGAAAATTAATTAATAAAATTCAGGAAGATTTGAAAATGACAATGAACACGGTAGCACACCTGTTCGAGTACTAATTTGGTTCCTTTCTCTACAAGCTCTTGAAATTTTGCTGTAAGGATGGATTCAAGTTTAGCCATAATGCCGTCAAGATATGGCGTGAGAATATTCTTGGGACAATCCTCGCTGAAGTTCACTAGTGCAGCACCCGCATGAGCTTGGACTCTTGGATTAGCGTTGTCATCCAAAACCATAAGAAGCCCGGGAATGACCTTGTCATGAAACTTTTTTTCAAAAATTGGTGCAAAGTCGCTGGACATTTGACCAACTGCGTTACAAGCTGCGTAACGTACCCGTGGATGCTGTCACAGAAGAGATTTCCATGTTATTCCTGTATTGATGTGGTCTCAGATAATTGTAATTTTTATAAAATAATACTGTGCGTTCCTATACTAAGACCGAGTTTCAGGAAACGGAAACACGTTCAACTCTCAAGGAACTTCTGGTAAGAGGTTCTAACATTTAATCTATCAAAACGATGAAAAAACGAAGAACAAATCTTGCCAGATTTCCTTTGTCATCAGTGTAACGCTGACTGATTCAGAATACGAATCAGACTGCTGACTCACCGATGACTCATGAAAATTAATTTGAGCAGATAAAAATATATTTAAAAAATGTAACTCACTGGATCTTGCAAGTATTGTATAACACCTTCCATTATTTGTGGAAGAATAGCCTCCATCTGTTTATGACAACCTTCGCCAACTGCAGATATAGCCATAAGCGCAGCATATCTGATAAAGAATTTAAAAGATTCAAATAAATACTGCTAATTTAATAAAAATTTCTGTTATTGCTACTAAATGCAAAAAAGAAATTGTTTGTTCCATCACAAAGGTTATGCTGCATAGAGCATAACCAACTCTCTGAAACATCTTGTAGGGGCCTTGAAGTCCGAAGTAGTCAGAACGACTACTTGGAAAGAGGTGTCCTTACAAGTTTCCTCTGTCACAAGTGTAACGCTGTCAAATTCATGTGGAACTGTGACAGCTGACTATCTTGTGACTAACAAGTTTTAGTTGAATAAAAAAGATTCTTACCTATATTTCCAGTCACTGTTGCTTAACATAGTAGGTATGTTCTGTACGATTTGTGGTAACATAGTTTTCCCACCTAGGCCGCATGCAAGTCGATCCAGTGCACTTTCAGCGACAACGTTGTTGCTATCGTTATCCTCTTCAATTAATTCATCTGATACACTCCATTCCTCGTCTTCTTCAAGATCTGTCATCATCTTTAGGACCAATGGCACCAGAGACACTATATACTTTCCGCCCACTTTGCGTACCATTGCAGGTGCGGTTTCCGCCAGCGTTACCAACACCTCCAATGCCAATTGACGCCAAGAATCGCCCATCTCTTCATTCGAGAATATCTTCATACACATTTCCATGATATTCTCTAATTGTGGACGTAAGAATTTCGGCGTCGATTCAGCCAAATCTATCAGAACTTTTAAGAGTGCCTCGTCCTCTTGTTTCTCTACGGATTGAGCAGTGACTTGCACTACCGCTGGTAGCAATTCCGAAAAATGCTTTTGTATATTGGTTTCTTTGTCGTGGAGCATTATGAATGCTCCGATTGCACGTACTGCTTGAAGTCTGACCTATTGACAAGAGTTATTCATTTACTACAAACGTATCCCTATGGAATTTTGCTGTTTTTAACTGTTCGCCCCGTATCTGTCTGCAAATTAATGCTTCACAAATTACAGTCATCAGAGAGCGATTTAATTTTTTTTAATCTAGGGTTTACTCGTGACGATTGATTTATAATCTTTTTTTTATCAATCGTGTATCAGTCTCCCGGATTTTTAATCTTCATGTTTGAAATACAATGATACTCACTTCGTAATTGGCATTGTCCAACACTGATTGCTGGAGCATCTGTTTGATGAGGTCCAGATAGTTGGCTTGTTGGTTTCCAAAAACGCCTGGGACGGAACTGTAAACGGATGAATTAGAAAATGAACGCATTAGAAAGTAATCGTATAATATAGAAAAATACAGAACATATCATTGTTGAATCTACTTACGTAAACATACGGAGGGCACTCTCTTTAAGAGCTGGCAAAGGACCGTTTGCACACTGAAATAGAAATTGCAGAAATTCCGGCCACTGATTGTTGCCATCCTCATCTATGAGGTTGCGAGCGACTTCGGCGGCGACCTCGCACACCTTGCGACGAATGGAGTCTGTCTGTTCGGTCTGCACTGATAGCAGAATCTGCTCTTTTAGCTGAATCTGAGCCTCTGGTGGTATCTAAATAAAAAAAAATAAGACGATTGGCATCTTTGGAAAAATTACATTTCAGTGTCAATTGTAAAGAGTCGTGAAAGTAAGGAGCATAGCTGCTCTTTTGTTATAGTTGTAAAGACAGAGGATTTAAAAAAGTTACTAATACTTTTTGTTGGTCCAGCTTTGAAATACTTTATCCAGCATCGCACAAAAGATATTAGAATACAGATGCTTGCAACATTTTAACAACCTGATATAAAACATGTGTATGAGTAATTTTTAAAAAATTCCAAATTAGAACATATAGCACTTGCATTATATCCTATTTCTGTAATTTAAATTATTCAAGTGAGACTATCAGTGACAGGTCATAAGTCACTAGACTGTGACTTATCTTAAATGTACTGTCTGTATAATTTGCAGACCAAAATCATTTCATTAGTTACTGCAGATAATGTGAACTAAATGTCCTATTTACCTTAGGATAAAAATCCATAAATTCTGAGGAGAATAAACGTCTTAAGAGGACTGCAGCCATTGCACGCATTTCCTCTGCAAGTGTAGCATTGCATATTGACCCGAGCAAAAAGGTCACCTTGCTTTCCACTGAGAGGTTATTATATGCTTCCTGAAACAGATACATTAAAATCACAAATTTGCACAGTCATTGTCATGTACGTTTATCGCTATAACAACTATGATATACGATCAGATTCTCTGAATTTTCAAAGATCAAAAACTGGAAGATTACTCATATACAAAAAAATTCAATCCCAAAATAGTTTTAACTCCAAAATAACCATTATATGATAGAAACAGGTAAGCAAATGCTGGAAGTAGATAATTATTTTGAAATTAAAAAAGCAGCACAGAACCAGTAGTGTTTGAAAAAACCTATAAATTTCAGTAAACTAACAGGGCGTAGGCATAAAAAATGCGATAGTTGCCAAATGGCAATGTTATATAGATATAGACACGTGCTAGAATAATGCACTACAAGGGCAATCCGCATAGATACGTGAGGTACCAGAAGGAAGTCTCGATGGCACGTGGATAAATTTCTTTAGGTACACCTTCAGTTTACTCGTTGAAAAAAAGGGAGAAAAATCCGCATGCTCCGTAAAGGGCGGAGCCCTTTAAAACTCGCGGGCATTTCAGAATAGAATCTGGTATAGCTAGTGGTAAATTTTCACCGGGTCTCCTTGAAAATCGGGGTTCGCAGGGCCCGGAGCAAGGTTTGGCGGGCCGCGTGCCACGCGACACCATTTTGGCATTTGGCTTCGTCCTTCGAAGCACCTGTCATCATTAATTAACGTGTAAATTACGGGTAGAAGCGATGCGCGGTGTACCGGCCATTTTTTTCTTTGTACCAAGCATGGAATAAATCACGTAGATTCTTCGAGAAAAGTGCGTGGCTCGTGGAAGAAGCTCCGCGTGCCAGCTCTGACAATACGTTGGCAGCGTGTTCGGGAGCAGCAGCATTTTCCCCCCAGAGGATTGTCGCGCTTCTTTGTGACGCTTTATTTGGATTATAATATTAAGTGAGCCCTGATTTATTTACGTACCTCCGCTTGGATGCGGACATCGTTATCCGTGCTGAGAAGTGTTTTTAAGAGCTGTTGAAACTGGTCAAGGTCTGCCGCCATTGTCGCCGAACGAATGAAACCCCTGCGCACACTCTAATGTATCGTTCGTCATTTACCCTAGGCAATAAAATAACGGAAAAGTCCCTGGAAAATAGCGACATCTTTGTCGCAGCCATCACGAGTTCGAAAAGTTTGGAGGGAAAAGTTTACTTTTCTAATGTTACGATTAACAATGTATGAGAAGTGCTTCTAATAAATTATAAATCATCGGAGGGTCATATATTTATCAGTATCATTCATTAATATATCTTATTTCTTGTTAATTCAAGCCATTTGCATTATGCCATAGATCATACTAATTATAGATTGGAAAATACGTTATACCCGCATAGGGAATTGTCACGGAGTCTGCGCAATCGGATAATAAAATTGTCCAGAATGAAATATCGAGCGTTATCAAGACGCATGCGTTTTTGACATATATATTTAAGAATTTTTCTTAGTACGTACTCCACACGGCAATGGAAAGGATGGGATTATTGAGGAAGGTACATACTGTAATGTAAAACAGCTCTGTAATGTTCCCTTTAGAAATCTATAATTTCTAAATATTTCAGAGTGCGTAATTAATCGACCAGATAAGATTGGCATGCATATTTATTTTCTAGAGGATGGTATATCCAGTTCCAGTTGACATAAACGACATGCTTTCCAATAAAATAAAGACTAGTTCTTGGTGCGAAGGCAATTTAAATACTCAACGTAACTCCAGTAATATCATTGTTCCAGGTATTGTTTCAATTTTAAAATTGATTTCTTGGGTTCAACAATGGACCTTAAAAGATTCAGTAAACATAGATATCGTTATTCTCTTTGTAATGTGCGTCAAAATATGGCGGCCGATTTAAAAATATTCGAATAATACTTTAAATATTGTATATGTTATATTTCAAGGAATATTGCATCGAGGTCAATCAATAAATAAAATCTATACATCTGAAAATGAGGAATTAGGAATGCCAGCAAAGAACAACGAAGTTTCAAAGGAAGTTCAAGGGCTTAGAAATTTTTCTGACACTTGCAGCGGCAACAATGCGTACATGTTTGTAAAATCATTGAGTTATATTAATTTCCTCAATGAACTGAGTCTTAGGTTTAAAAACTGGAAATACTTAATTACCATTGTCTAGATTAAACTCTGATGGACATCGTTTCATACAAGAAAGAATACAGAATCTTGTTCAAGCATTCACCGAAAGGACACAACAAATACGTAGACGTCTGGATATGCCGCCGACTCCATCTACACCTAGTAGTGATCAAGGTAAATCAAATATTGTAAAAGAAGATAAATTTTTAACGAAAAAATATTTATCCACAGATGATCATGATACAGTTGTACAGCCGGTTCAGCCTATCAATCGTTCGCCATCCGAGGGGCATACAAAGAATTCAGATAATGGTAGCAAAAGAATCAGCTGTAATAAATGCATCGATCCTCAAAGTACACATACTATAATAGATTTCATTTTGAAATTTGAATTAACATATATTAAATGAAGCGTTCTTTAAAATAGGCTATACCTATATTTATTGGTTACTGACGCTAACTTTATGCTTTGCGTATAACTGCTTCGTAATTCCATTGAGAAGCACTTTTCCTTGTCAGAATTCCGAAAATACACATATATGGATGACTTGTGATTATTTGGCGGATATGTGTTACTTGATAGATATAATATTGATACGACCACGCGTTATGTATTTGGAAGATGGTTTTTGGGTAAATGATCAAAAATTAACGCGAAAAAATTATATGCGAAAATGGCAGTTTATGGTAATATTTTCACTAATAGGTCTTTGATCTAATTTTATCAGATTTAACAAACGTCTTAATAACTTAAAAAATTCCCAATCAGATGGATATACTGTCTCTACTTCCGTTGGATATTTTATATTTAGTATATGGTTATGAGCAAACTCTGTTACGCATGCCGCGTTTCTTAAAGGTATTATCGCAAATTAAAATATAATTTTATAAGAATTTTCTATAATATGAATTACACAAGCATTTCTTTTACAAAAAGGTTCAGACATTTTGGGAATTGTATAATCGTATGGATAGTGTGCTATCTAATCCACACGTAGTTCGTATAGCACGAACTCTATCATATATGATCTATTTAATACATATTAATGCCTGTGCCTACTACGCCTTTTCGACTTGGGAAGGACTTGGCAGCAATGGATGGGTTTTCAACGGGATTGGAAGCGCGTAAGTCAGAATAACACGATCTGATGGATTAAAAAGTAAAATGAAACAGAATAAGCAGGAACATACGTAATTATATTTCAGATACATACGTTGCTTTTATTTTGCCACAAAGACGGCAACGTCCATTGGAAAAAATCCAAAACCAGAGAACGAATATGAGTATCTGTTTATGACCGCCAGCTGGCTAATGGGAGTTTTTGTCTTTGCTCTGCTCATAGGACAAGTTCGTAATCAAATTTTGATTTTGAAAAAAACTCCTAGGATCATTGTGATTTTAATTTCAATTTTTATATTACAGATACGTGATATTATCACAACAGCCACTTATACCAGAAGCGAGTATCGCAAACTGGTCGATGAGACTTTGGAACACATGAGGAGATTAGGTTTGCCACAAAAACTTCAAGAACGTGTGAAGTTGTGGTTTACGTTTACATGGGAACAGCATCATACATTAGGTGTGTAGAATTATGAATAAAATAATAGTATTTGGAGAAATAATTACAAATTTTCTTTTATTACAGACGAAAGTCGCATACTGGATTCATTACCGATCAAGATGAAGACGGACGTTGCTATTAATGTTCATATACAAACTTTAGGCAAGGTTCAACTTTTTCATGATTGTGACGAGGCCCTTTTACGTGAACTCGTATTGAAATTGAGACCAGTCATTTATCTACCTGGGGATACTGTATGTCGAAAGGTTCGTCCATGTCTTATACATAGTGAATGCGTTAATATCTGGAATTAATTTCTTTTTTGACTACTTCAATTTATCAGGGTGAAGTTGGCAAGGAGATGTATATAGTGAAGACTGGCCAGGTACAAGTATTAGGAGGTCCTGATGATAACGAAGTTCTAGCGACGCTAACCGAAGGTTCTGTCTTTGGGGAAATTAGTTTACTGGCTATTAATGGTGGGAATCGAAGAACTGCAACTGTTCGTTCCCGAGGATTTTCCAATCTCTTCGTACTGAGCAAAGGCGATTTGAACGAAGCAATACAGCATTATCCGGATGCCCAACAAATTTTACGAAAAAAAGCCAGGTGATACACTGATTGAGTTACCGATAAAAATATGTAGTCATTGGTATAAATATTTTTTAATTCTTCAGGTCCTTGATGAGACGAAACGCAGCGAGAGAAAATCGTATCAAGGAGCTGGAAACAGAAGTCATTAAGCCGAAGCAAGCAACGTCAGAAACACCACGTTTATTGAAAACCGTGCTACAAGTAATTTCCAAAAACAAATCTGTAAACTCAGGCTATTTGTAATCTGATTAATTTCAGGTTGTATCCGAGGATTCTATGACGGCGCATCTAATAAAGCATGGCGCCCAACGCAGGGCTTCTAAAAACAACAAAGAGGATTCGAATATTCAGTCCAGTAATTTAACAAACATCCAACCAATTGAACCATCGAAAAATTCTGTACAGTCTTATCTCCGAGTGCCTTTGGTAATTAGTTACTGTTAGAAAATTCATAATTGTTTCAAAACTTTCTTATTCTTTTTTACAACAAACAAATTTTATTCAGGTTCACTCTATGAAAGTCAATACAAGACTAAGCAGACCTAACAAAGTTGGCTGTGTTTCTCAACCAGTGACTTCTGGTTTTCATGAAAACTTCACAGCTAAGGGATTGATTAACAAAGATAGACTGGTACGCAAAACAGCTTCTGAACCGTGCCTTAGTCCAGATGACCTCAATACATTTCAGTGTACTGTAACAGTGCACCAGGAGATGCACTGAATTATTGTCTAAGTTCGTGAGAGTAGTAGTGGACCAATGATGAGTAAGCTTATAAAATCAATATTTTACAAACAAAAATGAAAGTATACAGTAAGTGTATTGCTTAAGCAATAAAGGTAACCACCAGGTAATATTGAATAAAATCTATATTTTATAAGAAAAAACCAGTGACGTAATATTCGTACTTCCTACAACATAAAGTAATGCTCGTAGTGAATCACCCGGTAGATCAAAGAATATAGATATTAAAGATATCGCGGCACGCGAGCAGCATTCCGCCTTCATTTATTCCCATATCGATTAATAATTATACCATTGAAATGTTAAATCGAAGTTATGCTCGGCCTCCACAAGTAAATTTACTTGAGATATCACAAGAAGATTGATGATGACGTTTACAAACAAGTAAAACAAAAGTCATCAATCATAATACAATTTTATGAAACTATTCGAAAATTATATTAAAACCAAATATAAAAGTCAATTTAAAGTTATATCTATCCATCGATGCCTGGATATTTTTTAATCCAAGCGATGGATGTCACTTCAAAGCAGTATAATCAAAGTAAAATGTATAGACACATCAAAAGGACTTCATACTATTTAAAAGCAAAATAGACAGGATGTGGACCAATTAATGTAATCTAAAGAAATAATCACAAAGCTTATAAATACTCGAATATAATTTACGACCCATGTTCGGGGTCACGAAGGTCTGTAATGCCTGGTTACTCTGGGGTATATTTAGGTGAGGGGATGTGGGTGAAGTGCGGGGAAGGGACTATTAGTTAATTGGTAGGCGGAACTTGGTCTAAGTAAGCAGCCATGAGCTTGCGCGCTTGAGCGTTCTTACCTTTGTGCTTTCTTTGTAACTTCCTTGAGTTCTGCCGATGCCCGAGCGTCGCCGTTATCTTCAACTTGGTGCAGTAGACGCGGACGCAATTTCAAACCGTCGCAAGACGCGGCAGGTCCCATTAGCAAGACGTTGGATTCTTGGAGTTTTTTTTTTGGGAGTTTAGGGCATGGTTTCCAAACAGAGAAAGAAGGGAAAACCAAGAAGAAACGTTACGGCTATGGAAACGAAACTTCGTGTGGACGAAGCGATGGGACATTTGAAAAATGGAAATTATTCTAGAGCGATGATCTCTTACAATCAGGTAACACTTCTTGATCGTTTTAGTAATAATCCATTGAGATTCTATCAGCAGAGAAACTTTTTTGATAAATCAACGACAAGTGTTCAAATTATTTATAATTAAATTAAAATTATTCCTTTTTTTGTTCAAGTGCAATTTTTTGTATACATATATTAAATGCCATTTTGATTATTGTCACTGTGAAGGTTTGCGCATGATTAGCAGTTTGATTATATATATATATATATATCAAGGGTGCTTCTATGATAATGAAGTTGTCAACAGGTGTCACTCTCGCCCAGAATGCATAACCCTATGCGGATGGGACACTGACGCGCGAGTATCCACCTGGACGAGGAGTCTTGGGAGTACTTCGTGGGAAAGTAGTATACGCATCATACGATTCGTTTGTAACACTTATAAATTTTGCACTAGATAAACAAACGTTTGCTAAATGATTAACAAGATATCTATTAGCGAATGCTATGCTATTGGCTTGGACTGCCGCCCGCAGACACGCGTCCTGAACGGTAAAAACATTTGGGCTGCTGTCCGCAGATTGCCATCCGCAAAGGGTTAACAATCTCTATGTGTCCCAAACGCAAAATCCATCAAGAGACTAGTCCATTGAAGGAATTCAGCTGGATTACTATCTGGAAATGAAATTGAATAAAATTAATAATTTTCATATTTACAGAATTAATCGATTATGAAAATTATCAATCAAAGAGCGTGGTTCGATAATAGAACAGCTATACCAGAAAGGGTATCTACACACGCTTTTGGACAAGAACTACGTCTGTCTTTCTCTTATCCATGTAAATGCCCATAAGTCCGTCTCTGTCGCACTCGCAGGGAGTATAGAAAATCTTCAAAACATGAGGATTTCTATCGAACCAGCATCTCCGTTGCTCCTAACGAGACGCTCTTTATATCATCAGCCATTCACGTGATAAGATAGTAAAGTAGAGCAAAAAAAATGTAATCTAAGAAAAATTGTTTCCACAGGTGTATCCCTACGGAGCACGTGAGTGTTGGGGATGCGTGTGATACGTGACGGGGGTTGCACCTCAGGGTGGTGGAGGTTCTCCTACCGTGACGCGTTGTTGACGTTACCAGGGGCAACCTTCCACCTTTCCCAGGTGTCGATATCCACACATCCTCCGCACCAGAGTCACCCGTAAACTAACGGCAACCTTCGACCTTCTAAGGTTAGCAAGTAGTATCGTACTCCTGCTAATCAGCGAATACCTCAATTCCGTGATAAGGTGTACCTGAACTTTGTAGTACGTGATAATCTCTATGGTGAAATCACTTGACTTGCTTGGACCTCTGACCTTCTGCGTGTGAAGACACCTCATCACACTCTGGCCCATCGACCGGACGTATTTGCTGGCTGGCACAAAATGTCGGTGGATCCTGAAAATAATACCAAGGACGCTATAAATACGGTTCAGGATGCAGTAAGCTTGCAAGCTTCGGATATCCTTAAGCCTACGTTGCAGGATAACGATTTTCTTCAAAGTTTCGTGAGAATCGACCTTGACGATCATACTGATACGAAAAAGGGAATAAGATCGTACCTATCCGATCTGAAGAATTCCAGAGACAGCAAGGATCCGCGCGAAGGTCCTGCAGGACTTCCGGGTACGCATCAAAGCATTGAGACACCTGAAAATTTTAGTCAACATACTCAGAGCAATGCCAAAGGTAGTCATAGACGTAACAGTCAACGTAAGGTACGAACTTTCAAGCCGTCCTTGGATACGGAAATGAACGTGCAGAAGTCGAAGAGGAAACGACGTAGGAAATTTGGAGGTCGTCGCCAGGAAGAAATATATACGGATAAGGATAGAGCGGCTGCTGTTAATATGGGGAGTCGTGATATTAAGCAATCATTAAAAATGAAAAGAAAAGAAGATCGGAGTAGAGCCCTTCAGATACCCGAGGAAGCGGAACCCAGCGCCATGTTGGCACTTGGTGCGCGGGAAATGCGAAGTGGAGACGTCAAGATCGCTATATCTTGTATCAATAAGGTTTACTTTCTACTACAAATTAAGTATCCATGCGCAAACTTTCACTTGATGATTTCTTAACTTTAGTCATTTAATCACGAATATTCATTCTCTTAATGATAAATATCTTAAGTGTCACGTTTTTTCTTCCTCAGGCTTTGGAACTCAGTCCGGACGACAAAAATGCGCTTATTGCACGTAGCAGATGTTACCTGCTACTGGGCGAACCTCAAAAAGCTCTTCAGGATGCCGAAGCAGCTCTTAAAGGAAAGTTGAAGGATCCCAATACCGCGCGGGCAATATTTTACAAAGCTGAGGCACTTTATCATTTAGGCGATTTTGAACTAAGTCTCGTCCATTATTATAGAGGCATGAGAATTAGACCAGAATTTGATCAATTTCGACTTGGAGTTCAGAAGGCAAAGGAGGCTATACAGAATATCTTGGGAAGTAAGTACTAATGAGTAAGAGATAATTATTATTAAAAATAATTTAATATTTATTTTTATTATTATTCTTTTAATCCTTACAGACAACAGCGTACCGATTTCTATTTGTGGTAATTCTGGCACTGATCTTGAATCCATTTACACAAGAGACAAAAGTCCTGCCAGATTAAGGACCCCTGTCCTACTTGATGACTTGGAGTCATGTACATCAGGAAAGCAAAGTAAAGTAAATGGAATAACGAACGAAGGGTCGAGTAAAGAAAATTCAGTTTCAACGAAACGTAAAACAGGAACGCCAAATCTTTTGGGACAGCTAAACGTGGATAAGAAATACTTACAGAATCTCCTTAAGAGACCAGGTAACAATTTTATAACGAAACGTTTAATCTAGACTTCCAATAATCAGTATTCAGCCAACAGACTGAATACAGCAGCAATCATTAATAATATAGTCTTTCAACTATTTGTATCCTTCAAAAAGTATACTAAAACGTATACGAATAATTCAAGGAATAAGCAGCTAATAACGATTGCAGTAAATAAAACGACTTAAAGAAAAAAAAAAGTAGAGAGTAATAAGGTTAATTAATTTAATTAAATAAAACCATAATTAAATAATGCGTCGGCAAAGTACAAGCGAACGTGAATCTCGATATGGTTATGTTCATGGAGTTTGCGGCCCCGTAGTGATAGCAGGGAGAATGAGAGGAGCAGCAATGTACGAGCTAGTACGAATTGGCTATAACAATTTGATGGGAGAAATAATTCGCTTGGAAGGTACCTTGGCGACGATTCAAGTTTACGAGGACACAAGCGGGGTGACAGTTGGTGATCCAGTCTTGCGAACCGGTCGTCCACTTTCAGTGGAATTGGGTCCGGGACTGCTGGGAGGAATATTTGACGGAATCCAAAGACCCTTGAAGGACATTCACGATTTGACCTCATCGATTTACATTCCCAAAGGCGTGAATATTCCGGTTGTCAGTCGCAGTCAGGAATGGGAATTCGAACCAATGAATATACGTAAAGGCAGTCCTATCACGGGTGGAGATGTATTTGGTGTTGTCTATGAAAATAGTCTGGTCCAACACAAGCTCCAGCTCACGCCAGGTCGCAGAGGCTCTATAACCTGGTTGGCACCTGCAGGATATTACACGGTAGACGAGAAAGTTATGGAAACAGAATTCGAAGGTCGACGCACCGAACATAGCCTGCTCCAAATTTGGCCGGTACGCCGTGGTAGGCCGGTAACAGAGAAGTTACCAGCAAATCATCCACTGTTAACTGGGCAAAGAATCCTAGACGCGCTATTCCCTTGTGTTCAAGGAGGAACAACAGCGATTCCTGGTGCCTTTGGATGTGGGAAGACGGTGATCAGTCAATCATTATCAAAATATTCGAATTCTGACGTGATCGTCTACGTGGGATGCGGAGAGAGAGGAAATGAGATGTCCGAGGTGCTTCGTGACTTTCCCGAACTATCGGTAGAAGTGGATGGCAACACTGAATCAATAATGAAACGGACGACTCTTATAGCCAATACGTCTAATATGCCAGTAGCAGCGAGAGAAGCGTCGATATACACAGGGATAACAATAGCCGAATACTTTCGGGATATGGGATACAACGTAGCCATGATGGCAGATTCAACGTCACGTTGGGCAGAGGCTCTTAGAGAGATTTCCGGTCGGCTTGGCGAGATGCCAGCAGATTCGGGATATCCGGCTTATCTGGGTGCTCGATTAGCTAGCTTTTACGAAAGGGCTGGCAGAGTTTGCTGCCTTGGAAATCCAAGGCGTGAAGGGTCTGTCAGTATCGTCGGTGCCGTCTCGCCACCAGGGGGTGACTTTTCTGATCCCGTAACTAGCAGCACCCTGGCTATTGTTCAGGTGTTCTGGGGTTTGGATAAAAAGTTGGCACAGAGAAAACACTTTCCAGCTGTCAATTGGCTCATGTCTTACAGCAAGTATCTTAGGCAGCTGGATGAATTTTATGAGACTCATTTCCCAGGATTTACCACTATGCGCACACGAGTTCAGAAAATACTTCATGCCGAAGAGGAACTCAATGAAATTGTCCAGCTTGTTGGCAAAGCATCATTGAGCGAAAGTGATCTTGTTGATCTAGAAGTAGCGAAGTTACTCAAAGATGATTTTCTTCAACAGAATAGCTACTCGGCGTATGATAGATTCTGTCCGTTTTACAAGACTGTTGGCATGCTTAGAAATTTATTGACTTTCTATGACTTGTCCAACCAACTCATAGAGAAAACGGGTAGACACGAGCACAGAATCACTTGGTCCATTATCAGGGACACCATGGGAGTGTTGATGTACAGATTGAGTTCTATGAAGTTTATGGATCCTAGTAAGGAAGGAGAAAACAAAATAAAGGAAGAGTTTGAGAAGCTATATGAGGATATGCATCAGGCTTTTAAGAATTTGGAAGATTAGATGCTAATTACAGAATCAAGATAATCTTATTAGCTTATACCAGTAGTGTACAAATATAGATTATTGAAAAATGTTCAACTTTGCAATATTTACTGAGCGTGCCATGTCAAAAGAGAGTAATGGAATGTCTTAGATTATTGATGAATTATTAGATGAAACCCGTTAGATGATTTTTTTTACAGATATTAAAGCGGCCCATCAGCCCTCAGCTCAGCATATAATATCTCACGCCGAAGAAGGAATAGCTTTCCTGAAAAATCGGCAGGAATTTTGGCGACAACAACGGACAACCAAACATTAGATGAATAAAAAACCAAATGCATTAGCTTACGAATGAACCGTAGTGATAAACAGTGTATCATTATTATCATCATCAGAGTATATATAGTAAGAATTAATTAATAAATCTAGCTTCATAAAACCCGCCAAGTAGTATTCGATAAGGAATCCCCTGAAGTTTTATCAATTATTAAATGACCATTAAATCATAATTAGGTATCAGAAGAAGTCGTAATATATAACAGTAGCGAAGACGTTATAGGAAACTTTGAATATACAATTAAAATATTGGCTAGTGATAGATCATATTATAAGCAGATATGTAGTGACTTATGTACTTGGCATTAATAATATTATTTCAATACTTTTTATTAGAGGAATTTTAAGAACTACTGTACTTGGCAAAGTTTTTTTACACGTAAGTGCTTTTCGAGGGTTTTATTGTAATAGTATAGTACCTTCGAGTTTCTGACCATTAGGTGATAACGCTGGTAGCCATATTACAGAGGAGATAAAAGTTCATATAGTACTAGTGGCCCGATTGATGAATTGTATTAAAAGGTGTATACATTAACACTTAGAAAGCACGAACTAGGGTGAGTAACAGTAGTGCTGGAAATTGTAAAATTTGCCGGAGCACAGACTTGTAGTGCACAACCTGCAGGGGGGAGTCACTTCTGGGAGCGCTTAGGCACAGAATGCTCATCCCTGCACGAGCTTCGTTCTGAGGGTTGCTTTGGGAACCAACGGTAAGTAGGGGAGAATCTCTGCCCGTCAAGCTTCACGTTCGTGATCACGTTCAGCTCGGCTACGGCGGGATATGCATTATCGACGAAGGCGATTATTACAAAATTCTACACCCGGAATCGCCACTACGATTTAGCCCCATGCTTTTAATATTGCCAAAAACCGTAGCGTTGAGCATCTCCCTTCTCATCTCTGCTGTCACTATGATACAACTATACCTCGTCTATGTATATCATGTTACTATGAACTTCATGTTGTTGGTCTCGTTCTACTTAGCAAATTAGCTTCTGTACAGATGGCGACATTCGTTGATGATTTTTACAGAGGATGCAGGCTGCCGCGCAACCGCATAAAGATAATTCAAAGATAACACAATAACGTGCAAATTAAAACTATTTATGAGGTAACCAATCGTCGATGGATCATTTTATTCTCAAAGAAATATTGCCTCTCGCTCTAAGTCTCGCTTAAGTCGAGCAGCCATACATCAATGGCTGACTCCATATTGCCGTATACGTCTGTGACCTGTTTTGCTCTGCTTATTATTTTTCTCAATTTTGTTAGTAAGTCATACTCGCACAGCCAATCGGACATTTTTCTGCAGTCTCCTAAAGGTACGATAGAATTCTAGTGATAGTATCGATAACAATGGTTTGGTATTTATATCGTATGGAAAATATTAACATTTCAAACATTAACCTCTATCAATTCTGCGAGTAGCGTCTCAGGACACAACAAATCATAAACTTAACTAGTTTCTTTAGTGTTGTGTGATATCAATAGACATTTTCCTAATATGTGTCCCGAGGAAAATTTGTATTGTATTTTTTGGAGCGTACCTTGCTTGTTTGTAAACTTTGCAGCTAACAGTTATTGAATTTTGTTTATGTGTCACGAATTTAGCTTTTAGATGCTGGAATAACAATGACATATGCTTAATAAGGTATTCGTTTTTAATCCTCTTGATGATATGTTGGAGAATATTGTAGGACCTTGTTACGCAGTGTTTATTATAACTACTTACTTTGAAATCAGATCATTTACTCTGCCGTCAATGTGGTGCTGATCTAGCCAGTTCTGGAAGCATTGTCAATCATCTAAGTCCAGAAGCTACAGTTGTAGTCAATCAGACACTTTTTGGCAAAGCAGGTGTCGAGATACAAGTACTAACTAATCCCCTAGGCATTCAATTTGGGCTCATAACAGTTTCCAAAGCCTTTTGTGTTGGAATAGCAGGAAAAGTGAGTCTTTGTTTAAAAGAGAATAAAGAATAGAAGATGTTCATATATCCACTTTGAAAAAAATCAAATAATTAAGATCTACCAATAGTGATAATTATTACTTTACTATAGAATTGTTAACTTTGCAGTGGCATACAGAATTTTCCTGGTTTCCCGGATATGCTTGGAAACATTGCATGTGTAACTACTGCAGTAGCGTACTTGGATGGTAAGTTCATCCGAGTACTACCTATTATGTTAATAATCATTTATAAACACACGTTTTTTTTTCTCAGGATGTTTGAGCCTATAGAAACAGCAACATCAGAGAGAATTTTTCCATCTAGTAAAGGATTCTATGCCTTGATTCTAAACCAAATTCTGAGTGAGACTTGTAAGGATCACTTCATTTCTATATAAGAACAATCATTCGTTCTATAATAATTAACATCAATACCACTTGCAGTTGCGAATTCCTTGTTGGTTGTCCCAAAATCTTATCGGAACTAATAAAAAGATGCCTGACCCAAGTTTAACAGAAGAACAAAAGAACTTCATAGCCGAGTGCGAAGCCGAATTCCAGGACAGATTTACCAAAAATGACGAAGCTTTTATGAAGATTCACACATCTGAAAGTAGTAAACCGCCAATTATGGATCCGTGGTATAACAAACCGCGACGCAACTTTGATTGGAGCCGTCAGAACCAAAATCAAAATCGTCGCAATAATCATTGGGAGCGTCGACACGGTGATCGTAGTGAAAGAATAGAACGTCATGCGGGTCGACAACATTTGTATTCAAATAGAAACAATCCTTATTAATAGATCGATATTTTCATGGGAATTTACTGTACACTTCCTTTTGATGTAATATATAATTCTAATAAATATTGATATATTCTTTTGAAGTATTTCTCCGTGAATTTCATTTTAGAAATCCCTGTATTGATGTTTCGAAATGAAAAACAAACTTGTTTTTAAAAATAATCGTAACTCGTATGTATTTCTCTTAAGCAGCACTTATGTAACAATTGATATTTATATACAAACGTAACGAGATATCCAACCATGTACAAAATGAAAATAACCGCTACCCTTATTCTCTAGATGGTAGTAAAAAACCTGCTTAATACAACTTCATTACGATGAGAATTTGATTGGCGCCAGTTTATCACGTTTTACTTGTTCTACTATTCGTAGTAATATACACGTGTATACACATACATAGGTCCTTCGCGCGTTATATCTCTTTAAAAAAAATCTAAGGAAAACAGTCTCTTTCTTCTATCTTTACAAGAAATGTTACAGTGTTTATATATACAAAGAATGTACAGGTGCTTATAACCCTAAGGCCGTGAACACGGCGCCGTTTTCGGGCAGTCGGCCATTTTTTTGAACTCTTCGGTATTGCGGGTTCCGGAAAACAACGATTTTTAATCACCAATCATGTTCCGAAACCGAGTCCCGTCTATCTTGGGAGTGGTAGGTTCATCCCTGTCCCGTGGAGGTCCTTATTCTGTTCTTAACTCTAAAGGCTCTCAAAATGGTGGACAGTTAACACCCGGATGTAAATACTGACACTTGTCACCGACTCGACAGTAGCCATTTTTTGAAAACTGTCTGCAAACTTGCGGTTGTTTTCCGTTACCACGCCAGCCACCACCTCCTCTCCATCCGCCACGTCCACCACGATACCAGCCAGGCCCGGGACCACCTCTGCCTCTGTTGCCCATAGGCCCGGCTCCTCGAGGCCCTTGGAAGTTTGGCCCCAGACCTGGTCCAAACATAGCTGGAGGTCCTTGGAAGCCAGTAGGCATATTATTGAATCCCATTTCCTCAGGACCCATCATTCCAAAGCCATCTTGCTGTCCAAAGATGGGAGGTCCCATCATTCCTGGAGGACCCATGGGACCTTCAGGTCCAGCTTGTGGGAATGTGGGCATCGCACCGGCCATAGGATTCATACTGACGTCAGGTACAACAACCTTGCCATCTCCTGTTCGCCATCCACCACCACCACCTCCACCTCCTGCCATGGGTCCCATATCTGGAGCAGGCATCTGACCCATTGGTCCTGGTCCCATCATCGGCTGAGGCATCTGACCTATAGGACCCATAGGTCCTATTACACCTTGAGGCATCATTGGTTGCTGACCATGTGGGAAGCCCTGATAATGGAAGTTTGTCATTGGTGGCGCCGCAGGTGCCAGTTGGGGTTTCGGCTCGGGCCAGGTCATCGCCGTGAAGTCTTTCTCGCTTTCCTTATTCCCCGTTAAATCGTCCAGCGGAATTACTTTTGGATCTGTTATCACAGGATGCCGTTCTTCGTCCGGCTCCGCTGCCGAGTCAGGAATCCTTGAAAAAAATTACACAAAACACATTATATATACAATTCCACTCAATAAACAATACCAGTTTTTTTTTTGTATAATTACAAAAATATTTAAGAAAAGTACAATATTACTCACATGCTTCGATTAAAGTACAAAGCTTGAAGTATTCCTTTTTCACGAGCATATTGGATATCCTTTTCTCGACTGTCCTTGCCAGGTTCTACCAGTGCAGGTGACAGGTCGATTGGTATCAATGGCTTCCAGGTTGTTTTTTCTTCCATAAGATCTTCGGTACCTTTAAAAAAAAATAACAGCAACCAATTAATATACGAGTAATAATTATCATAAATCCAACATATAATTTTATTCCACTGATATATCAACTTACTCAATTTCCGTGCCATTTGGAAGGCTTCGCGTTCATTCTGCTTCTCCATTTGCTTCATATCCGTAAAAGTCTTAGTTACATTCACGCGTTCGGTTTCGTCCAATTCAAAGTATCGGATCGATTCCAATTCGGTTTTCCACTTGAGACTCTTCTTGGGACCTTTCCTCTTCTGAAGTAAAAGCACGCTTCTAAGACCATCCACGTATCTTATTTCCGGATTAGGACTGGTACTTTCTTTCTTGGACGATAACGAGTCGTCCGCCTCTTCCGGTGAATTTAAAGCTTTAGCTTCTTCAGATTCGTCATCTGGCGTGGGTGCTAAACAAATAGAGAAATACTTTATTTCACATTCAAACAATTAATCCGTCCAAAGTGAGTAACGTCAAAATTCAACTTACTGCTACTTCTCTCATCCTCCTCAATGACCTCCTTGCTCTTCTGATCATCAGATTCCTCATCCCTTTCCATCTTGGAGTCATCTTCAGTCTTCTCCTTTTCTTTCTCCTCCTTATCCTCATCAGTCTCCAAGGTGTCCTGATAGAACTACAAAAATATTGTTCAACGTTAGATCACATTTTGTTTCTCAATTCACAAACTTCATCCGTAATGTATTCCTATTAAATATAAAGAGTCCAATCCCGAAAACGAACAATTACCTTGAAATTAGGTTTTAGGGATACTGGCGATTTTTCATCGGCGCTCGAAGGAGACGTCGGTGGCGGCGTGGTGTCGCGCGAACCGTCCGCGTTATTTTCAACTTTCTTCGGTTCGGTAGAGCCATCCTTAGAGATGGAGGTCCTTCGTTTCCTCTTTCGGGTCTCCTTGCTCTTGGTCGAGGCCGTTAGCGCATCCATGAACATATCGCTTTCTTGGAGGACCATCGCTGTAACAATCAAGAACAACAAAAACCAATGAGACTTGATTCAGAACAGTGAAACAATCAGTTGGAGTAGTAAGTGATGTAAATACTAGAAGAACGTGGTATGGCACGACGTTTAAACAAGTTCTGTAAATAAATAATAATCAATTAGTCTCGTTGATAACGAAGAGTTCCATACTGAAAGAACGTGTAATTATATTGAACAATGTGTAAGCGGGTATCACAGGATGTATTAAGTCCGCAAAGGTAAGACAAATTACCAAGTAACAAGTCACGACTAATAATTACTCTCGTTAGCGTTACATATAATTAAATAAATTGTCGGTAAACATGGCGTCCCTGGTAGATATATTTTTTCTACAGCATCTCTCTCGATTAACAATTGTCGAAAGTATTGTTGTACTTTAAAAATTAACTATAAGACCCCTATACGTTTCTTGTAGCTGCAGTAGCGCGTGACAAATGTTTCACAAAGAAAGTGAAAGAGGATCGTACAAGCGATGTTAGGAGTAAGATACTTCAATAGACCAAAATTGCATATGAGCGAAATTTTAAATAACAAATAAAGAATACACAACGCGCTGGCTGATAGCCAAAATTTGATTTTCAAGTCGATAAAACAAAGATACTTATGATCCATGAAAAAAAAAAAATACTCAAAAATTACTCAAATCGTTTTAGAACGCAGAGGAACGAAAATTGTATGTTTATTAAATACGAAAATCGTTACTCGAATTTCAAAAAAATCTCCATAAAATTAATGACAAAAGAGATCAAAATTACGAATTACGCGATTCAGTCGATGACAATAAAATTAGACAGTTCGTCAAAGACGCTACGACAGAAGAATATAAAACAAACGGCAGTAAACTCGAAAAGAGTGAAACCGTTCGCGCCTTTAAAACGTCCAACTATAAAGAAACGGAGTAAAGGGAAAGAGTGTAGGGTGTTATCGTGCAGTTTATTCACAAACAAAAGAGTATAATCCAGCGTTCATGATTAGAGATTTGGCAAAAGTCGTCATTCCTCCCTTAGTTTTGAATAAAGTCCACAAAAAAAAAAAAGGAAAAAAAAGAGAGAATGCTCCTAGGACAAGACAGCATGATTTTAAAAAATCAGGCTTTTCGGCTTTTTTAGTCAAAAGTTAAAAAAAAAAAAAGCCTCCTTCAATCACCTCCCCTCCCAGAGCATCCTCCGTCTCTCCCCTAATTTTCGCTTTACTCTCAACAATATCTATACAGAATGAAGCATTACGAAAGGAGCTTTCGGTCCTCCTCGAGCTTCTCGTTGAAGTTTCAGGAACTCTCGCCAGGGACACACGGTTGTCGATGAAGAGGAGGAAAAAGAGCCCCTGCATCGAAAGAGGCCTCGAACGGTACAAGAAGCGAGATCTCTAGTATTTCTTTCCCCAACCAGCAGGCACAGCTTAATGGTCCTTCTCCTGTTCGCCAAACGTTATGGCCCGATGTTCGTCGAACGGTTAATACGCGAGGCTCTGGGTTAACACGCAGCACGGGACTCTCGTAGGAAATACTGAGCTGTCCGTCGCGAAAACATTGACCCTCTAGAAACTAAAGAGTCAAGGTACGGGACGCAGGTACAGACGCTTTTGCGCAATCTCTCAAATAATTTTTGCAAATTCAAACTGAACCCCGTCTGTCGATTCATATTCGATGAGACATCTTTCAAGCAATTTCTGATCGATTCCAATTCGGTATGAATAATGTAGATTTTTTTAGAGGCTCCCATTTTTTTTTCTCTCTCACGCACACTTTTTTTTATATACATATGTATCTCTCTTTCGTAGTCCACTTTATCCTGGGCCATTCGTCAGTTCCATGTCTCAAAACGCCTTTCCCAACAGTTCGCCTTCCGTCTTGGGAAGCCTCTTCTGATCGCTTCGAACTCGTAGGCTGTTACTTTTCGAAAGGCTATACTGAAAATATTACGTATATGATTGCGTAGAGACATTATCGACATGACTGTCGGTCAATGTTATACTGTACGAAATTAAAATTCAATTAATAAAACATGTTATCTAAACTCGAATACGAAATGCTCCATACTAATCAACAAGAGAGTGAATTTCGTCTTTGAATTTCGGCGACTACAAGACATTGAAATAACGAATCCAGACATCAGTAGTGAGCGTATTGAACGTTAAGTCTATGACATAATAATAAATAGAACCAGAGTGAGAGCGAAAGAGAGAAAGAGAAGGAGAGAGAGAGAATATAATAACAAAAAGCAGATAACAAAATGATCCTCCTCAAATTCCAGAGACCTTCACAGTGAAGTCACAGCGCCAGGATTTCACAGGATTCAGAGATCACACAAGATCTGCCATTCTGTATCATTTTCCATTCCTCAGCAACGATAATATTACTTCGCTGCCCTTGGACCCCATATTTTTCTTGGCACCGTTGCAAAACGCCCATCAAAGCCAGTCGAAAAGGACGCCGATTCCATTTTGAATAATCAAAATCACTACCACCTTCCTCCTCCTTCCTCTCCAACCGTCCTTCCTTCTTCGCCTCATCCATCAGAAGTATCTTGATAAGGTCATCCACAATTTCTCTCTCCTTATCTCGCGCTCTCTCTCTCTCTCTCTCTCTCTCTCTCTCTTTCTTTCTTTCTCTCACTCAAATGTGTTTCCCGGATTTTGTTGATACCTAGCCGTGAATTCGTTTTTTCTAATGTGTAGAGACGATTTTCAGACCTCGAGGATTGTCCCAAGAAAGAGAGAGGCTCTGAGACAATAAAAAAATCGATAACATATAGTGATAAACGTGTGTGGGGGGCGGGGGCCATTAATTAAACCCTTATCAAAGACGTATCAAGTCTAACCAGTGTCGTACCGTGATAAAGTATTGTAAGAAAATATTTGTTTTACATTATCTATGCTCTATAAGCACTTGCAATAATACTAAATAAGCTAAGGACCATGTGAGCACCCAATTTTCCAAAAAAATCTCCATTTACATTATTATAATAACAACAACAAATCTCTCAAGTTACAGTGTTACATTAATATTAGTAGGTTACCAGAGTATATACTTTAAAGACAGTATAGCTAAGCTAAGTACGTGTAAGTGTCACCCTGTCCATTGTTCAATACATTTCTAATGGTAATTGATAAACGTTCATGAGTTGTTATCATTAAAGAAAATTTGTGATAGTTTTTTAACGGTACGACAAGTTTCCTTAGTGTCTCTCCTTGTTTACATAATTTCATAGCATTCCACTTTTTCTTTTTCTTTCTCTCTCTCTCTCTCTCTCTTTCAGTTTTTTTGATCTATAGGGCAAGCACAATGCGCGGTGACTCGCACACTCGACAGAAACCCATGAGTCAAATACTTCCAGATTTCTGATCAATTTATTTAAACGCTCAATAAAGGGTGTACATGTACAAGGGAAGAGAAATACGATGGACAGACAAGAGTTTTTCTGATGCCTTACCTAATAACGCTGGCTTCGCACTGGCTTTTCTAATCCCCTTTTAAGGCCCATCCCGGTACAGTAGCACAATCCTAAGATCTAATTTTCGAAAATTTCTCGTAGGTTACCTGCTGGCTTCATAAACAACCAAACTTTTTTGAGGCACGTTGATCAATCGGTTTCTCTCTTGTAACTCTTTCGGATACTTTTCATTGATCCTCTTGCGTGTCTCTTCTCCTCTTCGTTTTTCTTTCTTTTTCTCTAAGATCGCGAACGCGTTTAAAACAAAAATATAGTTAAAAAATCTATTACACGCGGTTTTTCTATACCGCGTCGCTAGGGATTTTATGTCGGACTTGTTACTTAGGTTATCACAAAATAGGTACGTTTCCTTAACACTCGGGCGCGACAAGTACGCGATTGGTACGCTTCTTCTGCCTGGAAGAAAGTTTAATTCAAGGAAAACACTGCTAGGGCCCAAATAATTGGTCCCTTTTTCGACCACGGCACCAAGTCCACCTGCAAACTCAATAGCCAGTAGTTAGTTCTCGTTCTGCCGCTCATTAGAGATGCGAAGATCACGTACGTTTGTTATGGCTAATGCTACTTCTTTTTTTTTCATTTCTTTCATTCCCTTTCGACAAATCATTCTTTCATGGAGTGGCATCGTCACGAAATTTTGATAAAGACAACGATCGCGTAAAGGATATGTTAGTAGAATTTTCTATTGTAACTTCAAGAATTGTTATACTAGTCTGGTATATCAAAAATAGGAACCAAGTGAATTTTTATAACGCAATGAATAATTATAACAGAAAAATATAAGAACAAAGTCGATTAGATAGTATGAAACATGAAGTAAACTTAGAATTAATAAAAATAATACTGTCAGTAAACTGAGGTATTAAAACACATTACCATTTGTTTGAAAATTAGTATCAACGTATTAGTTTTTCCTGTCTGTGGATATTTTGTAATTTTTAGTACGAACTATGAATCAAACATTCTATGCGAAATACAGGCGCAGTTCTACAGCAAAGTTCGTATATTTGGATAGTTGAATAAAATATTCAAAATGAAAATCGAATACTAAAATGATACAAGACATATTTGGCTATGTAATCTCGCAATTCATAAGATCAAATTTATAAACATGGCTTTTTTGTCAACGAAACTTGGTAAATAAAATTAAGATCGTTTAAGAAAAATAAAAATAAAGTAATTGGCCCCTCAATCGATCAATTCTGAAATTCAAAGACTTAGCAGGCATCGCCTGAGGCAATTTGCGGATATAGATATTTCAAAGCCAGTGGGGTAACTCCATGAAAAGATGACTTAGACGAAAAAGAGATAGTAGGATGCCAAATAATTTAGAAAGAGGATACTTACGTTTTGGTTTTGGTGGAATGAGCTTGATACCGCCGCGTTTCTCATCGCCAGGCGAATCCAGGGAGAGTCGTGCCTTTTTCTCAGGAACAGGTTGTTCCCTCGGCGGCGACGGCCTCTTCAATCCCGACGGTTTCACAGGAACCGCTGGTTTTTTGTCCAGATTTTGAGCAGGCTTCTTGGCAATCCTAGGCGGTGGCGGTTTGGCCTCCTCCTCAAGTCCAGTAGACCTAAACTTCGAGTTGAAGGTCTTGACAGTCTTGGGCCTCGTAGAGTCCTGAGAATTCTTACGACTCTCAATGGACATCGAGATATTCTTCTTCTCGGGTACCTTCTTCGGGTCCGCCTTGTTCTCCTTTGAGCTGTCCCGCGAATCTGTGGAAGACTTTCGCGACGAGGAGGACGAGGACTCGTCCTCTGGTCGCTTCTTTGGGATCTTTCCCATTTTCAAGGCTTGGCCTTGAACCTTCTCCAAGGTTGCCTTGTCCTTCTCGGCCTGGTCCTTCTTCTGTTTCTCCTTCTCTTTCTCTCTTTCACGATCCCGTTCAGACCTATTCTTGGAGCTGGAACTGGAACTGTGCTTAGATGAGGAATGATGCCTGTCCCTGTCTCGTTCCTTGGACTTGGAACTGGAACTGGAACTTTTTCTGTGGGAACGGTGCGAATCGGAACGATGCGAAGAACCGTGTTTGGATGACGATGTGGAGGATGAAGATTTGGAGGAGGAATGATGGCTTCTCTTGTCAGTGCTAGCACTCTTCTTCTCATCCTTCTTCTGTTGCTCTCTGTTCTCCTTATCACTGGATTTACCACCTTCCGTTACTTCCAATTTCGTTTCTTCCTCCTCTTCTGTTTTATCTGGCTTCCCTGTACTTTCTGTAGGCTCGGCCTTGAGTTGTATTTCCGGTATCCTTTGTTCAATTTCCTCGTGTTCTTCTACTTCCTCGTCCTCGGCGATTACATTCTCCTCGGCAACATCACCATTAGTCTCTGGTTCTTTCTTTAAAACACTATTTATATTCGCGGCGTCTGTCTCGACTTTGGCCAATACCTGCTTGCCGTCTCTTATTGTTATTTTGTAAACAGGTACTGTTGGCGTCGAGGCAGACGAAACGACGACGAATGATTTCTTCGCGGGCACATTATTCGTCACTGGCTTCTCTATCGTGGAGAAGGTCAATTCCTGATTATCCTGAGTGATGCTCGCGATTGGAAATTGGACCTGCGTCGTCACCGGTTGACCAGATACAGTCAGTATTTGAGCAGGAACCGAATTTGGGGCGGCTTCACCTTTCACGATCTTCAACCATTGCTCTACCAAGCGACTTGCTAGACAACGGACACCCTGATGACTGCCTTCCTTAGAAAGACCTTTTATCAATTTCGGGCAGTTGTTACTCTTTAATCGTTCAATATCCACGGGACACAATAACAAGAGTTCTAACAGTTCTTGAATAAGCGCCCAATTCTTAGCTAGGATTCCATCAGTCAGCCACATATGAACGAGATTCCAGCCACCCGCACCCATGAATCTGAAACAATGGTCAAAACGCGATTTCGTATACCGATAAAACAAAGTGCCCCCAGGCTTTCGTATGACATTTTTCATTTAATTGAAAAAATAATGGTAATATATTATTCTAAATACGTATATTTGTGGTATATATAGATAATAGTATGGATGGAACGAATTTCTTGGACTTCAATATGTCTCATGCTTTGTTCAGAATATAATTGAAGTTAATCTCAACTAGTAGACCAGTTTTTAATGAGAATTTGAAAATTAACAAATGGGCGTAGCTGACTAAATTATCCAAACGGTGAATGTATTTAATCAGAAAGAGGATGAAATCAAATATCGCCAAAAACTATAAATCCTGACATAGCATTAAGAGTCTGTAGTCCCATAAATAATTTCTGTATTTCTGATCAATAAAGCAATAATTTAATGACTTAATTATTAATTATTTTGTATAAGTTAGTGTAGGACACATATCAGTGAGTCCGGCCTATTAAATGCAGCCGACCGATGGTTCAGAGTCCTTGAAGATTTAATCTTGCATGTTTTTTTTTGTATTTTCATACGTATTATCGAAATTTCGAATTATCCGTATGTCTCAACATGCATTCCGAAGATAGTCATTGTTATTTTTCAACGTCTAGTTTAATCCTTACGCTTATGTATTATACGTATATTTAAAAATCGCTACATCCAATGTTAAGTACTCTACGTTTATATGTCGTCAATCCTTAGAGATGATATTCCAATCCATCTGAATGATTCTGTTCTATAAAAAATTTCGATTTTACATATTAAAATCTATTGCTTCTTATTTCCACATTTAAAAGCAAAAATAAACCATTAACGAAATACTTATACATGACAAACCCGAAGAAAAGAAAAATTAGTTCATTGTCTACAGTAAAGTACGAATCAATTAGGTAAACATAAAATGAGAAAAATATACAAAACGAATTGTTAGTGGTAGGCATAATATGTATACTCACTGGCCCAGGAGTTCAGTATTGGTCGTTTTGAGAATCTGGATGTAAATGCACTTGGAAACAAGCTTCTTGGAGAATTTAGTCATGAGGTTGGCCAGCCTGTGGACCTCTTCTTTACTTTTTATCCCACCGCTTGGACCCAGTAGAACGCTGAGGCATTTCAGCAATGAAAGGGGATCTATGCGCGGCTGAAAAATAATGAAAACAACACAAAATTAGAGAATTACATTTTCTTCTTGTTTACGTGAGTTCGTTGAATGCTTGGACGACCGTTACAAACTAACGGACGGGTGCCGACAACAATGAAATTTCTATTCCTTTGCGAGAGGTTTCCAACTACGTCATGAAATATGATTCACTTGCTATACATACATATATATATATATGTGTTTATATATACAGCGATTTTATAAATTTGCACGTTCATGAGTCACTCATATGTGTAAAAACGGGGAGTACCTCAAGCAAGAAAATGTTGTAAGAATTTAAATAATATATATCAACCAAATGTTAACTTAATTCTACAAAAATTCACAACCGGCGAATATCGACAAAAGATTTGCGACATTTTAATTTTCAGAAATCCAGATACTATGCACCCTATTACCTTTCCCGTTGTATTCGGAGCCATGAGTACACGCAATTTTGATAACTGTGAGATAAAGTACGATTTATAATATTAGATAAAAAAAGGGCTATTAAATTTTTAGCAGAGTCCTAGAATTTTGCATGGAACAATGCACTGAAAGTCAGACAGTCTTTACTTTAGAGCGGCCACGTTGCGCCGCATACTCTGACCCATTAAAGTTGGCCAGGATGCATTGGAATGGATCCGTGGTTGGAGGTTATTGATCATCTGCCCCCACCGTGACTATAGAGAGCGACAGTGGTGCCATCTGAGTCGAAACAATCCGGAACTTTGGCGAATTCCGGCGGAAGTAGCCGAAACAAGGGGAAAAACGTAGAACAACATGGCCGACGAATTACAAAAATGCACAGAAATTTCTTCCAGAAGAAAAATGTCAAAGACTCGCAAGGCCGTTCAACGATGAACGGAAAGAAAAAATGCCAAATGAAATTTAGTGAACTCACCATTTTTAACTGCGGTACGATTTATCCACGGCGTGCTAATACTTTTTCGTGCTTCTAGATGAATAGCATACCGGTAATATCTGCAAAGAGACACAAAAACGTCCATTTACGCGTGCAGGTCACCCCGTACCGCCATCTTGACGGTTGCCCTCATATCGATATTATAGAATGAAAATATGAGAAATGGACTTCTCGAGTAATGTAACGGGCAAAATACGGAAAACGTGGGGCTTGGGTCTCTTGCAAACTTGAAGATTAATTATAAAATAAAGTCTCTGCTTGTCCCTCTATCTACCAACTAGTCTTGCCGAACCGTCATTATAAATAAAACGCTCCGATATATTACTGCCAGTAAATTATGGCTGTACGAAAATTACGCTGTAAAAAGGAGAAATGCTCTTTACGGCTTCGAGACGATCTCGAAATCCTTGGACAGCAAACGACAGTAGACTGCCGAGTCGAGATATGTGCAACGATTCTGCGCAGTCCCCACCCACTATAAAATATTAGCCAATGAACGCCTCGTACGCATTAGTATAGCCAATGGGCACTAACCTTATCCCCCACTCTAATTCCTGTCACCGTAGGCTCATTCTATTTATAGCACTATGCAAATACTTATACGAAATCGTTAATTGTCCGATTTGGTATTATAGCTCGCGAATTATCACTTGCTACACTCTATAAATGCATCGTTTTCTAGTAGAAACGCATCACTTTCGATATATTTTTTAATAAAACTATATCCAAATCCGTGCGTGTCTCTTCGTACGTGGAATTTTTGATACATTCACTAGTGTTCATTTCTCGTTAACGCGAGTTTCTCAAACATAACGGGGATGTTCGGTATTTATGACGTTCTTGACTTGTTTGGGAAATAAAGAGACAGAGAGCCCCAGACCCCTTATTTTACGTCTCTAAACTCGATTTAAAGATGTCCACCTTCTCCTTTTTTTTGTATTTCTTTGATCTTTTATATGTCTAGTGGATGATTATTCTTAAGTACGGCCGATCGACTAGCCACTCACATTCGTTAGTCTCAACAATTCAATCCTTTTTTTATGGGTAACAAATTATGCACAGCAATTTTCGTATGACGTGAGTAAGAGGATTCTCGGGCATTTCCCCTAGTGCACAATATGTGTATAGGCTGTGTCCTTGCGAGCGATAGGACAGGCCCCTCATCGAAGGACGCTACAAGACTTCTTGGAGAATCCGCATATATCCTTTTGACTCTCTGCCATCTGCAATCAAAAATACCACTCCGTCAAACGATTTTTGCCCTAGTCTCTTTTTACACAATTATTTCAAACGTACTACGCGATTTTCACGGGAATTTTACGGAAAGCTTTCCTCACCTAACTGTACGTAGCACCAGCTTCCTCGGTAATACCGGAAGTAGGCCTCTACAAGATAACCTAGTCAAATCAACCGCTTACTTTATTTTCTGAAGAAGGTTTCAATCGCGTTACGTTTCAAACTCTTAGAGATTAATGCAATATAATATTATTTGTTTAATTAGTTATTTCGATGATCAATTTATAATTTTAATCATGAAAAATTATAAATTTATTAGACAGTATTTTGATGTTAAAAGGAAAAGGGCGCACCTCTATGTTGATACGTAAGTCAAATCAGTAGTGAAAATGTAAGACATGAAAAGAGAATAATGAAGCAAATTCCATAATTTTGTTGTAAACGATAAGAATCCAATTATTTGTCTTTTATTTAACACTATAATCACTAGTTTATTCTTCCCTAGTAAAAACTAATTAAAAGTGTAATGTATAAAAGTAGTCAAATCCTTCTTCCATCATTATTATGATTATTTAAATAGACACGTTCACTTTATATCAAAATCGGATGAGTGACATGAATTATTCTGCATCAATGACATGCACTTGTACTGATTATATTACTAGTATATTTAAGTAAAAATCTTTGAAATAGTGTTGTACAATTTTGCACTGTACAAATATTATTTTGACTTGGAAATAGAAAAGTTCTCTAAAAAATTCCCTAGAATGCAGTGGTTCTCAACTGCAATAATCGAGATAGCGTGAGAGAAATCTCAATAATCGTCTTTAATTCGTTTCTAACCTATTGATGTTCCAGGGGTAATTGAATTGCACTAGGACAATGTCATTCGTTTTAATAGGATTACAAACAACAGCAAGGTCTCTGCGTGCCGGTCTATTAAACAGGGTAAATTAACTAATTGCGTACTTTTTGTAAGTAGACAATCAAAAAGTTAATCGTACAAGTTTTCTCATTCTATATTTCCTCTTAGACCGTACCGTGTAGAAGTATTTTTCTCAGCTCGCCTTTTCGTGATATCGAAGAGGCCAAGAATGACAACACATTAGATGCAAAACGAGACACAGATCAAGGAATAACTTCATCAAGAGATAGGTCAAGAGTAATTCCAGTTGAAACAAGCATTCGTTATTTAGCTAGTGACGGTAGGTGTATACTTTGCAAAATATATATTTGTACTTTTCTACACTAATCTATGGCATTTACTGTATTTATTCATTGTTCTCTTAATTTAAGCATACAAGCAGACATATGGTGATGACCCAATATGGAAATTATACAGACGAAACCATAAAGGCTTGCATCCTCCCAAAAAAACACGTAAAACTTGCATTGTAAGTTTTATATGTAATCAATGATCTGTAGAAGACATTTTATAAAATTTATAGTAATTGCTTTTTTTATTGTTTAGAGGGCAAATGTCGTTACTACAGGAAATCCATGTCCTTTATGTCGTGATGAATATTTAGTCCTTGATTATAGAAACACTGGACTGCTTAATCAGTTTATCTCTCCACATAATGGTGCAATTTTTAGTTACACGTAAGTTTAATTATTTATTATTTATTGTTGCCCCTATATTCAGCATCTTACAATTGATTCCTATTCGTTTTCAGGAAAACTGGTATTTGCCAAAAGAAATATAAGCAGCTTCTTATTGCCATTTACAGAGCCAAGGATCGGGGTATAATAACCTTCGATCTTCCCTTTAGGGAATATAATTATTCTGAGTGGAAGCCTAAAGAATTACAAGCAGAGAATTAAATAAAAGACATAACACTATAAGATTGTAAAAAATCAGTACCATTAAAACCGTGAAATTCTATTTCCGAATTCGCAATCAATTATACCATATGAACTCAAATAATAAAGGATCAAAGGACGAAATGGCGAGTACTTCAACATCTGCTACTTTTGTTGTCGTGGGTGGAGGTATCGCCGGAGTCTCCTGCGTGGAAGGACTCTCCTTTTTAAATCCGGAGGAAAAAGTAATTTTGATCACAGCGAGTTCATTAATAAAAGCTGTAACAAACGTTGTACCTCTTGGAAAATTGATAATGAAATTCGACATCGAAGAAAGAGCAGCAAAAAGTCTTTCTGAAGCGCATTCATCAGTTGACGTTGTTCAGGATAAAGTTATAAGAGTGAACCCAACAGAAAAGATAGTGGAGACGAAGTCCGGACATATTATTAAATATCAGAAGCTTTGCTTGTGTACCGGTGCGAGACCGAAACTCATAGCCGAGGGACATGAGAGAGTCTTGGGAATTCGAGATACGGAGTCCGTAGAAGAATTCAGTAAAAAACTACAATATGCAAAAAGAATTCTTGTCCTAGGAAACGGTGGAATAGCTACCGAACTCGTGCACGAGGTACAGGGTGTTGAGATGATATGGGTCATCAAGGATAAACATATTTCAGCAGCGTTTGTGGATCCTGGAGCTGCTGAATTCTTTCAGTATAAATTGTTACATCCTGGAACTTCAAGTAAGGATAACAGTAGTGCCACAAAGCGGATGAAGTACACCATATCCGGTGATAAAGTTTCTAAGGGTGGTCCAGCTCTTGGACCCGATTGGCACAACAATTTCCGCATCGAAGGAACTTCTACAGTTAAAACTAGAGTGCAGGTCGAGTATGAATGTGAGGTTTTGAAGATCCTAGAGCCCGAGGATTTAAAAAGTGTAGCTCGTGATAAGGATGATGAAGATCCGGATAAAACCAAGTGGCCGATTTACGTTGAACTAACAAATGGAAAAATCGTGGGAGCTGACTTTATCGTTTCCGCAACTGGAGTAATTCCAAACTCAGACATCCTTGGTTTGGAGTCATTGAACAAATACGAAGATTATGGTTTCGCTGTTGACTGGAAAATGGAAACTTCACATCCTGACGTATACGCAGCTGGTGATGTCTGCACGGCATCCTGGGAACCAGCAGAACATTGGTTTCAAATGCGTCTCTGGACTCAAGCACAGCAAATGGGTCAATACGCTGCACGCTCAATGAATTCCAGTTTAAAGAACGAACAGTTCTTCCAGGACTTTTGCTTTGAGCTCTTCACACACGTCACGAAATTCTTCGGCTACAAAGTCGTTCTCATCGGCCTCTTTAATGCCCAAAAACTTGGCAAGGAATATGAGATTCTACTGAGAACCACCAGAGGTAAAGAATACATCAAACTAGTTCTCAAGAATGGAAAACTCCAAGGCGCAGTTCTGATCGGCGACACGGATCTTGAAGAAATGTGTGAAAATCTTATTCTTAACGGACTGGACTTATCGATTTACGGAGAAGATCTACTGAATCCTGATATCGATATTGAGGATTACTTTGATTGAGGTAGTTATACAGATTTTTCTTAACTTCACGATATATAAGTGTACTATTCAAATGGTAGTTTATTGCAAACGTATAAAAAGCTCATTACAAATATATTATAGATTTATAGTCTCCCCCTCATTCCTGACGTGTATCTGATTATGCTTCTTTCTTTATATTCTATCTTTTTTTCTCTTACATTGTATAAAGAATATATTTCCCACCCAAATACGATTACACAATCGTCAATATAGTGCCCTTTCCTATCTATACGGAATCGCCATAGAAAAATAATTAAGCATTCAAAGTTTTTTGTTTACTGTTTTGAATAAATTAACTATATTAATATAATACCGCTATTTTTTAGCTTCTATTATTAATGAAGATTATAACGGATTATATACATACAGATAAACATATTTGTAAGGAACTATTCGCGGTGGCAGTAAGATTGACATGCACTGGACCTATTTTTTAAATTTGATAACACGTGTAAAGATAAAAAAAATGATAGACTTTGATCATTATTATCAGAGATAACAATATATCTCAAAATCAACGCGCACGCATCTCCATGATCCAATAAATTAAATGATTCTGTAATTTCTTGGTGATATTTTGAAGTATCAGATTACTTTTCTTTCGCGAACATTCCTCACGTATCATGGCAATGAGGTTATTAAGTCTTTTCGTTTTTCCGTGTGATTCAACACACGTATACTAAATGCTGTAAGATAGATATTATAATATGACTAATTCAATTATATCTAATAATCACAGCACGGAATCTCTTTTGATTTGATTATCGTAACGTGCAAGGGTCCCACAGTTTATTAGAATCAAATTAAGATGGCTTGAACGATCTGATAGTATAAATATAAAAGATATTTTGGTATTATTAAAAAAAAAGGAACTGCCAGTCAAAATATAAAACGCGAAAAACTGAAACACAAGTATGTTTGAAATAATTAAAGATAAAAGTACAGACCCTAAAGAAAAATTGCTCATGATCAATAAAAAAAAAAATAGAGAATACAGTTATTGTACGTTGAATTGTACAGTTTTTGAGTTTTTCAAATGTGGACAAGTACCCCGAGATTTTGATTTACTTGGAGATTCATTGGAATTGGATTTTGTATCCTTTTTCGAAAGATCTTCATCAATGAAATTTTCAAATAAATTCAATATCTCAATCTTCTCTTCGTTGATATTGTTTTTTGAATTTTCTCGATCATTAGAACTCTGATCTAATCTGTCATTTAGACTTAGATTCTGCTTAGCATTTTTTGTATCACAATGAACAGATTTCTCATTCTTATCTTGTTTCTCCTTTGAGCTTTCTTCAAGATCCAATTGATTTCTCAAATCCATAACGATACTTTGAACTTTGTCTAAAGCTTTTGTAACGGCACCACTGGTTTCACGACTCTCATGCAAATGACACAAATGCGCCAATCTCTGAACTGCGATTTCAATCTGGCTGAGACATTCAGCTTCCTGTAATTGTAAACCGTCAACTTTTCCTGAATCGTCCTTTAAATATGATATTCCAGTTTCCTCTAATATTCCAGCGTCCATTGACAGTTGATGAAGACTTTCATTGAGCTGACGTCTAACTGGTGTCATATTTATTGATATTCGACTAGTGTTTAAACTGTCATCCGCTATTTCGCTTTCATCGAAGGTCACCCATTGGTCTTCAACATCTCGTAACACCTTCAATGAGTCCTCCACGTCAAATTCTCGTAGTCGATGCACCCAGTCGAGGAACCTCATTGGCTTCCATAAAGTCTCTTGGTTATGGTCCTTGTCTCTGATTCGTATTGCAGGCTGAAGCCCTTTTTCGGTTAGAACTTGCTGCTGGTTGAATTCCTGTACACATAATTGATAATGGATATTTTATACAAGGGTCGCCATATTTTAATTTACTTTATTAATTCTAATTAAAGTATCGAGTGTGATAATAGGACTGTTGTTAAAGTTCTATGGGTGGAATCCCATTAGAGAACCAGATCAGGTTGAGTGAAAGTATTGTGATCTAGTTTTTTTTTGGGTGTGGTCCATGTATGTATGGAAAAAAGGATCACGCGCAGCAAAATATTTCATTGGAACCCAGAAGAATTTATAGATTTACCCTGAGGATTCTCGAAATCTTTGATTTTGTAGGATACTCCAAAATTTTTTTACGACAGTGGTGTATTGCAGTTATAGGACAATTTTGACAATATTTTATGGGGGAAAATAAAAATTATGGAGGCGCCGGGTATCGATCCCGGTACCTCTCGCATGCTAAGCGAGCGCTCTACCATCTGAGCTACGCCCCCTGTTATTTTATACAATATATTTATTGTTACAAGTGGAAGAAACAGCCCAGTTTCAGAAATCTTATATGAACGGTGTAATTGCGCATTAAATGATTTAAAGATTCTTTAAAGGAAATATTACTCGAGGAAATGTATCCATTTGATTTGGCATTTAGATCAAAATTTATATAAGTGGGGTTTTTTGATTTTGACATTTTTTGAGTATTGTACTTTGGAGCAAAATGAATTTTTTGGAGGCGCCGGGTATCGATCCCGGTACCTCTCGCATGCTAAGCGAGCGCTCTACCATCTGAGCTACGCCCCCTGTTATTTTATACAATATATTTATTGTTACAAGTGGAAGAAACAGCCCAGTTTCAGAAATCTTATATGAACGGTGTAATTGCGCATTAAATGATTTAAAGATTCTTTAAAGGAAATATTACTCGAGGAAATGTATCCATTTGATTTGGCATTTAGATCAAAATTTATATAAGTGGGGTTTTTTGATTTTGACATTTTTTGAGTATTGTACTTTGGAGCAAAATGAATTTTTTGGAGGCGCCGGGTATCGATCCCGGTACCTCTCGCATGCTAAGCGAGCGCTCTACCATCTGAGCTACGCCCCCTGATAATTTAAAATACGATTTTGAATTATGGGAATCCAAAATTTATCCCATATTGTGAATTTAATGCTCAAACTGTACTTGCAGTAAGACATGTAGTTAATATGATGTATTGAGAATCACATAGGAGTGAAACTCTTCATTATTAGTAAGTGACGACTTGGGCAAAAAGTTCATGAAACAGTTTTTTATTTTAAATAATTACAAAAACTGTTTTATAGTGCAAAATGAATGTCTTGGAGGCGCCGGGTATCGATCCCGGTACCTCTCGCATGCTAAGCGAGCGCTCTACCATCTGAGCTACGCCCCCAGTTGATGATAAAATATATATAGAAATTTGGGATCAAAAAAACTCACCCAAATTTTGAACTCTGTGCACGGAACGTACTAATAATAAGCTACAAGATGTAAATGTAATATAAATATATTGAGTAGCAAATGCATCACATTTGTATCGAATAATAAGGCGAAAAGAATAAGTGGTGTTTTTTGAGTTTCTGGATTTTCAAACATTTTTAATATGGAGAGCAAAATATGAAAATTATGGAGGCGCCGGGTATCGATCCCGGTACCTCTCGCATGCTAAGCGAGCGCTCTACCATCTGAGCTACGCCCCCTGTTTATAATAAAAGAATTTCTAAATCAATGGAACAAAAAATTAATCCGACTCCAATATTGCAATATATCAACATCTGTTTGAAGTTGGCATTAAAGAAATTTAAGTCATGGATACTGTGCTGATATTAGACAACAAGCATAGTCATAGGATTTTAAAAGTATTATGGTTCTTAATTTAATTACTAACGTCACTAACAAAAATTAATTGAAATTATAAAAGTAGGGCTCGTCCGGGATTTGAACCCGGGACCTCTCGCACCCTAAGCGAGAATCATACCCCTAGACCAACGAGCCGACCTGATGGACATTTACTTTCACTACTTCGCATTGTCCGTAGATACCCAATTACGAATCCAAAATCGAGGTCATTCAATTTCTTATACAAAAGTAATGGGCTCGTCCGGGATTTGAACCCGGGACCTCTCGCACCCTAAGCGAGAATCATACCCCTAGACCAACGAGCCACATAATAATTTCATAATTGGTTGATTCATATTTCCAGATAGCGATAAATAACTCATTATCAAGTAAGAAAAAAATGTACGAAACTACTTACATAATTTATACCGACATCTCTACATCTCTCGGTAGCTTCTCGCACCAGTAATTGCATTTCATGAAGAGTCACCCCACCGTTCTTAATAGCATCGTTGCTACACTTCAGCTGCAAAGTTGTTTCAGCATCTGCGGTGGTCTCGTTAAGAATAGCCTCAAGTTCCGCGAGAAAATTTGAATGGTATGGCGGTAATGTGTCGCCAGAAATGGTGTGTTCGTTTTGAATTTTTCTTACACGCTCATTTGTTTCCATTTCGGACGCAATAATTTCTTTCTCCAATTCGAGCTCCTTTTTGCGACGATTCACTTCCTCCAAAGCCATTTTCTGCCGTTCCAATGTCGTCCCAAGCGCCTGTATTTCACGCTCGAATGTGAGTTTTTGCGAGCCCAATTGCAGCTCCACGTCTTTCTTTGCATTCTCCAATTCCTTGATCGCTTTGCGTTTCGATTCTTCCAATTCCGCTCTTAATCTAAAGTCAAGAGTTATCAAGGATTAATTTGTCGCTCCGACTTTACGAAATTGTAGCAATATTTAGTAACTGAAAAACCTATAAAAAAAAAAACAAATAAGAGACTGAATTACTTTTCCTCTTGAATTCGAAGAATCTCCTGGTGCGCAAACTCGAAATCCGTTGGATGTACAGATGACTGAGCATTATCATCTTTTGGATTGCAAACACGAAAATAGTGATTCCCGCCAATAACAAGTCTGTCTCCATGTTTCAGCAAAACTTTTCCCGTTACTATCTGAAAGGTTGAAATATCGCATTAATTGACAATAAAAACATTGTAAAGAGATCTCATTTTCAGAGTTACAATTTCTAAATTATAATTACAAGTTCAAACTCACCTGTCCGTTAACATAGGTATCGCTGTCGACTTCCGGCGTGAGAGTCAGCCTGCCATTGTTATTCTCGATCGTACTAATAAAAGAATAATAGAAAATTAAATCACAGACATTATAAATATGCAGGAGAAAAACGGAGAAGTGCATTATATAAAAGAAGAAATAAATCTGCAGCTTCACCATATCGATTACTCATTTCCATGCGAAGAATCAAAACAGAATTGATTAAATAGCCACTGGGCCGCGTTCAGGTCAATTCAAATTGACCGTTGAAAACTCTCGTTAATATCAAAAATTAATCTGTGGATGCTGGACGAATTTCAATAAATGTTATTTAAACGCAGTTGACCTAAACTTGGCCCAGAAATCAGAAGCCCGTCGATTAATTAAATTCGATTGACAAGCGAAGTCAGTCTGGAAAGCAATTTCTGGGACGACGGTTCTGTAGGTATTCAGGACATGCATCGGAACATTAACAGGATATGAACTGCAAACAGGTGCAATGGCGGGAGACCTGAAAGTAGAACCTACACCGCATGACTAACCAGTGAAGATGTCGGACCAATGGTCCATCGAGGACGATGTCGACGTGGCTGACAGTCCTGTTGCCATGATCAACAAACTTGCTTCTGTTACTCTTTGCCTTGCCAACACGAACCATACCCGGTGGTACGAGATAAAATAAGGTGCCCGAGAGAATGGGATCAGCGGTGAGATTGATAAGACACGGCTGATCGCATTTCTCGTTCACGTTAAGCTCAACAGCGATTCCACGACGTCGTAATTGATGAAGTTCACGATTCTTTTGTTCCTCGGCTTCGCGAAGACGGTCCATCCAGGATCTGTAATTAACGGCTACTAAACAATCGAATATCCGATAAATAAATAAAAAAAAAAGAACAATAAGTTCGATGACGTAAGAACGATCAATCTAAAGCTGTGTCTGTAACGTATTAATCTTTAGAACAAAAAGATCCTTTAGCGATTTTATAATCTCTCTACCATAACTCGTTATCTATGTAATATGAGAAACAAATAAGATTAATACATTAATGACTCAAACGAAAGCTATTGATAATCCATGCATGACAGATCCTTGTATTAAAATATTTTCGCTTCTACTTTCTTATCGACCGAGCGTGGATACCTAATCTCATACTGATAAAGTTTATGATATAATAATTTCCCTCGGATCAAATAATAATTTCAGCCAAAAATACGTTGATCCTTACTTCTGGGTAAGACACAATTGTTCCTCGGTCTTTCTCAATTGTTCACGTAGATTCTCTATTTCCTGTTCCTTGGCCCGAACTTCCTCAGTCGCCTCGTTACCTCCATCGGGTCTCTGAGGATGATTTCCAAGCTGTCTTTCATATCCTTCACGAACGCCACGTAGCCTCAACACTTCAGCCTTCAGTTCACTGTTACCAGGGCAATAATAAAACGATAATTAATTAAACCATCGAATACGACGTGCAATGGGTTCTAGTACAACTTCCCATATGGAAGACACTACTTACCGTATCAGTCTGTCATGAGGATCTTCATTGATTCGGACTCTATTAACTATAGCTCTTGCTTGACAGGCGTATCTCAAGGTAGCAAGTGTTTCTTCTAGATGAATGCTGGCAGGTGATACAGTGCCTAGCATGGCGGTTCTGGAATTTCCCCCCAGACTTTCCTGAAAAATAAAAAAAGTTAAAAATCAGTAAAATTATTATAAAATGATCTGGCGAGACTCGCCCGAGTCTCATGACTTGATAACTGATAAAACATTTATATTACGTAAAATTTTTATGAGTGATGCTTGATCAGTGTCGACTGGTTTAAACAAATAAACCACGTCACAACACTATCAAAATTATTAAATAAACTGTAGAACTGCGTGCTAGATATGAAGAAACGTTTGATCAGGGTTCCTGTTAAAACAATAGTTACGAAATAAGAAGGTACGCACTCTATTGGAAAAAAAAGACTTGATAATGATCGAGGTCGGCAAATATTTACTACGTCTTCTAACCAAGGTTGTGGATATGAGATAAAAGAAAGAAAATTTTTTTTTGATAAAAAAGATGTAAAATTAAAAATCATAATCTTATCAACGTTAAAGAACATTATGTGATTATTTACTTCAAATAACACATTGTTCTACTATGCGCTGTTTTTTATGATTGATCTCCAGAACACTAAATGTGACTGATAAACATATTATTGACACTCTGTATATTTTCAAATTCAAGCAGATAAACAGTCAGATAAAATTTATATAGGTCCAATCGTCTGTACCAGTAATGGATATTCCATATAAAATCATATACTTGTCTCTCTTACACACATTGTACGTCCATTAAAATGTCCACAACAGATACAGTCTCTAAGATTGGGCCTACTACCTTAGTATTGTTGCGTTATATCTTACAGTTGTCTTTATTAGGGAGAAAGTATAGTGAGTATCGACAATGGCAATGAAACGATAATAAGAATAAGTTTGTCAAGGCGCAAACTTAGCAGACGGTGATTCTAATCGAATTAAATGAAAAGTGAATTGTATGTGCCAACCAACGCGTATATCAAAACCGGAATTATATCTGACTAAATGTCGCTCTGGCCTGTTTACAAGATTCTGCTCCGTGGAATTCAGTCACGTATCTACTTTTTATTCGAAACGTTATAATCTATGGTAAAAAAAGTATGTCGATCCGACACGCTACACCGGTCACAAAATAAATGGCGTTGGACATCAAAGATATAAAACAGCCGGTTATCGTTTCAGCAGATATTTACGAAAGAAACATAACCCCAAATATCGTCAAATAGACTGCTGACTAAAGAAAGAAATCGATCCATCTTTAAGTTATTAATATATCATCCATCAAACATACATAAATCATTATTTTTAAAGTTATTTGTATCTGTCTTTTCCATTTACAGTCATTCAATCTATTTTTATATACAATCCTTTGACAAGAGAATTTAAAGTGTCTGTCTTTGAGTATTATAAGCTTTGACAGATAACAAAGCTGTAACACACAAAGTTCAACTATAATGTTATCACAGTGTTATCCTCCAGTTAACAATATAAATTTAAAACATAAATACCGCCATAAAAATTATATAATCACGGTAAACTTGTTCGAATAAGAAATAAATTTATCATTCAACCACAAAATGCATACTGGAAGTGATATTACTGATGTAAGTGCATTAGCGTTGCTTATGTTAGTCCACCGGCAATTGATATGAGATTTTTCACGGGACAATAGAAATTATGTCTTATCTTAACTTACAATGTAAAGGAGTAACAGGTCATTGCACGGCGCATGTACATGATCATAAAGGAAGCAGAGACTGATGCGCAAAAGTACATAATCCTGTGTAGATTTGATTTTCTCGAAGAGGGTAACGTACGTTATCAGCGGCACGTGCGACCGGTGAAGCACGCTGTATTGATCACGGTCGATGGTATAGTACAGCGCTCATTCGAAAGGGGGAAAAAAAGTGGCAAGAGTGGGAACAGGAACTGGCCAATTGGCTTATATGAGAACTGGGCGTGAACTGTAGCAGCACAACATTTAACCGCAGGAACGCATGCTGGCTCAGTGCATCATGAAACGCTGTTACGTTGATATTTACGTTACAATATTGGAAGCGTAGTAAACATTGAATAGTCTTAGCGTTAATTGCCAGAAACTACCATATCGCTTGATACGTACGAGTCTCGTACGGAAATTGGCAAAGCTTCGAATGTAGTAGAAAATATTAATAAAACTTGTAAAAAAAAAGTTTTTAAAAAACACATTCAAGAATTGATCTGAAGATCTTTCGACGATTATACCACTATCCTAATTCGTCATTGGGGAATGTTGACACTTTGAAGTAATACATTGGAAATACATACAAGAACAAGAAGATGGATCTGATCTATGTTCCGGAAATACTCAGTTATGGATCCCTGAGGTATCATCATTACAGGGACTTCGACAAACCGTGGAATCGCGATTACTACAGTTACGGTAAGTCGTAGGTCGTCGATCTTGACGGATTACGTCTGTTCGCTGAAACAACATTGAATCCTGGATAAATTAAATTTTTGCACTAACTTGTAACCAAATATTCCACAAACACGTGAAGTCCTTCGTTTGAGATTAGTTAACGATAGAAGTGTGCAGTGACGTCATTTAATTATCATGTCCATACAAAGAACTATCGTTTATCGTATAGAGCGAAAAAGTTTACGTGACTTATTTTATTTACCGTTTATCTCCTAAGGTTCTACATTCTTGTATACTGACGTAAAGCAGTAGCGAGATCTCACGCCTACAGCACAGAGATAACGCTTACGTCTGATTGTATCATAAACATTGATTAGTCGCTTATATAAAACTATTATAAAAAAAAGTCTATCGTTATTTTCTTTACGTCAATGACGAGACTGCACAAAAATATAATATCTATGTTGACCATAAATTTTATACGTCGTAAGCGTTCACTGCGACTGTCATTCTTTTTTTAAACGTGTTCAGCCAAGAATATCCCATATGTCCGAGTCTCGAATCTCGCGTCGCCGAGTGGCTGTTGTACAGGTCGTGTCAAAAAGTATCATCGACAATTCACACGTATGAGAAATCGCCTTGACGGTACACAGAATAGCCGGAAAATTGGGTCGTCCTGGGAGAAAACTGTAGCAATGACGAGGACCCGCGGAAATTGAAGACAGTTCGTTAGAAATCGAAAGAAAAGTCTTAAGGTTGCCTGAATCAAAGTTTAAATAGCCGTAAACGTGACCTTTGTACCTTGAGGCAATCATTTCGATACAACTAATCGGATAGTTAAACAAATTACAATATCTACATAGTTACTATAATTTTCATTGTCGGATAGAGGATTGACAATTCCTACGCGTGAAGACAGATACGCTAAGAAAATCTAACCGCGAAGGCTACGACAGGCGGGACGCCGACGAAGCCGGTTCGACCAGTAAACAGACCGTCCTCGGTAGTTGCCAATGGCTATGCGCCGGTTTACCTTTTACATTTGAGTAAACCGTATGACGCGTTTGAATATGGAATGAGCTACGCTTCCAAAGCTGTTCGGCTAATAATTTTCTTGTGATACGTAGTTGTTGACAGTAGAAAAAGCGCAGAAGATTTAGATTCCAAAGCTCCACCTGCGATTAGATATACAGTATGTATTAGAGGTAGAATTATACATATAATTATTCGTCATAGAAGAGGAGATACATACACCGTTGAACTATACGCATGGAGTACCTGTTTCGGTACTAGGATTCAGACCTTAAATATTCTACCTGTAGTCTCTACGTGACTGGAGGCACGTATTTTCGTTCTCATAGGATGAGAATACGACTATGCCACGCAATCGTGCAGCTGTGCGCGTCATCCAAGTAGGGCGTCCCTTGCCTAGCCAGAGAAGTTGGTGTTGGAGCTATAGGTCCTTTCATAGGTTACAAAACTCGAGATACTCTATGGGAATAATAAAATATTAATTATCGATATCAGAGTCATTTTCCAGAAAACAAATATCTGAAATTTTATCTCCGAAGTTTGGATAGTTAATAACAGACGCGTGTAGCCTATGCCAGAAATTCCATGAAACTTTAAGACACTTATACAGGTGTATTCAGTCGAAATGGAATGACAGCGATATTTACGCCTATTATTCTAGTCTTCTAATCGTAACTTTGACATAAGCGATTTCCTGAGGTACTAGTGATAACGTAACGAAGCTACCGCGTAAATTCAGCATGCGACGTAACGGGGGAAAGTATTGTTCGATGTAAATAAAAATCACACTCCAACCGCGCAGTATAGAAAGTGCAGTCAACCGAAATGAAGCGTGACGGTACATGGCCAAGCGCACCATGATTTATAAATAAGTAAAAATAGGAAATAGTTGAGAGAGACTTTTTTTTACGTAATATTAAAATAAAAAATATTGATGCATTAAGTAAGAACAGAAGACAGTAAATTCGAAAGCATAACATTCTGTATAAAGTTCACTTCCTGTCTAATCTACGTCCCTTCGACTGATACAACTGACGGTCACTCCGATAAACTTTCCATTACTGATATAGAGAGACAATAAATTTCAACCATAATTTTTCACCGGTTATGTCACGGAATTTGATATTCGCGTAAACACCCGTGCTGTTTATATTATTTCCTTTTTTTTAACCAGAACGGATTATAGTCGCAAGACACGTTCTATAAATAACTAACGCATTCGAAAGTCCGGCTATTATTGCATCCATACTATTTTACTGTTGTGCGCCTAGTTTACAATGGCGAATCTACATGACTGACTTCAACTATATATTTGGCACGATTGTTCTTCGCCTCCTCATAAAGTCTACATTGAAGATGCTACACGTTTGGAAGTGATTGTGTTATAACAATTAGTCACATATGGATTGACGATAATGTATAAACTGTTGTTAGGGACTCGTATATATGTGTATTTTATACTAGCTGAATCAGCACTGATTCAGTTACTGAATCACTTGGCGTTGTCGCCATAACTAAAATCAGGTTTTTAATTACACTGCGTATCATATCATTTATATTTATACAAGCATAGTCAGTATGGCGAGAGCTGATGGGGAACGGCGCATGTTAAACAAACATTGAAAAGTGTATAATTAGCCAGTATTAAAAGAAGTCTCTATTGCGTAGGTGTGTTAGCCGAAGGCTGAATCGTAGTCCGCAGTTTATTGAGTGCGAGCGCACTAAAAAATTGGGACAATAATACCAATGAGCCATTTGAGAAACGTGAAAAGTATATTGTACGTCAGGACCAAGAGTGGCTCCATTTACTGGTCGTAGGCTTAAGGCTTTATCGTAAGACGGATGAATAATGAGTGTTGAAAAGCTCGTTAATGCTAATTACCTCGATTATGTCTAAATTCATATGAATAAGAGAGAATCGTTCGTCTAATGTCTGTCTTTGGACTAGGTTTGTGTCGTATCGATGGGTTGACGCCTAAAGATCAGCAATAAAATTTAAAACTATTTTTCTTTACACTTTGGACTACTCCCGTTCTGTCGGATATATCTATATGTATTACTCGTCTTTCTTTTCTAGACAATTCAACGCCCACCAATCAGCGCATGGTACAGGAGCAGCGTACATCCACCTCCAAGGATTCTTGTCAACTGTGTCGTGAGAGTAAACGTCGCAGTCTGGCCGAGTATATACGTCGTAAGACCAGGCAGAATTCCTGCACGGGAATTCACGAGGAGGACGAGGATCTCGAGTCTCAGGTTGTCGAAAGTCCTCAGAGCACAGGAAAGAAGGAGACGACGGCTGAGAGCAAAAGATCTGAGACATGCGATCAAGCGAAGATGAAGGATACGAGTACATAATTGTGGGGATGAACGTGGCGGATTGAGACTCAAATTTTATGTTTTAAACGTATCAGCGAATACGGCTAAGGCAATAAGAGTCGAAGGGACTTGAGAAATATTTAAAGGGAAATATCGCACTGTAATGCATTGAGGTGCCTTGAATTGGACTTACAAGTAACTCGAGTCATTCGTTCAATGAGAAGAGTCCTCGGCAGACTTTTAGCAGCTTTAGTTTTTTTTTTTTTTTAATACCACGTTGGTGACTTTAGTTGACCTTTGTTCATCCTTTTGCATGAGGTCACGCTTATACTGTAATGCGTTCCGGTACGAAGGTCGCTGAAGATATGCTAACCAGGAACGAGAGGCAATTTCTTCCGTTTTGCACTGTACTTTTATTATTATTTTCTTCAGGTATTTTGATTCTTCGCTTTTATTTACGTACAATATCCGCATATCTCTGTGCTGATAATAATCGATGGATGTACCTGGTTGGCAAAGCCTTATGATTATTTATGCTTAAGCTGTCGCGTATATTAGAATAAGCATTAATTTCCATTAATTCAACATTGTTAAGAAATTGATATTCTATCACTTACTTAATAACTTTGCGGTATTTTATCATAATTTCATGATCTATCATTGCGTCTGTCGATGTTGTTCACAATCATGCAGAAATGCAAAAGACTGATTATAGAATTTGTATTGGGGAGTAAACGAAAGGAATGCGAACGTCGAGACTCGCGTTTCTTTTCTTTTACTTTGCACAAATTTGTACTTGGGCAGTCAAATACGTTTTATCTTTAGGAACAGGACAATAATGTATAGCCGATTCGAATAACGAACAAACTTTCATCGTGAAGCAATTTACGGCTAGCCGTATGTTTTTAATTATTCAACAGTATAATAAATATAATATTTAAGTTTCAAATGAAGCTGATTCACTGAGACTAAGCATCTGTTTCCTCATTTTTTTTTCATTTACAAAGTTAAATTAATAAATTTGAAAAGTCCACGTATGGGTATACGGGTGTTGCCTTTGTTCGTACAAGATGTCTGGTGGACAGGAAAGAAGCATCGTTTATACTGAATAATAAATAAAAACAATAAATTTTTACACAGCGGAATTGCCATCAATTTCATTGACAGATATGCAGATAATCTTATATTTCAACCATGTAGGCAAAGAAGATTAAAGGCATAAAAGGTCGTCATCTTGCGCTGATAGCGTCAAGATAAATGACAGAGATGGCGAGAGTGGTATATACGTATGTATATGTCTGAGTTAGATGATAAACGATATGATCATAGAAACTTATGTAAAAAAAAAGTTTCCATAAGAAGCAAAACTGTGGGACATAACCCATACCACATATTTAATTTATCAAGCGACGAAATTGCGCGGCGGAAGTTTACGACTTGGTCACTAAAAATTTGAATCGTGAATCATCGAGAAGGTTCCAGAATGTCGTGCCGTACAAATAGATCTGATAATGAGGTAATACGTATGTATAGAGAAAGCAGTGACCAAAAACAGCAACGAAGAAGCGGTCTGCGAAAGGAATCGATATGACAGAAGAATTTTCAAAGAAGGCGCTTGAATTTTCTAAAGGATACACTAAAGTGCGCAGTTTTGCACACGGTACTAGAGTCCCTCCAGTAAGAGTCCGGCCAACACCCGGAAGGGACGCCATATTAAGGGCATAATATGACGGAGCCAATCACTAACAAGCCCCACCGTTGGCCGGACTCTTACTAGAGGGACTCTACACGGTACCAGTCTACACATGCGCCCTTTAAACGCACGGCACCACGAATCCATGTTACAAGATAGCCTAGTGAACTGCATTCATTTGATCTTAAAAATATTGATACAATTTTAGTTATTTTTTCGTCAGAAACATAAGAAAAAGAGAAGGGAGAGTGAGCGAAGAATATTTAACGTAATAAAATATTAGTATGGATTACCATGGACTCAAAAACTATCAGTGAAAGTCCTCTCGCTTCGTGTAGCATGGACTTGTTGGTGCCGTGTGCAAAGGCGGCGGGCTATGCGCAACTTCTATAAAATTGATAGCGAGGAGACCGGAGAGCGAAGTTTGTGTCAGCCAATCTAAGTGAAGATAAGCGAGTCTACGGTTACTGCTTTACCGACAGAATGTTCTGGTCAACGTTGCGAGGCAAGGATCCTCTGGCGGCCAAGGAAGGTAAGTGCTTGTTATTGGGAAAAAGAAGATTACGTAATGGCTCTTGTTGCAAGAATATTAGATCTTTGAAACCGAATCCTTTCTTGGATACCAGGTGCGGCTAAAGAGAAGCCGAAGAAGAAGGGATGTGGAAGATGTGGGGAACGATGCAAGAGATGCGGGGAAAACTGTAAATGCACAGTTAGAACTGTACTGATACGGCCGCCTATGTTCACTTTTTATACGGATATGATGCACTGACTCTAAAGTCGAAGATTATTTATAATTTATATTAAGCATTACCTAGAATACGAATGATAGGCCCAAATTATTTATTAATTATTGACACGTAACGGCTGAAACTTAATAGAAGTATTTGTAGTTATGAATTTTAGGGGCGTTGGCAATCTCTCGAGGCTTCTTGGCGTAAAAAGTGTTTCAAGTGTTTCTATTGGCTAGTATTGCTTCGACCGCTTCCCAACGATTGACCCCCCATTTCTTGAGAATTTTTATACTTACATGTATACACATATGTATGTTTGTACATAGCGTAAACAAAAAATGGATACTTAATGTTCATATTAGAATTATTCAATCTTTTATACATGTGTAATATACAATTATTATTTATTGATATATATATTTTTTTCTTATTTCTTACCTTCAACAGCCATGTTAGCACAGATTCCCGGTACGGTACAAAACCACGCTTGCGATTACTGGTACTTTCCGCGAGAGAACCAATAACTTTACCCAAAGTCAATAAGGATTTGTTGATGGAAACACCTTCCTGTCGATAAGAAAAATTATATCGAGTGATTAATTCGTTTTGTAATCTAAAAAAAAAACGCAGAATTAACAATTACATGGCGAACGTTTACTTACTCTTAGTCGGTCTCCGCTTGCGCAGGTCTGACTTAGTCTTTCACTTCCGGCAAGATCGACTAGATTAATTTTACTTCTTTTACTAGGCTCGACAGGTTTACCCTCAGGAACGTCAATCCTCGTTTGTGTTAATATCACGCTGAAGATGCTGTGCGATCTTGAACTTTTCTCGTTCATTCCAGTTGCAGCAGTTACTCTTTGCGAATTGCCGACCTTTAGCCAAGCCTGAATATACAAGTTTATATAATATGCTGATGAAGAAGTAAAATAGATAAGAATCCTAATAATACTCGCCTGTAGATCATCATAACTTCGAACTCCATGTTGACTGAGATCAACCACGTACGGACCAAAAACGGGATGTTCTCTCACCTTCAATGGCGATTTCTTTTTCGAACCACTGTCACTCGCAAGCAAATCATGTATCTTTTCGTTATAAATTTCGAAATAGCTGATCTCGACTGATGTAGCGATTTCAGATGTTTGCTGTGCGCGACGAAATATTTCATAACAGAAACGCGGTATTATACCAGCTTCCGGTCCTGGTTTACTTCCTCCGGATTCTACACCCATCATACTGTAACTCTTCCCAGATCCAGTTTGACCATAAGCAAACAGGCACGCGTTGTAACCCTCAAATGCATTTTGTACTAACGGAAGTACCAGACTGCGAAACACCGTTTCCTGATCCGCATGACCTTCTCTATCAGAATCGGAATATGAGACAAAGCAGTGGTCGTACATAAAGGAATGCTGAGACGATTCACAATCTACAATGACGCTTTGACCTGCAGCGGTAATTATAGACGTGATTTTGGGTTCGGTAAGTTCTCTGAAAAAAAAATCAATATTATACATAAGCCAAACATTTAATTGATGAAAATCATTATAATATATATGTATATCAAAACTTTATATACTGTCCCATTAACGTTATTGATTAACGATATCTTTTAATGGTTTCCCATACTTGTTTCGCACCTGCAATAATTTTCTTACCGTAAATTTAGTGGACGGACACGTATGCCAACAGTTAGATTACTATTTTCTCCGTCGCATATTGTCTGTTCCTCGACAAAGATTTCTCTCCTCGGTGTTTCCACTTGTACCTGATTGAAACATTCCGGTGTACTTTGCGTCAGTGAGTGATCGCTAAAGTATCGTTTCATCGGAGTGCGGGCGTTCGACGGGGCGACTCTTCGCGGAGTGCAGAAATGCGTCACCGGTGTTTTGTCCGATGACAAACGTGTGTGTAAATTTGATTTCGATGGTGTTTTTAATTTTTCCTCTGAACAGAACATTCTTCTTGTCTGTTGCCACCGCGTATCACGTTCCGTACGAAGTTCTGGATTGCTACCGTGACCACTGTGATTTCCGTAGAATATGTATGAATTATTTTATTTCTTTATACATACCAAGACTAAAGGATGACAATTGAAAATTTGATGCACACAAAAAAATGTGCATGTTGTCTGGGACGTAATAATTTGTAGTAAAAAATGTAAAAAGCATCAAGTCGTTATTCAGTTTTTAAATAATCAATCATTAAAAAAAGATTGGTAGACGAGGAATTACCGTCGTTTCGAAAAACGTAACTTTTTATACTGGAATAATGATAAAGTATATTGCATTTATTGTATATAACGTATAAATGAATACGGGAGAAGAAATTATTATTCTAAAGAAAAATTACATGCCAATAGAAACAAAATATTAACAGATCAAAGCATAATCATTCCAAGTATTTAAAGACATTCCAATAAAAAGTAACCCATCAAATTAACCTCAACTCACTCTCTAGGGGGTCTGTTTTCCTTCCCGAAAGTGCAGGATGAACTCGCAAAAATTGCATTGCAAAAACCATGTGGGGTGCTCGGCTTTGATTTTTCGCACGACATACCACTGATTAATATTCAAAAGCTCGTAAGTAAAACAAAACAAAAAAAAGGAACAAGCAAGCAAATCATGCAGACACTTGAAAACAGATAACCTCGTAATATTGACAGTTGAACCGAAACTCGTTAAAGTTTCACAAATCTCTCATAATTCTATAAGAGGAAGCACAAGAGATTCCAAGGTAATGTCCTCTTTCTAATTAGCAGCGACACAAACGAATAACCATACGAAATACACGAAACTTATAACCGGTAAAATTGACAAACTTTGGACGCGGGTTCAACTACGAAATGGCGGCAATAAAAAGTAAACGCTTAGTCAGGCTGCCACTTGACAACTTTTAAAACATCGAATTCATCATCATATTACTTAATAAATTATGATTAACAACCCAAAATGAAACTTTGATAGAATAACAAAATAGTACATGAACATTATTAATTGAATGTAAATCAAATATGGCTAATCTTTCATTTGCAATTCATCTACGATTCTAATCATTCCGTTATGGTGGTAGCATTGTTAATTTTGAATATTTCGTTTACTGCCGTCCTTATTGCTACCCCTTCCAAGATTGTAATTATATAACAATGTTTTATCAATCAAATCTAATTTAGTTAATAATTTTTTATAGCGGGTACAATTAATAACGAATATTGAGTGCCATTGGTTTATCACTGAAATGATTCATACGTTTAAAAGAATTGTATATAATATCACGCACGCTCTTTGTGATATTTTACACCTTTATTGCGCATGACTATTCACTTTGCCACGAGTATTCCTATTGTGTGGTTGGTCGAATGGAATAAGTACTGTACGTGGGTTTTTGGTACATATGACACGTAGTGGGGGTCGAAAAATATTGTGAGGTTATCCGGTTAATTGCATTTGTTAAGTATTATCACATGTGAACATAGTGAACGTTAAAAGATAAAACTGTTAACATCCAGTGTGGAGAAGCTAGAACATGGCACCGTCATCGGCTTCGAATTCTCTTTCACCACTAAACACTCTTTGTCCTAGTCGAGCGTTTCTATCGCGTTTGGCTCTTGCCACGTTTCTGTTATTGATTCTTCTCAATTTTCCTACAATATGTCATAGTCATGATCACGATCATTCTCATAGTGAACCACCAAGTTTTAAATACTCTAAAGAAGCTAACAAAGCCTCTGTTGAAAGTACTCATCATCATCAAGTTCATTCCCATCACGATGGACATAGTCATGAATCTCCCAAAACTAAATCAAAGCCACTTCTCAGTGTTGAAGAATATAACCAGGTTGCTCTTCAAGCATTTGGTTCAACGTTACTTATATCTGCTGCGCCATTCCTTCTTCTGTTCTTTGTACCATTGGACAATACAAAGGAACGTGAACCACTGTTGAAAATTTTATTGAGTTTTGCATCTGGTGGACTTCTTGGTGATGCTTTTCTGCATCTTATTCCACATGCTCTTGTTCCTCATAGCCATTCCGTGTCAGAAGATTCTCATGACATAACAGAAGAAGGCCATGGTCATAGCCATAGCCACGGTGAACATGATCATGGTATGTCTGTTGGTTTGTGCGTACTTTTAGGAATAATAACATTCCTGATGGTGGAAAAAGGTGTTCGGTTAATTAAGGGTGATCATGGTCATAGTCATAGTGGTTCCGATAAGAAAAAGGATGACAAAACAAAAGTTAAATCCTCTGGAGATTCTGCAAAACTTACGCACAAAAAGGAGGATGTTAAAGATATTAAAATCGCTGGATATCTGAACCTTGTAGCAGACTTCATGCATAACTTTACTGATGGATTAGCAATTGGTGCCAGTTATTTGGTTGGAGAAAATATTGGGTACATTACCACATTCACCATATTACTTCATGAAGTACCACATGAAATTGGTGACTTTGCTATTCTTGTTCAAAGTGGATGCAGTAAAAGAAAGGTGAATTGTTTGAGTGCATCTTAACTATATGTATATTAACATCATTATATAACATTTAAATAACATTTGTTTTACAGGCCATGTTGCTCCAGTTGACCACTGCCTTTGGTGCATTACTAGGCACATATGTTTCCCTATTAGCTGAAGGAATGGGTAAATATTATTTGTGATTTATACAGCCCTTCAATAGCTTAGTGAATCATGTCTATACTTATGAAAATGACTTTGACTCATTACAGGCGATGTAACGACATCCTGGATTTTGCCATTCACGGCTGGTGGATTTATTTACATCGCGACTGTCTCTGTCATACCGGAATTACTTTCAGACACAAAGTTTTGGCAATCAGTGAAGGAAATAATTGCCCTTCTCCTAGGTGTTTACATGATGGTATTGATTGCTCAATATGAATGAAAAGCTTAGGATATTTATCTGAAATGACACAGATAACTGTGACACACCATACTTATGCGGATGGTATCAGAGATTTGATGATTGTTTAATTTGGACGGAGTCCATTTAAAAATGTGCAAAGAGGTCTAATGAACTGGATTTGTGCTAAGACTTATTTTTTTGCTATCAAGTAGTAGCAGTTAAAAGAATCGACTTTTATTTAGATTTATTTTGTATGATTAAAAGGAAGCGTGAGCTGGCTATGTACTTTAGGTTAAGCACTGATACATCACAGCAGTTTGTATGTTTCGTTACCCGGAAGGATCCGTGTAATGAATATTTACTGCGAAATATTTTACGTCTTTTGTACCAGGAGAACTTAATTTACAAAATGCTTGTTTGTATAATGGCAGAGCTGATGTAACTTGTTATTTCTATGTATTTGGACGTAATATCAGTATATACAATATATATATTTAGTAAATAAATTTTGTTCTTTTTGTTTTCTTATAAAAACAAAACACTAAAATACGACAAGACTAGAAAATATTCTAAAATATATATAAATACATCGAATTAAATTTGTCTAAATGAGGTAATAACCGACGTCATATCAGATTAGGACAGTAGCCGTTTTATTTCGTTAAGGCAATTACTAGCTTCTGTCAAGGATTCTTCGTTATTGCGATTCTTCGACAGCTTCCATCCTTCCTGACAGGATTTCTTAGCTGCTTCGTAAAGTCCTTTCTTCATATATACGTTTCCAAGATTTACATGAATAGAACCCAGATCTACCATATCAGGCAGTTTCTTTCCTGTGTAATTGATACGAGAAAAAACGTGATTCTCATTCATAAATTCTTTGTATTTGTACCTACCGATTTCAACTGCCTCTGATAAGTAATCAATCGCCTCATCGTCATCACCACGAAGGGAACTTATGGTTCCAAGATCATTGAGTAAAACTACAGTTTGTTCATGTTCACGGCCGTTTATCCTTACGCATAATTCGTAGGCTTTGAGGAAACTATTCAAAGCTTCTGTGTGTCGAGATTGTTCGAAAAGAAGTCGTGCGTACCAATCAAGTGTCATTGCCCATAACAGGATGACATCCTCATCCTCTTTATGTGAGTCAATGCGTTTTTGTAAACTTTTGAAACAGAAATCAAAGCCATCTTCAGCCTTCCTATAAAGTGAAAGAAAAAATTAGGTCCAATATTTAATTTATTAAATATAGAAAGAGATTATGTGCCTAATATAACATCTTGTTTGTATATAACTTACTGAATGTCACCAGTCATCTGATAGATTTTTGCCATTTTTAGACTTATATGAATAATTTTCATATCGTCTTTAGGTGTCCCAGTAGATATAAGCCTCTGCATGACAGACACAAAGAGTTTCTCTGCCTTTTGATAGTCACCAACATCGAAAGCTAAATTTGCCATAATGTCATAAATATATGTGATAGCTTCATAGTGTTGCAAAGTTTGTGCCTGCCGCAGTGCAATGTGAAGCATCTGTTCAGCTTTCTTAAAATCTTCCCTCTGAATAAAAAAGTAATATACGACTATTGAAAATGAAAATAAACATTAAAACTGCAATAATACAGTCAATTAATTAAAATATAAATTTCTTTCAAACACAAGTTTTACCTGTATAAGAAGTATGGAGCGTTTTATGGCCATTATAAGGTCAGGAATTTTATCATCTTCCTTTTCATCACTTCCAAAGAGGCCAAAAAATGCAGCTGCAGTTCCCAAAATTAATTTTTGCTTGTTAACATTATTCTCTGTTCTACGATTCTCATCTTCGTGACTGCTCTCTGCTGCAACGCCAGGTTGCAGCATACGATTCACGAAGATGCTGCTCCAAGAAGTTGTACGACATGCACTGACTGTTATACGACTCAAGTCAATTCCTCTTTGCAAGAATTTGCTAGTGCCAAGCACAAATTTAACAAAGAGACACGACATTTCAAATTACTGTTTCTTCCAATTTCATATTCCCATGATTACCCAAGAATTTTTATTGTGTCTTTCCTCGAGACACGTGTCTATGCATTCGTTTGTTTCGAGGTTATATTTAAGTTCTTTCGAAAGATACTCAGCATGCGCTGAGACAGCTGTGGTGTCAGATTTGCATATAGAAAAGCCAATTGCTAAATAGAGACTATTTACATCCATTTTAGAAAAAAGCTAATACGCAACATTATTATATCTTGAAGAATTTCTAGATATCAATCGATTTCGACGAGTCCTTTGTCTCTCTATATTTAACATGATTACTTCATTAAAATTTTGAACTTTCTCCATCGTCAGTTAAATTTCCACGATAAAGGACCGTTAGGACGAGTTTCTGATACCAAATGACAACTGTGGTAACCAATGAGAATTGGGAACCATTACAGGTAGCCAATACGCAAAATTCTTTAGTAGCTAACGAGTCACAGGTAAGTCAGTCGGTCGTGAGCGGCCGAACAGCCAGCAGGCTGAACGTGTATTTTATTTTCTACGACTTTGGACAGGTGAACTTCAGGTATCGTGCATCCCCACCAGGAGCAGTGGTTACCTTCGCGCGGTCATGAGACACGGCAACGCGCATCAGGTACGTGAATTATGTGAATTCTTGCATGCCCGGCTTGACATTTAAAGCATAGAGAGAAATTCGAGGATGGCCAGGTGGGATACCGTTGCTTAGTCTTATTAAGGTTCTTCCGGTCCGCCCACGCATAACTTAATTCTCTTCAGGAATTTTCTCATTATCTCTGTCGGCAATGTCGAGCCTCTGGGTTATTCCTGATTAAATGTCTTTCGCACGGGACACTCCCTTTTCCTGCATACGCGCTACAATACCGCCCCTATGTTTGGCGGATGTAATTATCAAACTCAAATCCTTCATTTTTCCCGGCAATCCAAAATCTCGTTCGGCATCCTTATGTTACTATAAGAATCACAGAAATTCCTACACATCTAATGTTCCTGCTACCAGTCACATTGTGTAAAGCCTCAATTACATACAGGGTGTTAAACTCTACTGAAAATATTAAGTACCATCTGAACGTAACGAATCTTCTCGGTAAAGATCCGTGCTAAAGACCCTAATAAAAAAATAAGATACGATAAAATCAAACGATTTCAATACGGCGGAAATTTTATTAAAGGAAAACGTGGGTCTTCATATTATGACGTTGTTACTCACAACCGCTTTAAACTTCTCATATAAAAAACTCACGTACTGATGTATTGTGAAATAAATAAAAAAAACAACTTCATATGACTCACGTACAAAGTGGTTAAGCAAATATTTTTCTTGTAACATATGAAACGGTACTCATTTAGATTATGTTTATTGTAGCAAGCATGAGTACCCCGAAGAGCCAGGACACGATCGACGCGACGGCTACCCCAAAATCTTCGGAGGCGCCGGTAGCGAAACAAGAATCAACGCCGGTGAAACCGAAGAACTGGGTTCAGTTTGAAGAAGAGACTCCACCGGATACACCAGGTCGTCCCAATAAAAAGACTGATTCCGTAACCGTGGAAGTTGAGAAACCTGTAGACACCACGGTTACCCTATCCAACGTAAAAGCACCAGCGGAGTATAGCGGCGCGGTTATAATCGCGGAATCCGTTCACGTAAATGTCGAAAGATCCGGCATGAACCGATCGCTCTCGGCAGAATCGACTGAAAATATTCCAGATGCTAGAACGACAAATTCTAATCCAAAAAGCGCGAGTCTCAAAACTATAGATCTTCATGACGTCTCCAATGGCCGCGGCATTAATAATATTGTCAGTACACCCATTGGTAACATACGCCAGGGCTTTGCTAATGGAGATACCATAGTCACATTGCTTCCGGTTAACACACGCTGGCCATGGATAACACCAGCTAAATTTCGACCGGAACTCGTACCAGAGGAATTAATGGCACAAGGATTGACTGTAAGTTTGAAATATTTATGAAAGCTAACGCTTTTATTTATTTCAAAATCAACCTCCGACTGTTTCTTATTTACAATTATGTTACTCAGCTCACTGTGGAGGACTACGTACACATCATGGAACTCCTGGTGAATGACGTCCGCTTCAACATGTACAATATATGCTATAAACGCATCCTCGTCCTCTGGATCTTCACAGCCTTTGTCGTCCTCTTGGGATTACTCTTCTCCGGGGTGACCGGGTTGACACTCTTTGGTCTTGGTGTCATGTGGCTCGTACTCAATGCCGCAGCAATCTTCCTCTGTATGTTCGTGAAGATAAGGCTTAATCATAATCTCGAGAAATGTATGGCTCAGGTAAACAAGCATCTTCTACGGCACAAGATACTCCTGGGACTGGATGACCGCGGCAAGATATCTTGCCATAAAGTCAATTTGTGCTTCATCTATTTTGACACCACCGACTGTATCGTGAGTTGATTCTATTATAATATTAGTCAATTAGAATTCCAATCGTAAATTATCCCCACGTACGGTTTTAGAAAAAGCTCCAGGAGGTGATAGAACGCGAGGAACGCGAGGGTAGGATCATCGGTGGCGACGAAGCTGCGGAATCAAAACGTCGCCAGGAATTGCAGCAGCGGATGGATATCGATGACAGCGACATAGTCATTCAGGGTAGTACGACGACGCGACTTTCTCGAAAACAGGTAAGGAATTATTTGTTTTGTATCTTTAAAGTTACATATTTATCAATTGAAATTACAAGATCATTATTACTTGCTAGTCACTATCTACTGAATACTAGCGTATCCTCTGCTCGGATTGGAATATTAAGAAAAAATAAGATAAATTCAATAACTCAGACACGTCCATTCTTTTATTTGAATATTTTTCGTTGAATTTGTCTTTCGTGGGGACGATGAAAATTAGGGGAAGAGCGAGCAGGTCCTCTGTCGGTACATACAACGCTGGGCAAAGGATTATCTACGACGTAGACTGGATTGGACGGTTGACGAGGAAGGTGGAAATCCTTCGTCACCGCGACACTTGTCCTCTGCGCTATGTCCTTGTCAATACGTGGAAGAATGGCTAAGGAACAAACCCCGTATCCAGGGTCGTGACTTCTGCCCTGCTTGGAGCAGCTTCCTCCGGGATAGAGGCATTTAAGAAAGATGAATAGAGAGAGAGAGAGAGAGAGAGCTAAAGAATAAAAAGATCAGGCGATATATTTTAAATGGCAAAAATGCCATTAGTTTTAAAAGAATTGAACGTCTAACGTTTAGTATTTAACCTAAAAAAAATCAAACCTATTAACCGTATCCACAGGACATTCCGGTAATAATGTAGACTTAGCTAACAAGCATCACGTATAGTAATTAACTCCTCTTGTTTTTAACTACACAAACTGACCACGATACATTTACACAGGACGCGTTAAAATTTTTAAGCCAGTATTACTACTCCAACGAGTCTCATAGTTTTACGTAACAGTAATTTTCTCTAAACCGCCAATACGTTATATTTCCACGTCAACTGTTTCTACATTCCAAGTTAAACTGCACTGAATCCTTGACAAACGTGATAATTGGCTTGATATTATTCTTTCTAACGCATGAACCAAAATAACATATAAATGATGCATAATAAGAGAAGCAAGAGTATCAAGGATTGACGCATCGATAAAGTAATGGACAGATTGGATAAGGCGGGTGGTGTGTTTTGTCAGGAGCGGGCGGAGTTGCTGTTGCTGAGGTACGCGTCCAGATGGGCGCATCGCTTTGTGCGTCGCAGACTCGACCTCGTCGTAGACTCTCAGGATCGCATGGCGGGACGTAACATCGCTACAGCGAATATCGGGCTATCAGTTCCGCCACGGCATTGCGTCTCCGCCCGCTGTCCCTGCCAATTCATCGAGGACCACCTCAAGTACAAGCCCCGAGGCAAGTTGACATTCCGCAAGCTCTTTCACGTCCCGAATTTTGATTTTTCTTAACAAGAAAGACAACAAGGGAGAGGAGCATGGTCTAGAATGACGAAAGAAAAAAGAAAAAAAAACCCATAAAATACTCTTAATGATTTAATCCGATTTTTCAATGATCTTTTTTCCTTCTTTTACACATTTTTTAAAATGATTATTTTCCTCTCTATTGTCATTCTTTTACTAGTCTTATCGACAGTTCCTCTTGCACAAAAATTAGCACTGATTCAAACGGTCCACTAATTAATCACTTTTAATGAATCTCAAGCTGTAACCTAATCAAGGGCACTCATTACACACGTTATGCATATTGGCAATAGCACGCATGTCGGCACTCAAGCTTTTTTATATCACAGACTAAGTATTCTACATCCGACTTTATTACTTATGTAAGAAATCTTGAATTAATAGTCTAAGATTTATACGTTTACGTGGGACGCACTTGTACCTTTATTATGACGCAGAGGACATTATTATGTTGGTCGTGATGTTCTTTCATTATCGCGTTTTACCGTATCACTATATTACCTTACTACTACTAGTGCTGCTACTATTACAATTGTTATTCGGTATTTTATAAGACTGACTTACACGATTCTGACTAATTCCTTCTACTTTGCTGCTTTTGTAATTCTTATACTATACACGTGGGAGCAATACTGGCTTACTACATTACTTCACTTTTATCCCGCGTCGCGATGCGATATTTCTGCAATCTCTTTTTCATATTTTTAATATGAATATTATTGTTATCATCATTAACAAATAGCACTTGGTATCGCTATGTGGTAGTTAGGTTTAAATTTTTCCCTCTGGCAGCTACCTACATTGGCCATAATATATTGGGATATTGACATCTGATGTTAATCCGGACCGAGAATCGAAGGAAAAAATTACCTTTAATTATTTTCTATTTCATTTGGACATCATTCGAATCACTCACGTTCAAATTGTTCTTGTTCGGATTCACGTCGTTCAAACAATTTCCTTCCTCGGTTTTCCAATTGATTATTTTAACGAGCATGTCCTTTGAAATCCGTCCAGTAATAATCCAAGGATATTTCCAGTTGTGAATAATACATCTTTATTCTCTATCGGAGGAGATCCTATATAGAGGGAAGGGCGTGTAAAAATAACGTACTTATATATGAGTAAATCAAGCGAAAATTTAACGTGTAATCTTATCGGGCAATAATTGAATGAAATTTAATGGAAGAGCAATGCTGAGAATTTGATATATTTTCTAATGTTGTTAATATTATCAAAGTAACAGACAGCATCTTAAATAGTATGTATTATATATGAATATATATATATATATATATATTTACAAATGAATATTTTATGTATACACTCATTGTATCTCTGTTAAAGAATTAAACAATGGTTACTTATTTTAATAAGGATCTATCAGTATCCTTTACGTGGCTTTAGTTGATTATTTATGTTGTTTTTTTTTTATTATTGTATTCTTCGTTGCTAGATACAAGCGTCACATATGCTGATTAACATTTTTCCTTCTTTTGTATATCGTTAATTAATTGCATATTAATCTCATGCAGCAGGACACAAAAAAGTGGAGGTTGCTGTGCTTTCCAATCCACGTGTTTTGAACACGTAAAAGAGGTTTGACAACATTTTACTTAAGGATCACATTGATTGAAAATTTCTTTGATCTTCCAAATTTTTATGAGAAATTTTATGTAAGCGAATTACGTTTTCTGTATTCATTTATACTTGTTCTGGAATTCATTTCTTGTGGGAAATTTTACAGATAGTACAAATTACGAAAATGTCAACAAGATGTTTTCAAAAGATCTTATGTCATGGGTTTTGTTATCTTCTAGACGCCTCGTGTCTACTTTTTAACATAAAACGTCAGGTCATGACACCTAACAACGTCTTGCGGACGCCTTTTCTTCATTTGTGCTATCTGGGTTTGCTATGTAAATGTACATACTTGAAACATTAACAACTTCTTGTGGTTTCAATATATACTAATTGAATGAATAATACTAATATTTCTGCTTTTAGTTCGCAATAAATTAATTAATATTTTCGTTTAACACTATAAAATTTTGAGCTTCTTACTTTACTAACTCCTGCCTGCCACTTTTTTCAGACTATCCACCTGGCTTCACATGGTGTGCTTACTTCAAAGATCCTCTGAACAGATCTGATCCCCTTGGGAACTACAGTGGTTGGTAAAATGTCGAATAGACAGTTAATATTTTAGTGTAATAATATCATGGGACCGTCCGGTAAACATATCAAAAGGAATATCACAATTACTGTTACATTTAAATGTTAGTATTATTGACTCTGCGAGGGTGACTCGTAGCCAATGACACGCGTGCCTTTTCTCATAGTGGAATTTTGAAGCGTAATCGCAATTATTGAAAAACGTGCCTTTATGCTAGGGTTTTTCAAAGATACTAGAGAATGCTTGGAGCTTCTTAAAAAAAAAATATTCCAATTAATACTATTTAGTGGGTAATTGCAGAGGATGCATAGTATTTCTTGACTTGTTATGGTTCTGTTATTCCCTTAATGACTGCTTTGTTATTTATGTTTCTATGTGGCGATTATGTAATAATTATAGCATATGTGACTTGGAACATGTATCTATATAAACACATTTTTTTGAATGCACAATTTAAAAGCAGTCATTGTGTATATTTTAAATGACATAAAAAACAGTCTCTGAATGTCTAAAACGTCCATAATATTTAATCTCATCTATTTTTTAAGAATGACAAACAAAAGTAATGACAATGTTTTTAATTTGTATGAGGCTTGAACTCATTTACTGAATAATATTTACAGTAGTATTGTCATATAATTTATAAGGAATAATGTAAAAATTATATTACATGTGAAATATCAAAAATTACATAGTATTATTTGCAATTCCTCCTAGTATCTCTGTTGTTATTGCTGCAGTCATTTTTTTTTTTTTTTAAACAATCTCAGGATGCACAATATTGAACAGATTGTCTTTATCACATATGAAAATGTATTCTGCATATTTTGTTGATGTATTTATTTTTACAGAAATGCATTATACTTTCATTAAATAATATATAATATGACTCGTTCAACTGTCTTGTTCCCTTCCTTCTAAATCAGTATTACCATAACATTACTCACTTGACAAGTGCTTCGAGTGCTTGATTTCGAATATCCTGAACTAGTCTTTTCATTTCTTGATCAGCACTACGTAACGAATTACTTTCTTGATGCAACGATTCATTCAGTTCTTCAAGTCTCCGATTGACATCCAGGTAAGTCTTAACTTTTCGATAAACATTTTCAGGATCGTTTGTATTCATTGGAAAATGTAAATCTTCATTACGCGGTTCACCTGAAAATATTTTGTGATCATTGACTAAAGTCCTTCAAAATGGATAAAACATTAAATAATTGGAACAAATCTAACCTTTCGAGAGAATTTTGAAACATATGTCGCTTATGTTAGAATTTTGGAGATCTTCCAAAATTTGCTCAGGTGCTGGAGGATGTGGTCTGGGTGGCAAATTATTTTTCTTATTTCCAAACATTGCTTTTAATTATTTCTTATATTTATATCTCATACGTCATATATAAAGGTTATAATTACTAACATACCAATTTATCGCGCGCACGATATCTTACGGTTAGACAGGATGTCACGTGCTTCAGTATACCAGCAAGAAACAAAAATATCTAAAATGCGAAAAAACATTTAAGGAGGGATAGTGTTTAAAATTTCTACAAATTGCAATTTATTTGACAGCGTTTCTTTTTTAAATATAATATATGAATAAGTCCTATATGGTAGAATTTTTTTAGCAATAAAGCAATTCTTTCTTTTGTAATAATACACATGAAATTTCCATAGTGTACATTTCTTTGAATTTAAATCTAGTTATATTTTGTTTTTCTGATGCATTCGAAAGTGAAAAAGTTTTCGCGCATTCTCTGTAGAGATTATAAAGGCGCGCACGGTGGAACAGGTGCGTGGATGCACCAACGCGAGTTGCAGTTATTCTGTGCAACGAGAGTACAAATTAGGAAAGAAGTGAGAGGAATAAGAAAGTTCAGAGGACGCGATGCCGTCCGCAGTGACTCAGGATAGAGTGGTGAAAAGAACTTTCCCTGTAAATATCAGAAGGGCATCAAGACGACGTCTGCCTACGGTACTTAGTAGAGATTAGCGTGAGACACAATGAGACATTTACGAAAAATTGACACATTTCACTCTTGTTTTCCCATAGTTACCTCCACGTATTGCTGCTGAGCAAGTACACATTCAGGGCGAGCATGTTGAAGGAAGCGATAACGATGAACCTGGACCAAGCCGGCTACGTCGGGGATCAGGCAATCAGCCAACAATATTGGACATGTTCTGTAAGCCTGAAAAGCCCAAAATGATTGAGTTGGAGAATGGCTCAAAGGTCTTGCCAAGCCCAAAGGATCCTAGTAGTCCTAAGAATATGGAGGACTCGAATCGATCAGACAGCTCTTGTAGTTCTCTGTCGAGTGGCTCTGATAACATAGCTAAATCAGAGGCTAGTGAGACTGAAGCAAGCTTAGACGAAGGTTTAGAAGAGACACATTCTGAAAAGAAAATAAAGCTTAATGATTTGAAGGAGAAGAAGTCTGTGGAAGTTTCAGAGAAACATGAAATTAAACGACTCAATGGTCTTCCACCAAAATGTGAATTTTGTAAACAAAAACTTATGGATTGTGAGCCGTATCAAGGACATCCAAATGGTGCCGTAGAAGAATTTATTGCCTTGACCGATCCAAGGCTTTCATTGTTTACAGGAGAAGAGACTGCCATTAATGAAAGTGATGAAAGGCCACAGAATAAATTAACACATTTTAGGTAAAAAATTATTAAGATTTTTAATAGTGCTTATCCTTAATTAACATATTACTTTATCATTTTCATTTTTACAGTGTTTACGATAAAAACGGTCATCTTTGTTCCTTTGACTCCGGTCTCATTGAAAAGAATATATTACTCTATTTCTCTGGCTATATGAAAGCCATTTATGAAGAAAATTCGCTTCCAGACGGTGGCGTCCCAACAAAAGATATGGGTCCGATAAACGAGTGGTGGGTTTCTGGTTTCGACGGAGGCGAACTTGCCCTTATTGGTTTCAGTACCGGATACGGCGAATATATATTAATGGAACCCTCCGAATCTTACGCACCTTTTATTGCTTGCGTGCGAGAAAAAATTCACATGAGTAAATTAGTTATTGAATTTCTTCTTGATGAAGTGAATCCCACATACGAAGACCTTTTAAATAAACTACAGGTACAACAAATTAATTAGTCTTCAATTATTTAGGACATCCAATTAATTTATAATCACCTACATCTTCTTTATAGACTACAGTCCCACCAAAAGGTCTGTCTACCTTCACGGAAGATTCATTACTACGACACGCTCAATTTGTCTGCGATCAAGTTCTTTCCTTTGACTCATCTGCTCGTCCAGAGGATCCGCTTTTGATAACAACACCCTGTATGCGTGCCCTGGTGAACTTAGCCGGTGTCACTCTAGGTAAACGTTTAGCTTCTCGTAGGGCGCAACGACGTGACCAGAAACATAAGAAACCAACTTGGACTAGGGCCACAACAACTCAACTGGTGAACAATATGTTCGAGACCTTCTTCACAGAACAACTGGCCAAAGACAATGCAAAGGAGCCTTCGGTGTGACATAATTTTATTTACCTAAAACGATTTAAATTTTAATTGAACAATGAACAACAATTCTACTTCTTGCTCAGGGTCCTAAACGAAGACGATGTGGTGTTTGTGAGGCTTGTCAACAACCAGATTGCGGAGTCTGCGCACACTGTAAAGATATGACAAAATTCGGTGGTCCAGGTCGAAGTAAACAAGCCTGTGTCAAAAGAAGATGTCCTAATATGGCGATTCAGGTAATTGATGCTTCATTAAAGTAATTGTATATAATCCCCATAGAATCTAGGAATTAGAATTTATGCTGAACTTACAGGAAGCTGATGACTCTGATCTTGAAGATGAGGATGAGTATGATACTCTAGCTGAGACTGCCTTAACACCACATCAAAAGATTGTGACTTGTCTCAAAGAAGTAAAGAAGGAGATCAGGTGGGAAGGTGATGCTGTGTTCGATGATGGAAGACGTAAATTTTATACGAAAGCAATAGTAGGCGATGAGGAGATATCGGTGAATGACTGTGTCATGGTGGAGCCAAGTGACCCGACAATTCCTTTGCAAATTGCTAGAGTGATTTACATGTGGGAGAATCGTCGTGGCTTCAAAATGTTTCATGCTACTTGGTTCAGGCGAGGTAGCGACACTGTTCTTGGAGAAACATCTGACCCAACTGAATTATTTCTTAATGATGATTGCGATGAGGTGCCTTTATCTTCTGTCACTACGAAAGCCACTGTCAAAAAACTTGATATACCGAATGACTGGGCTCTATTTGGTGAGCGGAACATTCTATTTAGTCAATTTGGTTAATCTAATTACATGATTCTTTAAAAATGTCTCTGAATGATTAGATAACACGGATGTTAAACTAGACAATGAATTTAAAAACTCAGACGGAAAATGTTTCTTCTATCAGAAAAGATACACTTCCGAAACGGCACGTTTTGAGGATCCTTTGTCGGATCCTCCCTGTCCTAAGAAAGAAATCAGTCACAGATTCTGTGCAGCTTGTGCCAGGTTCAGTGCACTGCAACAGCAAAGTACGCCTAAGGTAAGCAAATATTAAAGTGATATTATGGATAAAATTCAATCAATTAAACCCTACTAAATATAAAAATCTTTATATGAAGGTATTTGATCGTAAAGAAGAGAAAAGTAACAAGGAAGTCACATATGGAATGATCAGCTACAAAGGGGAAGAATATCGTGTGGGAAATGCTGTATTTCTGATACCTGGTGCTCTGAAGTTTAAGTATACGTGGAATCGTAATGAAGCTCCGAAAGTGAAGAAGGGCAAAGTTGATGAGGATATGTATCCCGAATTTTACCGGAAGTCCTCAGAGCATGTTAAAGGCTCTAATTGCGATACACCTGAACCCTTTCACGTTGCTTATATCAGTGACATTTATGCCAGCACTACCGATAAATTGGTCTCAGCGAATGAAATTTATATACGTGTTAATAAATTATATAGACCTGAAAATACACACAAGGGTGCCTCTCTTATGGAACAGGTTGACCTTAACATGGTATATTGGAGCGATGAAGGTAGTTTCCTTTTGATTTCTTTATAAACTTGATCTTTTTGTCTTGGAAATTAAACAAATGTATTTTTTTTAGTGTGTACCATTAAGTTTGATATGGTGGCAGGCAAATGTTATTTAGCTTATTCAGAGAATTTGAATCAGCCTATCGACGAATGGATATCTCAAGGGCCAAATCGATTTTATTTCACTCAGTCATACAATCTGACCGAGAAGAATTTCGACGAACCTCCGCAGCAGGCTATGAATATCGGCAAGCAGGGTAAAAATAAAGGCAAAGGGAAGATCAAAGGAAAACGTGTTGAAGATACTGAATTGAAGAAACTATTGAAACCTGTAGATTATCCGGTTGTTACTAAAAAATTGTCAACCTTGGATGTATTTGCCGGTTGCGGTGGTAAGTTGAATTAATTTTATTAAAAGATGTATGAAAATGTATTCTAGTTCTGTATTATTTTTTTTCATATTTATGTAGGTTTGTCTGAGGGATTACGAGAATCTGGAGTAGCTGATAGTAAATGGGCGATTGAAAAGGAAGAACCAGCTGCGCATGCCTACAGATTAAATTATCCAGAGACTACAGTATTTTCAGAAGATTGTAATGTTCTTTTGAAAATAGTTATGGACGTGAGTGAAAAATATTTCTCCTTAAATCGAAATGTTGTTCCTTATACAAATTTTAAAATTTATTTTCCATCCTTTTAGGGTGGTTTGACTGATGCCAATGGTCAACGTCTCCCCCAGAAGGGTGAAGTTGAACTTCTTTGTGGTGGACCGCCGTGTCAAGGCTTTAGCGGGATGAATCGCTTTAATTCGCGACAATATTCACTTTTTAAAAATTCATTAGTAGTCTCATATCTTTCATACTGTGATTACTACAGACCTAGGTTTTTTATAATGGAGAACGTACGAAATTTTGTCTCTTTCAAACGGAGTATGGTTCTCAAACTTACTTTGCGCTGTCTGGTGCGCATGGGATATCAGTGTACCTTTGGAGTATTGCAAGCTGGAAATTATGGAGTTCCTCAAACTCGTAGACGGTAAATATTACACATGTATTAAAATCTCATAATCTTTATGGACGGGATTTGATTTAAACAGCTGTTTATATTAGATTATTCATCCTGGCTGCTGCTCCTGGAGAAACTCTGCCACAATATCCTGAGCCTACTCATGTGTTCAGCAAACATGCCTGCCAACTGAGTGTCGTAGTAGACGACAAAAAGGTAATTCTTCAAAAAATTCCTGAACATTTAGTATGCTACGAAATGAAATATTGTTATTATTTTATTTTAGTATTCTTCAAATTGCGAATGGACCGAATCAGCACCATATAGAACAATAAGCGTTCGAGATGCCATGTCCGATTTGCCTAGTATCAAAAATGGATGGAATCAATCAGAAATGCCTTATGGCGGAGAACCATATTCCCACTTTCAAAGAAAGGTTTATGTATCTTTATATCCTGATAAGAAAGTATTGCATTTGCGAGCACGATTCATGCTGACAGTCTATTTTTTATGCGTAGTTAAGAGGCAATCGAGATCAGCCAATTTTGCAAGACCACGTCTGCAAGGAAATGGCGCCGCTAGTAGAAGCGCGGATGGCTCAGATACCAACGGCTAGCGGATCTGATTGGCGAGATCTTCCAAATATAGTGGTGCGACTGAGCGATGGAAATTTTTCAAAGAAATTGTAAGTTAATCTATTATTCACTAACTAATATTTAGTTCATTAGTCGCTAACAATTTATGTTGACTGTTTCTCAGGGAATATACTCACGACGATAAGAAAGCTGGTAGAAGCTCAACCGGTGCCTATCGAGGTGTCTGCAGTTGTTCAACTGGAAGATCCTGTGATCCTATAGATAGACAATACAATACTTTGATACCATGGTGCCTTCCACATACTGGTAATCGACACAATAATTGGGCTGGTCTATATGGTCGTTTAGAATGGGATGGCTTCTTTGGCACAACAATAACCAATCCAGAACCTATGGGCAAACAAGTACGTTAAGGAATGTGATATTTCTATGATAGAAGATATTGTAAAATTAATGTAATTGTATTAACGTTTTACTTTCTTAGGGAAGAGTGTTACATCCTGAACAAACTCGACTTGTTAGCGTCCGTGAGTGTGCTCGTTCTCAAGGATTTCCTGACACCTTCCGATTCTTTGGCAGTGTCCTTGACAAGCATCGTCAGGTTGGCAATGCCGTACCACCACCTCTCGGAGCTGCTGTGGGGCACGAGATAAGGAAAAGCCTGAACTCTAAGAATAATTTGGATTCAAAGCAAAAAATAGAAACCCAAGAGAATGGATGGTCCAAGGAAGCAGAGGAATCATTAGTTACATCCAGTCAAGTGCAAGTAACTGCAGAGATAGAAGAATTTAGGATTAATGATGCGAACACTACAGTACGATAGCGATAATTAAGCATTGCGTGATTATTGAATAGATGGGATATATTTTCAAATATGGAAAATGAAGAAGAAGAGATGACTCGTCGAGTCGGCCCGAGCCACTGTGAACATTCCGATTTTTTTAAGCTCAGTTATCTCTATCCTTACGCTTACTCATTAAGGGAATTGCGATATTAATTTGCAATTTTTAATTGGTAGTTTCTGCGAGACTCAATTCATTACAAACTTATTTTCTTGGCCGGGCCAGTGTTATTTATTTATTTATTGATACCGCGTTCGGTCGGCTCGGATTGATGAAATGTCGATTCGCATTGTAACTTAAATTCCGCTAGCATTTTTTGGTTACGCGATAGTTTAATCAATATCACTTCTTGAATATGGCTTTGATGATTCACTAAAAAAAAAAATGAAGAATCCAACTTATCTTTAGTATGATTTAAATTAGATACTTTCTGTAGGATTTGAGTGATTTTAATTGTAAAAATGTAATTATGAGCCAGGATTCAATTTATTTGGACTCAACAATATTTTCATATGACTTTATTTTTCAATAATCTGTTTGTTATTTCTATTTGAACCCTACTATGTATATGAACAAATTTTCTTAAAAGTTCATTTATTATAGAAAGAACCAAATAGCAATGGTTTCTCCTTACTGCCCCAAACGAAAACTAGTAAGTACAAATAAAACATTTTAACAAAGAGAAAGAACCTACCGGGTGAGCTTGAATTTGGAAATTCAAGCTTTAGTATTGAACTCAAAATGTACCCACTAATGGATGATTTATATTTATTTAATGAAAATTAGAAATCCAATTGGTTATTATTAAAATACTTAAGTATGGCATATTCTTTTTATTTATGTTATATCAACTTTGTTTTTTTTTCTACTTGTATCATTAGTACATACATACATGTACATTACGCATCAAAGACTGTATGATCTGATCTTTCATGACCCAGTAGCACCCAGTAGTAACCGTGGCAGCACGGTTGATGTTAGGTTAGTTTCTGCTAATATTAACTAAATTTTAAGAACTTTTTACTGGTAAATTTATTAGAGAAATTAATAAAAATGTGGGCAGATACAGTGCTCATTGTCTTTATTAGTGTTTGCACAGCCCTTTTGGGTGAAGGTAATTGAATTCTACTTTTTCTTTCACAATATGCTTGTCACAAATGTGCTGGCATCATCATCGTTTACATTTTTAATATTTTATTATAGGATTAACATGGCTTATGGTATACAGAACTGAAAAATACCAAAAACTTAAAGCCGAGGTGGAAAAACAGAGTAAAAAACGTAAGTCCAGTTATTTTTTAATTATTTTTAAAAACCATATTTTTGTTCTTATTTAAAGTCAATGGTGCTAATACACGTGACTATTTGTTTTTGCATTTGTAGTTGAAAAACGTAAAGAAGCTCATGGTGATTCACTAGATAAACAACACAAAAAAAAAATTGAACGAGAAGAAGAGCGGTTGAAGAATAATAACAGAGATCTATCACTTGTAAAAATGAAATCCATGTTCGCAATAGGCTTTGCTTTTACTGCATTACTTAGTATGTTCAACAGTATTTTCGATGGTCGTGTAGTCGCTAGACTACCCTTTGTTCCAATTAGTTGGATCCAGGGTCTTTCACATAGAAACTTACCTGGAGATGATTATACTGAGTGTTCCTTCATCTTCCTCTATATTCTCTGTACAATGAGTATAAGACAAGTTAGTAGATACAAACTTTCTTTCTCTTAACATTTATTTCTACCATTTATTAATATTAATAATTTATTTTCAGAACATTCAGAAAATGTTAGGTTTTGCACCATCACGTACTGCAAGCAAACAGAGTGGAAGCATCTTCGGTCCACCACCACAACAGTTTAAATAATTTTAACTCCTTTACGACTGTTATGGAAAATGAGGTGTAATATGTAAATTTGATCTTCTTCTATTTATGTACAATTATGTTCACATCAGTTGTAATGTTCTTTCACTCATTGTAAAACTTGTACATTTAAATTCAAAATAGTCACTTTCTAACAATTGTATATTAATGTCCATTTAGCTGGCCTAATTAAAAGGAAACGGATATCGTTCACAAAAAAGAAAAGAGCAACACTAATGCACTAAACTATATTTGTTTCTCTTATAGGTTCTATATTGATAAATCGATCAAAGCCCATTTTTGATAAATTTATGGTCCTAAATTCGCTGTATACGATAAGTTCCATGATTGCTCGTCCCACTGCTGGTGCTTGCTGAATTCCATGACCACTAAATCCCGTTGCAAAGCATATATTATTGTGACGTGGATGCATTCCAATTATTCCATTTTCATCGAAAGTATTGAATTCGTAATAGCCAGCCCAGGAACTGACCACCTGGAAGATAATAATTTGTCTTTTTCTTGGCATAAGGAATTTTACACTAATTATTTTTAAGATGGTTCCTTCACCTTTAAATTTTCAAAAGATTTAACTCTCTGCGCCAATATGGGCCAGATTTTTTCTTCGAAAAATTTGTGGTCCACATCTAAATTATCTATGGATGGCTCCTCTTCTGCAAATTCTGGTGAACGGCCACATATGTAACAGCCACCAAGACCTTCTCTTCTGTAATTGTATGAAATTGTGAATATTAGCTTAGTCATTTCGATTATTCATCAGTTAAACAAATAATTCCGCTAAATCTTTTATTTTACCTAAAGTAAGTATCACTTGGATCGATTGTTAACGGCGTATTCAATCCTGGGCCATCAGGAGAGTGAAAACAATATACGTATCTTTTTCTATAAAAGAAAAGTATATCATTATTGAATAAATATATTTAATTTGGAACTGATTTAAAAAAAGAAGTATACCTTGGTTCTACTGGAAGTGGTACGCTGAGAAGTCCCTTTCCAGTGCCTATGTTAGCCTTTCTAGCAATATTGTTGCTGAAAGCCCCTGCTGCAATTATTGCAATAGAGAAACTAATTGTGTTCATTGTTCCGTTTGGCAGTCGAACCTAATGTAACGTTCAAATGATAAATTGGTATCATGTGGATGAGAAGAATAAACTTGTCTTGTTACATACTACGAGTTCTTGTGGAGTGCTAAAAAAAGGGTCGTCTGAAACAACTTGTGTTTTGTTGACGAATATAAAATCGACAGCTTCACCGTCAATGTAATCCACTCCAAGAGAAAGGGCTTTCCTCTTGAATCCAAATAGTAATGACCATGGATCGAACCAGCCTTCTTTTTCTAATCCGAGGCACCCTAGTGCTATGCCCTCTGTATTTATCCATGGGAATTTATCACGTAGCATTTGAGGTGATAAAATAACATTTCGTGCACCAAGTGAATTTTGGAGTTTTGAGTTTGTTTGGAGAGTCTCTGCACCAGCCTCGGATGCCAGGAAGAGGTAACCATGGGGTTGGAACTGCACATCCACATCAGCAAATCCCTCAACACCAAGATAATCATTAATGTTACGAAGGAATTCAGAACCAAACAAGGACATCTGAATATTCTCCTCTAAAGAAAATTGTTGACGTAAACCACCAACAGATAGAACTGATGATGCTTTGCTATACTGAAAATAAAAAAAATAATATAGTTAATCCTTTGATTTCCATACAATTTATAGTATTGTGTTAGAAATTTGTATGTTACTGTAGGATCCTTTTCCACCACAGCTACTTGTAGACCCTTCTGTGCTGTGCTTTTTAGCCAGTAAGCTATAGAACTTCCAATAGCTCCTCCACCAATAATAACTATATCAACATGATTTGGAAACTCTTTTAGCTTTTTGTAACGTGCCATTGTATCTTCTGGTTTTTCATCTTGCCAGAATGACAATATATCCTTAAATGACTTTACATCTTGTTTAAGTACACGAAGGGTACGATTAATTGGATTTTCATTCTGAGGTAACTTATCTTTTGTATTATCCTCCTGTTCATGTCCACTATTGGATCCCTGAAACACACAGTAATCATATCAGTATCAAATTATACTTTTCCATAGAGAAATCTAAGTCAATGAGAGGTTTAAATAAAATATGTACCTGAGATGAGGATGAATTAGATGCTTCCCTTCTCAAATAATTTAATGATATCTTTACTGGATTTCTACGCAGCAATACATGTCGAAACATTATTAATATTCAAAAATAAACTTAAAAGCAGAAGCACTGAATGTTATCTGAGCCAGTATAATGTTCTTGTATTCAGAAATCATAAGATAGTAGCTGTAACATAACTATGAACTTTGTGCTTATCTCGGATTACAACGGGTCATTGATTTACAATCTTTAATGCCAGAATCATTTAGTAATTCATTTAATGTTTATAAAGATACCGGTTTATCACGGCTATGCACGAGGGCATCAATAGCACAGCTATCTACGTATTATGTATATGTATATGGTTACGAAACTTTATAAATTCAGAAACTTATATCGAGTTTCTCATCATTCTGAATGTTATCATCAATGATTATTACAATTTTTATTTGATGAAACTAACAAAAAATATGCAAGCCCACTGGCCTAACCGTGATAAGTAATGGACTTGATTGAAGGTATAACAAGGCGTTGGCAAAATGTCAAATAGTGACGAGAATAGACAGACATATAAAAGAGAGTAGGCATTGGTCCATTCGGTTGATCATAGTTTTTTTAATTTCGCGTCTTTGAAAATATTGAGATATTTTCCTTTAATTTTCGTCGATTTCAGATCGATGCCTTTGATTAGTTGGATTGTTAAAAAAACACCTACAATGATGCATAGATCAATGATTGCTATGCCATCTCGAAGTAGGCAGCTTGTAAGTGCTGTGAATGAACATGAATATACAGAAAATCAACAATTAATGTTTCAGTAACAGCGCTCTTTTATGATTCCATATTCTTATTACTTAATTATTAATATGGTATATATGTGGTGTATGGTCTTCCAGATGTTTACTGGACTTAGATCCTCTCCTGGTTATGCTCAACAAAGTTCTTCGATAACATCATTGAACCTGAATATGAAACCATTACCAAAGCAACCAGTTCCAGAGTTGAAAAAAACTATGGAGCGATATTTAAAGTATATTCTTGAGAGTTCCTTGTGTTGAGAGTTTGCTTTTTTATTATTGATTATCTCCATTCTAGATCACTGAAGCCCTTATTGACTGAAAGTGAATATCGTAATTCTGAGAAGCTGGCAAATGATTTCATCAAGGATGACGGTCCAGGAATAATGCTACACAAAAAACTTCTTGAAAGATTTGAAAAAACAGAAAATTGGGTATAATACCATAAAAATTGGTTAGAAATTTATAGCTATATTATCTATAAAGCGTAGCATACATATTTTTAGATGAGTGAATGGTGGCTCCAAAAAGCATACTTAGGGTACCGTGCACCAGTTATTGTTAATTCAAGTCCAGGAACTGTTGGACCACCACAGGAATTTTCTTCTCAAAGGGAAATGCAAGTCTTTGCTGCACGTGTAATCAGAGCAATCTGTGAATATGATAGAATGGTGAAAAGGTAAAGAGTTTTAGTTCCTACAAGACCTATCATTTACTCAATCAATTATAAATATTGTTTTTCAGTCAATCTATGAAACAAGAAGCTGTACGTGATATACCATTAGATATGCAGCCATATGCAATGATACTTGGAACTCATAGACAACCCAATGATGGCTGTGATAATCTCTTACATACGGATAATGCTCGACATGCTATAATTCTCAGTAACAATCATGTATGTTAAAACAAGAAGCTCTGAAAATGACCATCTGTTACAAAATTTAATAGTTTTTCAAGCTGGATCTTTACGACAACGTCGGAGAACCGATTCATGAGAGAAAGTTAGCTGCTGCTATTAAGGATATTTTGGATCGGTCATGTACCCCGGCAAAACCCGTTGGTGTTTTAACTGGAAACTGTCGTGATACGTGGGTACAAGATTATTCCTTGCTTAAAGGTGAATTTTAAAAGCAATGTTGCTCAATAACGAATTTCTGATTTACCATTGTCTATAATTTATATATTTATAGACCTTGGACAAAACCATACCATTTTTAATGTTATTGAGAATTCATTGTTTATTTTGTGCCTGGATAAACCTGTTGCCAAAGAGTGTTTCAAAGAAAAGAATAATGCTTCTGTAAGAGCTGTTCAGAGTATGACTGGTTTGAGCATGTCAACAAATTCAGGCAATCGATGGCATGACAAAACTGTTCAGGTAGACTGACTCTTATTCTAAGCATTATATTTAAAATGTTTACATTTGTTTTTTGATTTTGATTAGTATATTGTATCCAGTGATGGATTTGTGGGAATGGAGTATGAACACAGTCCCTGCGAAGGAGTTCCTATAGCTGTGCTTCATGATCACGTTTTACGATACATGTAAGTAAAGCTAAATTCTATTTGTATTGTCAAATTATATAATATATGATACAATTAGAGACAGCAAGGGAAACTGCCTGATATCGGATGACTCCAAGGACTTCTCGAGAGCTGAGCTTTTAAAATTTGAACTGAACGATAATTTAGAAGTAGCAATGGAGAAAGCCGCACGCAGAGTTGAAGGGTAAGTTCTTTTAGAATAATCGAAATTGAGGATTTTTAATTATCTCTTTTATTTTCACATATTCTGCTGCATGTTTCTTATAGAATTTCACAAGATATTGACATGGAGTGTTTCACGTTCATGGACTTTGGCGCAGACACCATTAAAAAATTAAAACTCAGTCCCGATAGTTTTATTCAAATAGCCATGCAAGTTGCATTCTACAGGACTCACAAACGACCACCAGCACATTACGAATCGGCTGCATTACGTCGTTTCAAAAATGCCAGAACCGAATGTATCCGTTCGACAAGTGTAGAATCCGTAGATTTCGCTAAAGTTATGACATCAAGTAATGCAAATATTAATAAACTGAAGGAAGCTATGCTGTGCGCAATTAACGCTCACAAGAATTTGGCTGGCCAGGTAAATAATAAAATATTCTCTGAGTTTGAGTGGAATATAATATTCTCTATTATAAAATAGGCTGCAACGGGCGAGGGTGTGGACCGTTTGTTGTTTGGCATGAAAATGATAGCAGAGACTGAGAAACTTGAAATTCCCGAATTATACAGAGATCGTGGCTATACAAGAAGTACCTATTTTGATTTGACTTCAAGTCAGGTACGTTTTGACATTTTTTTTATAGATAAATAGTCTTTTAATATCGTGATTTTTAGGTACCGTATAAGACGGCTTCGTTCATGTGCTATGGTCCTGTGGTACCAGACGGTTATGGTTGTTGTTACAACCCCAGACCAAATGACATTCTTATAGCATGTTCGTCATTCCGTTCAAGCTCAGAAACCTGTACCAAAAGTTTTGCTAATGAGCTTCAAAAAGCTTTAAGAGATATGAAGAAGATTGCCGAATCATAAAATCAGAATCAAAGAATTTATCGATGTTATAACTTTTTGTATTTTTATGGGGTTGTTGATATGTTTTTGTATAATCATATGTATTTTATTTCCTTAAAAATACATACCGCACACAAGAACACCAGATGGAGTTATTAACCAAATCAAAATTTAAATATCATTGTAGGCCTTTTAGCATTATTAATGAAGGATGCTATAGTCGTTATCACAGACTTTTGTACGTATAACTGTTTTCATGGAATTATCGCAGATAGTTTCCACTGATAAATGTTTTACAGTTCTTCATGAGAAGTAGAAGAGATCGGTCTCTCCGGTGGGAAGCCCCAAAAAAATACTGGTAAGCCCTTGACCTCGCGTTCTCTGGCAGCAAAAGCAGAAAACGATGAGATACAGTTTCCAATAAAATAGTTCGCACGACCAAGAATTGCAAGATCCAAGTGTGGGGAAACTGGCTCAGGTTGTTTATGCACACTGACCTGGGAATTGACGATTTTATGGTTTAAACATTCGTAATTTATACTGATTTTGTTACTTACCGCCATTCTGGCTAATGCTTTAGAGAGCTCATCCATCATGTAATTATTGTCTGATGCTACGTAAACGGATTTTACATCGTTTCCGTTTCTAATGACACGTTTTAAGTGACGGATTATTAAATCAGGGGATGGCAGACACATTGCAGTTGTCGCTTTACCCCGTTCGTTACGATACCCAAGACATTGGGGTGCAGCGAATAAGTTAGAAGTATTTGGAATCAGTTCACAGGCTCTTACCTGAAAATTAAGTATGATCCTTATCTGTGTGGTTAGCGTTGAATTATAGAACTCATTTTAGTAATCATATAAAATTTGTTTAGTTAAAGCTTCATGAATCCTTACCCAATCTATGCCATTGCGTAAATGAATTCCTACAAAGGATCCTTTGGGTAAATTAGTTTTAATGAAATTTCTTGCGCGTGCATGCATGTCGTCATTCCAATCAAGGAACCGTTGCAGTTTTTTATTTTCAAACTGCACTGGAAAACTTGCTGGTGCACCAGTAAATGCCAGAACTGGCCAGCTACCAGCTGTATATTTATTCCGCCATTGATGTGCCATATCAAAATGATACACATCATAATGTAACGGTCCATAAAACTCTGAGGCTACAAAGTCTATTGAAAAAGTATCCCAAAAGGGACCAAAAGGGTTTCCTTCTTTTGCATTACATGACCCAGATTGTCCACGGACAGAATAGCAAAATGCTGTAAACAAAATAATTTTTTAATCCTGGTTCATGTTACACTAAAAAATATTAGTTCACTTGTAACGTACATATACGTTGTGATGGAGGCCACAATGTAGGTGCAATGTTTTTCATAAATTTCTCCATAGTAATAACACGATGGTAAGCTTCCAGTCGGGAAACATTAAAGTACGTATCAAAAGGAACTTGCGTCTGAAATTAAAATACTTTAAAAAATATAGCAGTCTTATAAAATTTCAAGATGTTCCATACCGAGCGAATTTCACCAGTTCTATATTCCACCCATGGTGGTAGGACTAAAGTACGGTTTAAAGCTTTAGAAAAACCTAAAACTCCTAAAAAGTTATCTGCTTGGTTACCAAACCGTCCTGAAATGAAAAGAAGATTCATGAATTCCAGAAGTAATGCTGTCAACTCCAAATCATTTAATACATTGTTATTGAATATAGGTGATCTGACAATAATTGGATTTGATTGTTAGGAACCATTTCAATTATTTTTATAATAAACACTACACGTACCCATACATGGACAATAAGCGATATAACCATTAGAATCAATGTTAATATCTTCGCTCTTAATATTCCTAATGTTTATTATAAAAAGACTAAAAACTATGAATCTCAGAATTGTCATCATCTTAATTATACTTTTTGTATTTCGGTTTGATGGATACAATAATTCAATGTCAGTTACTATGGAAACGATGCTACTTGTCCCTAGAGTCCTTCTAGTAGAGGGACTCTACTTGTCCCTGTACTGCAGCGACAATTAATGATCCGGCGATTCTCTGTGGCGTTAAGAAAATGACAGATGAACAGCAGTTGATAAAATAAAATATATAGTACGCAGAGTATTCAACGCCCTCTGGACAAATTACTGCACATTAGGAGAAATTGAAAATCAAATCCCGAAGAAACATTTCTAGTTGAAAAGATCTTTTATTATATATATTATATACAGTAATGGAATCATATAATAAAAAGTAAAGTAACATATATATTGATTTTGATCCTTGTTGACATAGCTGTTTTTTGTTTGTTAGAAATTATGGCAGGTTGCAGATATACATGTCTTTTATTAATATTCTCTGAAAGATAAAATTCATTATGAGTAAATGGTAAATGATTATGTCTTTATTAAAAAATGGTAATAGAAACCTTTTTGGGTATTCTGTGCATTCGTAATCCTTTTGGCTTTATACTGGATGGTGTCTTCCTTAACAATGGCACTTTATTTATGAAATTTACTGCTGATGACTGATAAAAATAAAATATCATTAGGATAAGATAGTTATTGAATAATTGTCAAATATATATTTACATAATGTTGTACTCTTCGATAAAATCCATCGCTTGTTCTATCCAACTTGATGCGGGCCAAACTTCTTTCAGGATTAATATTAATAATTTTGGAATTGACATCTTCAGTTTTAACCTTTACGCTAAGTGGGTCATCGTCCACATTTACATTTGGAACTTGCTTTATCTCAAGACTTGGTACGCGTGTGGCTTTATTCGGCTTCATTGCTTTAGTCACGTTATGGCTTCCATTATCATTACTCAAATGTTGATCCGTCTCTACATTACATGAGAATCGACTAGGTGATAATGTTGTACGTTTTTCTGGTGTTTCTGGACATTTTTTAAAATATTGTAAAAGTTTCGTTTTTTCCAGATCAAGAGCGATTCGTTGTTTCTTAGATCCAGCTATTGAATCAACACTGGACTCGCATCTCTCTCGTTTCTGTTTAGTGTTCAAAGACAATAAACCGGATTTTTTAGATTCTATGTTCTTGGATGCTTCATTTTTCTTAGAATTGCTATTATTTTTATCATTATCATCATCAAGAGCTGTAATATCTTCCATTATTCCTGACTGATCTTCCGTTTCTGGTATTATCATATTGCACCTGCTGCTGTGAGCTTGTGAAGTAGGAATATTCTTCTTTGTAAATTTATTGACTTGCCAGTTTTTTTCACTACCTTTCTGACTTTTCCTACTAATCTCAATATCATTTATATTTTGGTTAGCTTCATACATTTTATTCATCGATGCAATTTTACTTGTCATTGATGAGACCTGTGTTCCTGGTATAATTTCTGAACTATTAGTTGATGTATTGGTTTCTGGAATATAATCACTATTCTTCGTTGAACTATTAGGTATACCACTGCTTGGTATTACATTCAGATCTTGTTGTACTGCAAAATAGTCTTGTGAATCAACCTGTATGATTTTAGCATTTGCCTGTGAACTCTGCTTCTTCGATGGTGATAATAAATTGCCAAAGTGAAATTGCGGATTGCAATAGTTTTCAGTCGAGCAGTATAGTATAGCCAATGATACATCAGTCTCGGGTATCATTCTGCGCTTAGTTTTCAGTAATGCTATCCCTGCATGAAATCATAAATGTGGTTTAATTTACATGACTTCAATTAAAACATTGATACTTTTAGGATATAACTTACGTATCGATGCATATGTAGCATCATAGGAATTCTCAGTTTGTGAGGAATCATCAGGAGGTTGTAGAATGATTACATTAGCAGCACTAAGCTCTTTCTCATGGAGTGGTTTTTTCTCATATAAAAGACACTTACCCCCTAAAATTCAATTTCTGATTATAGCTATGCAATAATATTGAGTTTTTGTAATAACTTTATGAATAAGGTACCTGCTGCCTTAATCATTCGTGAAAGGTTATTGTATTGCAAAGAAGTCAAGAATACAAACAGTAAATTCTTGAATAGTTTACTACGACATGGATTTACAGACAGTAATTTCATTTCTTTTTGTATCATGTCCTCATTTAGTGGTTGTGTATATTGAGATGAATCAGGCAATGGCTTATTTCCCCTGACAGCAGATAGCACATCTCTCCAATATCTTACGTTGACTATTGGAATGCAAGCAGCTAAAGCACAAGCAACCTGTTCATAATTCAACATTAATAATGCTGAAACTAATCAAGTCAAGAATGTTTTTAATAAGAATTTTCTACCTTCTCTGTTAGAAATCCTGTGGACACAGTCAAATGTGTAGATGACAGAACATTATTTGGTGTAATTACACCATCAATGGAGTTCATAATATCAGTGAGTTCTAGTTTAACATCATCATCTATCCCAGATGTTGCAGTTATTATAGGAATATAATGAACCCTTTAGAAAAAAATAGATTTAATTAAACTGTTTCAAATAGTTTACAGATACCATAACCTGACAAAAAACATAATTACGTAAAAATATGGTTTTCTAGGCCAAATTTTATTTTATCCAAATTATTCAAATATGTGCCTTCTTTTGTGATCTTTGTTGCATTACCATTCTCTAAAATATAACTACCATACTTCGATCCTGTATCTTTAACAATGCATTTGGAGATTAATTTGTCTGCCTAGAATTATAAGCTGATTTATAAAATGATCTGAACAAATAGAAAACTATGTTGTGTTCGATGATACCTGTATTTGTGAAATTGGTTCAATAGAAATTGATGCATGTCTTCTGCTGATTGAGTGGCCTTTTAAAATAAGGTCTCCAGATGTTCTGCCTACATCAAAATCCTTATTTGTTAGTATGTATGTCACACCACCTAAAAAAAATATAAACATTTTGAAAATTATTCATTATTTATGGTTACTTTCTTAGGATGGAAATAAACCTACCTTCTGCATCTTTTAATAGCCACATTTTTGCTGTTAACAATCAATGATTCTTTCAGTTTGAATGAATTTTTCTTTCACCACTTTTCAAAATTTAATAAAGTTTAATATTTATTTCTCTTGTTTATGATAATAGCGCGCAGTAAGCCGCACAAAGTTGCATTCTTATGCGATTAACGCTAGATAGCGCTGTCGTTCCACTAAGCAATCCTCGGGAGCTTCGACATTTTTATAAATTTGAAGTCAACTGAAGTCAACTTTTGCTATAGCGTTGAGTGAGTTTGCTGAACTTTGTTTATAATTTTATAATGAATATTCGATGCAATTGGAATACAATAAGTTTTAACTGTTAATATTTTTGTATTTTTTTAATTTACGGGAATGATACATGTGAATATCACGTTTTTGTTTCTTAGAATTTATATTTATAGTTTAGCAATTATGGTCTATTGGTATTATTATGTTGTGCATATCAACAAATTTCGTTTGCAGATGAATCAATACTATAATATGTCATGAGGCAAATGTTATTGAATTTTTTTAACCCGCATTTTGGTCCCCTTCAGGATTTAACCCCTTATTCAAGGGGTACCAGACACCCCTTTACCCATAAAAAAGGGGTAGTCCTTAAAAAAGGGTTCCACTGACTTGGCAGAAGTTTCGTCCAAGTATGTATGTTAGTTATATACTATTTATTTAATTTAAAGTGTGTAAATAACTATGTTAGACTAATCTATAGATCTTTATTTGTATACTTTTTATAAACAATGTGTAGTTAAATTGATAAATATTTTGTTTAAGAAAACATTCAATTTTTAGATAAGAATGCTGGGACAATTTTTTTTCTTCTACAGTAGATAAAGTGCACACCCTTTTGGGCATTGGGTTTACAATATCCTATTGGGGTGCCTTCCGTCTCATAGTCAACGGAGATGGATTCTTACAACGTGTGGTCTCTTTTTAGCAACCCTGGAATACGGAGGGTGCTTTTCCTGGGATTGGCTAGTGGCTCAACCTTATTGGCCGGCAAGGAATGGAAGCCATTCTGCATTTGTGGCTCTACGTTCAAAGTTGAAAGGGTGGCTCAGTCAGGCTGGGGCTGCCGTAGCCTCTGCTTCGGGGAGTATCTTTGACTAAATTGATCAATAGAAAAACAGCTCACTAGTTGGTAGTACTTAAATTACCCTCAGATAAATAATATAAATTTGACTTTTAAATCGAGAGAAAGCACTGTTAGGAATCTTAAATCACATCTTAGAGATATCTTTCTTGAAAAGGTGAAACACTAATGAATTTTTATGTTTATTAGTGCCTTGGATTATTTTCCAATATAAAAAATAGTATTAAATCATAAATGATAATGTTTAAAAAACATTAACATTAACTAATAGTCTTCTCCTCTGCTTTGAAATCTTGATAATATGGTGATAAGAACTATAAATTATTCAAATTCTGTGCATGTATTGTTTTTCAAATTTTTATATTATTAATAGTGCTTATGTGTGCGAAGGATACCATTTCGTAAAAAAAGGGTTTGTGCTCCCCTGTGTCAATGGACCACCACCCTTTCATCCCTTTTTTTACCCTTTTTTCGTCCCCTTCTAAACCCCTTTATTGGGGAAGCTGAACACAGTTTTTGAAAGGGGTACGTTTATAAAAAGGGTTCCTAGTACATGCCAAACTATTGTCAATCTAACGTTATCACACATTTTTATATATTTTTATAAAAAAATCAGTTTGTCCTCTTGCAGTGGAAAGAAATCGTTTTGTAGAATAAGCATTCTGGAATAGAATCCTTTATTTTAAATGTTAATATTAGTGTAACTAAAGTTCTGACAATAATTTTACACTGATAGGGCGTCAACAAATGCGTTTTAGCACAGAACTCCAGGATCCCCTTCCGTTCCTTGGAGGTGGCTACATCAGATCCAATGGGTGGAGCCTGCCTTCCCTACCATTTTGCATTTATCAAACAGTAGGGCAAAGGGTAGACAGTCTTAGTAAAACCTTGAGGGTGAAAAGGTGCTTTTAAAAAAGTGATTCATAATATTATAAATGGTGTCAGCAATAAATTGATAAGTTATTTTGATATGAATGTATTCTTTTATTTAATGGATAATTTTAAAAACTCATTTTAATAGAATCCCACTATCATGACATATTACATAATATTTAAAAAAGTGTCCTTTTGGAAAAGTGAAAACCAGTCATGTTGGATATCTCATATCATGAAGGTATATACTTTTTGTATTTTATAAATATCAATATCAATTGTACGATTTGAAGTTAGTAAAGAACATGTAAATCGATATACATTTTGAATTTAGAAATTTTTTAAATTGTATTTTATGTATTGTATGTCTGTTTTCGAAATAGTAATGTATACATTATAAAAAAAAAATAGTTACACAGTGCACATAGGTACAAGCATACGTTTTTATGAAAAAATAGAAGTAATTTTGAGAAAAACAAAAAAAAATTACATCCCCGTAAATTTGATAAAACCCGCGATTTTTGACACATTTTAACCATACGAGTAGTTATCTTCAGTATCCGAGGGTAACATGATTGATCTTCTGTACTATTTCACAAAAATCCCGTTAGATGGCTACTATTCTTGCTTCAATTTCTCTTATGAGTTTTCGTTACTGTCCTTAAACCATGAACTCTATCCGTTAGATGTCCGTTCTAGTAACCTTCTAATTTTAGTAAACAGTGTATACTCCGATATGAAATCTCATCTGTAATTTTTGGATAAATTGAACTATTCGAAACACGAAACGTTTGCACGGACAAATTTACAAAGTGTAAGACCAAAATAATATACATATAAAAAGCCCTCTGGTGTATTGAGATAAGTATAGGCAAATTAATTTCGAATTTATAAAATGTCAACGACAAATGAAACATTGTTTATCAAATTATAAAATAATATTAGGGCATATAATTATGCTATGAATCTTAATTAAATTACTACTGAATTAAAACAAGAGATAAAGATTGACTTAAGGACAATTTCAGGTAAAATAAATCCTACTTTAAATATCGTTAATTAATTGCATAGAAAAATATATTCGAGCCATTGAAAACTCTCGTGGCACGAGCCTGTGTACACATTTACGGGGGCGTATGTAGCTAAAATGTTTGTTCGGCTTCAAAGCCAGCAGGATTGCAATGTTTTTTTTCCGTTATTCTTCCTCTTCTACTCGTTGGGTTTACTTTACGTTTCGTTCGGAGGGTTGAAATCCTCAAAGTAACGATAAATTCGAATGTCTCGGACCCTTCCCAGCACTAGTTATCCGCGTGTGTATGTCGTTCCTTCTCTTTCTTTTGGTCTTTTATATCATCTAAGTGAATACATTCTAGATATTGTGTATTCTCCACGTTCTCTCTCTTTCTTCTCTTCGACGTCCAAGATTCTGAACGTGGATGTGTTTGCATTCATCTCCCATGAGAGATGCGTACGTTGTGCAATTTCGAAAAGCCGATTTCAATTCCGTCTTCCTTTTCAGGGTGGAAAACTCGAGAGTCTGTCGACAACATCGTCGTCGTGGTCGTCGTTCCTCCTCGTTCTCGCACAACAGGAAGGGCTTGGTTGGAATCCTGAGGATTACGGATACAACCGTGATGCTCTATTCAAACACGAATGTCTGCATCAGGGAGTGCTTGCATAGTACTCTGTGCACATTGTGCTTTGGATGATAGGTGAGTAAAGACTTATTATAAAAATAATATAAAATAGAAGCAGTGCCTTAAATTATTTCTAGGTTAGGAATATTTTACTTTTGCTATAAAAATCGAGAAGTGAATATGTAAGAAAAATGATGGTAAAAATGGTAAGCATGTAGGTTCTCGAGTCTTCTGAAATCTCGGCTCCGGGCTACGTTTCCTGGAGCTTTATCAGAATCGAAGAAAACCGTCGGATTGAAAATGTTACGGGTGCGCATTCAGTCGGGATTGAGATTCGATACAAAGAGAACCGTGGACCACTGCTCTGAGATCTCTTAGCCAGTGGGGCTTTACCCGATGACGGGTGGGGAAGGAGGCATTGGAAGAATAGAGTTGACGGGGCGAAAATCATGGAGGCCGGAACCGGAAACGAAGCTCATCGTTATATCGCCTTGTGACGTCACTTGGAATCGTCGTCCCTCACACACATGCATCATTTACTACATACGTATCAGAGGGTATATATTACATGGAAGATAAGAGAATGAGACAAAAAGGATTAATAGGTACTGGTAATGGAATTTAAATATTTTATCTATACCGTTACAGTGTTATTCTTGAAAGTTTATTTAAACCCTCTGAAATTGGCGGTCACGTTCCCGCTTATTCCTGCAATGACAAGGTACGTTGTCGGCGGCGATGTTTCCATTCCCAGGGCGTCGTGTGGGCCGCATAAACACATTTTTATATGACACAGGAGTTGATATATTTCCAAGCCCAGGATGGTCCGGCACCGTCGGACACGCACAGCCTGGGTCCCTCGGCCGTGTTTGCGAGCCAGCGAGTCGCAGAGGTACACAGAGATACGTAAAGAATAGGGATGGAGCGTGTGAGATGCCAAGAGGAAGAGTCTTTGTTCTGGGGTGCGGGCGTCCTGCCACTATTGGTATTCCTGGCGTCGCGACGCCCTCGCCTCTGCTCCCTCAATGCCTCCTCACCCTTCATTCTCCAACCCTCTAGCCTTCAGCGACCCATCCTTCTTGCCTGTCCGCCCTCTCGCACCCTTGCATACGCCGGAAAGCGAATACGTGATTCGTTATTGCAAGATCTTCCTTCTGGCTCGTTTTCTCTTGTCCTACTGCGAGAACCTCTAATAATGGAAGGTCCAATAGGGATTTAGATTCTTTCTTTTTCTTTTTTTTCCCCTTTCATTCTCATTATTCTCTCTCTCTCTCTTCGGTTTCATATTTTATTGATGCTACTCCTTGTTCCTTTATTAGTGGACATTCAAAAATCTACTTTTGGAATAATTAGTTTAGCTGACAGAGATTGACAACTCAAAGTGGAATTAGTTACTTAATAGCAATGTGAAAATTGGTAGTATGCAGTAATGGTAGGTAGTAGGTATGATGTAGGTATGGGACAGCATATACTTTGTAAGGTAGATTAGCTCAAGTTACAGGACTAGTAGTAAAAACTTTACAGCTTCGTAATGAATGCAAGAAATAATTATCTCATGAATACATTATCTTTTAGTGGGGCCACCAAAACGTAAGAGGAGCGTTAAACGAGCCAATGATGATCCTGACTCCTTGACCCTATCCAGGGCGAAAGTCCTTGGTAATAGTTCTTTTAATTTCCTTCTATTAATTCCACCATAATACTTTGTATTCAAATTACAGTTATTCTAGCACGTAAAATACATTAAACATTGACCATTTTATTTACAAGGATTTTTTCATTCAATTCTTAAGCATATTCTGCTAGACGAGGCAGGTCTATACGCCAGAAGCAGGTCATATAGGCCTTTACGCTGTAATCAAGGAAAATCTTCAAATCTTTTTCCAAGGAGAACATTTTGTAACATGAAATAGCGTCTGAAATTCATTAATGGTTTTGTGAGTTCTCCAACTGGATCTTCATCTTCTTCCTCACCGCCAAAGTATAAGTAGACTTTGATTTACCAAGTGTATTTACACATATTTTTCCATACAATATCTCTCAAAATTAGTCTCAGATGAAAAGTCAACATTTTAGGTATATTTTTTTTTCAGCAGCCAGTAATTTCCTCCTTCGATTTTCCATTCCAAGAAGAAGGTCCATCCACCCTCGTCCTGGGTTCTTCATATCCCCAGAGTATATGAAGGCTACGCCATATCTGCATCGGTTAGATCGACACGAAAACTGTTATCGGTCAACTCGCTCAGCCATATCAGTGGAAACCCTTTATGTGAATACGGGCAGTAGCTTGGGGCGGCTTGTCACGGGGGAGGGTGATTGATCGCCATCCACGACACCCTGGTTTCCCGTAGTGGATGGAGAGGGTTGGAAACCCTTTCACGCTTTCACGAATCAGACCCAGGATCACGTTCAGCCTCCTTCCTAAGGTACACGGTACATGCATCACACCGAGGAGATCCTTTTCTGCTTATTCCTCTCTATTATTTGCGGACCAGGATATCTTTACAGTAAGACTAATATATGGAGGTTAAAGAAAAAAAAAAACATTTCATTAATTACACTTTTATTAATTAAATCAATTATGCGTATCATAACTGTCATATGACTTGTTACAGAGTGAATCACGTATATTGCACAGGCGTACAAAAGTGGTATTTCTCTGAGAAAATTTCTTTTTTGGAAAATCCTGTTGACTGGGATGAAGTTCAGTAAAGATGACAGCCGCTCATACATCAGACACCTAATTCTTCCTTGCGGACGAGTGTTAACTCTTATATCTTATCCATTTAGAAGTTCCATTTGCCACCCTATCCGCCCCTGTCATTGCCAAATTGACGAGTTATATCGCGTATCATCATTGATATCCTATACCTACTTTGCCCTCTTTCTTAATATTATCTTTCTCGTGGTGAACTCTGGGAGGTTAGAGACTGCAAGAGAGCTCAGCGCGAGGGAAAGAGAAAGAATTATCGAAGCCCCGTAAACAAGTTGCGAAAGGGTGCAACCCCACACGATGATCCAGAGTGGTTTTCTCGATACCGAACTGTTCTCTCTATTAACGGAACTCGGTTATGCTCTTGTTCTGCCGGCTGGGGAAAATTACAGGTCAAGTGGTGAATTACTTTCCTCTCTGAGAATGTTCTGCCACATCAGAATTAAAATTGACTTTTTTTTTTTTCTTTTGAATTGTGGATATATGTATATGAGATTTGGAGTCAGATGATTGCTGGTTTTTTTTTTGAAAATATAACTTCCTAGGAAATTTTCTTATCCAGCAATAGGGACTGGGACAGCTGTGAAAGAGAAGAGAATTTTGAAATATGACGGCTAGCTGAGGAATGCCCACTGGTCTAGGTATCAAGAAGTCGAAGGATGATGGTAGCTGGAATAAAATTGGATATTGCGGTTAAATATTTGAAGGAGACGATCGGCCGGAAGACTGGAGTATCCCTAGGGAATTTCTGCATCCCCTCAATACTAGAAGAGGGGGGGGGGGGAATATATGTCTGAATTTTTCGTTTTCCCGGGGCGCGCGAAGCAATTAGTAAAAAAGCTTCCGTAAGCATCAGATCGCTCTACGTAAAGCTCCTATATACTATATGTATATACACAGTCTATGTGCAAAGGAATATATATAGATATATACTTTCTGGTGTTAGCAAAGTTGTAAGGGTTCCGCATCATGTGTGATACTTCAGTCGTCTCAACCTGCACCCTGTTTTGCTGTAGTTTCAGTATTTCATTCCCAGGGGATGCGTGAGTCTGATATTAGGAAACGCAGAGGGTTAAGAGAAAAGGTTTTCATGTTCCTTCCAAGAGATAAAAAACGGAGATTGATAATGCTGAAATATTTGAAAACGAGAAGGGTAGATTGATACTTACGTGACCGTAGATACAGCGATATGAGCTTCTTTAAAACTAAGATACCCTCAACGACCAACTCTCTACCCTTATCTATACTGTACGCTTTCCAAAAACTCCCGTGGGCCTTGACCACACATAGATCCGGAGAATGTGTTTTTTCCGCGCTCTCAAACACGTCACATGAATAAAAAATATCCTTCAAACTTGCCAACCCCAGCGTCTGGGTTGTCTTATAGCGCCCCTTGCGAACCCTCCACTCAGAGTAGCCGACACTTGCCAGATGCAGAGGCGTGGCTTTATGTAACTTCTTCCTCACCTGGTCTGCGTTATTTTCCTGCATGCATTTTTTTTTTAATAGAAATTTTACAATTTTTTAAATTACAAAAATTTTTTACTTGCATTCACTAGATTTTCTTATCTTCGTCAGACAAGTTCCCCTTCGAGTAGGCTAGGGGTTGAAAGAGAAGGTGAAATAATGGCAGGCTTCCTTTGCACAGTTTTGCCAAGGCTAACCCTAATATATTGGATCGAGTTTATAGGTGTCCCGGTCACACGGGACAGGGGGTAGTATAGCAAGGGGATGGGTGTATCTCGCGCAGAGGGGGTGGCTCTCTAACGTTACGGCTCATAAAGCATCCTCAGTCACCGAGACCGCCTGGGAGATCCTCCTGTGCGTATCCACGTATGTCTTTCGCCATTTTTATTTTTACTTTTTTTTTCTCTTTCTTTATCTTCGTCTTTTCTTTCCTACTTTAATTTTACTCGGACGCCAGCCACGCTCGCCGCACCCCCCCTTGCCTCTGCAAGGCACGTTTACTGCTGTTCGCGCACTTTCAAAGTAATAGAATCCTGATCTTGTGAGATGCCATCTCTCTTTGTAAGTTCATTCTTGAAAAAATCTTAGGGTCAATCTTGATTTTTTGATTTCATAAAAAATATTTAGGTTTATCTTTTTTTTTTTGGAATTTTTCACAATTTTGAGAACCCCTGAGCATGTGTAATATGAAGATAAGATGTCCCCCATGTCCCCATGTGCTGGGGTCCTCGATCGAGGATTATGTTGCCATCTACGTTGGCACACACCCCTGGCGAAAACATCACATCCGAACAGCCGACCACCAGAATCACCCTCGCTCGACCCCCTGGATTCTTATAGTTTCTTTCTCTTGGTCGTATTCGTTGAGGAATACATATTTCGAAATTTTATACTCGAACAAGGTGATGTCATGGAAAATTATCTAAGGATGGTCTAAGAAAACTTCTTTTTTTTCCTTAGTCGAACCCAACCAAGTTATCCGATACAAGCGTATAAACGGATCGGCCATCGTTATTTGGATGGGTTTAGGAGAGGGCGGCAGGGTGCAACCCTTAAAAACGAGAAGCCAGGGCGACCCGTTATAGGGGGAGATGACGAGCAAGATGGCACCCTTATGATTTTTTAACGCGGAGCGCTTTCACGGCCTTATGGCGCGTCGCGTAACACGGCTGCCATGTTATTTTAGAGGGGTGACTCGAGGACTCTTTTTTATGAATCCACCAGGAGTTACCCGCTGCTCTTCTGGGGTTGTCCTGACCGCCACCCCCGGGGATGTTACAAGTTATTCTGCCCGGGTAATGTCTCGTTCGTAAACCATTCCCCTATATGCGTTACAGGGTCGACTCACCATTCCGGATTTTCATCCCCTTAAATTTCCAAACTTATTCTAAAGCTATGTTTATCGGACCCTTGTGTTTTTTTAAACGATTAAAATTTTTCAAAATTATCCCCTCACCATTGATCTACCCTTGTGACTCTTTTTATCGGTTAAATTCAATTTTTCCAAAATTTCATAACTATTCTTTTCGTTTCTACCCTTATTCCAAAACGCGAAAGTGCATGCGTGCATGTCGTCCTACGAGTTGGGGTGTCTGATTCATATAAATCTAATAGCAGGGTGGCTTGGTCATTTTCCATAAACAACGATAAATGGCCGTGGGTCCCGCGGGAAGTTGCCAAAGCGTTTTTGTAAAATGAGGGAATCATTTTTTCATCCAATATAATATGAATATATATATATATATATATATACAGGGTGTTCCGAAACTACCTGACCCGTTGGGTATGGCGGTGTTCGGGAGGCTTCAATGAGGAAGTTGCCAAAGCGTTTTTGTAAAATGAGGGAATCATTTTTTCATCCAATATAATATGAATATATATATATATATATATATACAGGGTGTTCCGAAACTACCTGACCCAGTGGGTATGGCGGTGTTCGGGAGGCTTCACTGATCACTAAAATGACCTTCCTTTTGTCCGGAAGCTCTTAGTTTTTAAATGGGAGCAGGTCAAAGTTGACCAATCAGAGGGAGGCGTCAAGAGAAACGTAGGCACCTGCGAACTCTGAGTTTTCTTCCCTCTCTTTTGTTTCTCGGTGGCTTCGGGCAGGATGACGTCAGCCGAAGACATGCCTATTGGAAACAAGAAACAAGCTACCGAGAAAGAAAAGCGAGGGAAGCAAAACTCAGAGTTCGTAGGTGCCTACGTTTCTCTTGTCACCTCGTTCTGATTGGTCAACTTTGACCTGCTCCCATTTAAAAACTAAGAGCTTCCGGACAAAAGGAAGGTCATTTTAGTGATCAGTGAAGCCTCCCGAACACCGCCATACCCACTGGGTCAGGTAGTTTCGGAACACCCTGTATATATCACGAGTAAAAAAAATATATGATAAAAAAACAAATTTAAAGCGCACTGCATATCGGAATATATGTATAATTTGAATCGTAAAATAAAATCTCTTATAATTTTTCAAAAATTTGATTCTCTCCAAAATTCTTTTTTTTATACAGTCGCGCGTCCATAATGCCCATTTGGGACTTACGATTTTTTCATTCTACAATAAAGTAAGAAAATGCTTTTCCCCTGCAATGGGAGGAGTGTCACCAAGGTACAAGGGCTGATAGAGGGTTTCTACCCTATAATTTCTCGCCGATTTTGCGGAAACGTTCACTTTTTTTTTCCCTTCTTCTTCTTTCCTCTCCGTTTCATTCTGTCTCGCTCCGGTCCATAAGAAATTCGCAGAATCCCAAATGCCCAGGAGTAATGTATGTCCCGCATTTCTGGTGAGGGTGCGTTTGATTCATTTCACCTCGACTTCTGGTAAAACCACCCCTACAGCGAGGGGGTGAGTCGTCATGCCGGATTCGTTACGCGTTTCAGCGACGTGCTCTTTCATTGCCATACATTTTCTCGCATACTTTTTCCTTCTTTTCTCCAATTCCTTCCTCTCTACTTCACTCGACCCAGGGGTGGAAATCGCACGAGACTTTACATGGGCGTTATAAGCCAGTGCACTTAATTTAAAGATTGTCGAGTTTCACAGGGGTTGTGGGTGACCCTTGGGGTGAAAAAAAAACATCCAGCTCCAGGAGTCTTTATAATTCTGAAATTCCACTTTACAGTTCATTTGGCTGCCATACACTGATATGAACGATCGGCATGTTGTGGGTTTCAGTAATTCATTCTGACGAGTAAAATTTTTAATTTTTTTATTAAAATAAATTTTCTAATTATCTTACAGAAAATCAAATGGACAGCAAGACCAGGAGAAACGGCTCCAGGGATCTTCTTAATTCTACAAGATCTGCCTGCGCAGGCCGTACGTCAGGACAGCAACGTAGGCAAGTGGCAAATTGCTGGAGGGTTGTAAAAGCGACACAGAAGGGCTGAAGGGAATGAGAAAAAGAAGGTAAGTCGAAGGTAGTCGTAAGAAGGTAAGTAGATGAGTATTCCAGAATCATTGGTAAAAGTAGTAAAAGTACGTAGCATCGCAGACAGTCAGTAATGTTCCACAGCATCCGTATACTGCTGGACCAAACCAAAGTGGATATAGTAGAACCTATAAGATAGCCAAGCCAGGCCAGAACGAAGGAGCAGAGAGAACGAGTACAAGGAGGATGGGAAGATGTACAAGTACGTGGATGAGAACAGGACCTGAGTATGAGGACGAGAAAGCAAGGCGGGTAATCTGTGATTCAAAGAGAGCGATCCATCTTACGACTTGCCAGGATTCAATCGTCGGCATTTGTTTGTGAAATCAGTCCCAAAGGACTCGTCTGTCCTTTGACTCCACTTTGGTATCCCTTGCTTTCACGAGATAAGCATGCGCCATTTTCGATAGGAAAACAAATTTTTTCTTTCCCTTCGCCGGATTCGAACTCACAATTTTGACGAAAATTTAATCTCATCTTTATCGCTACCTTGTATCTTTGTCTCTCTTCTCTGTTTTTTGCTCCTATGCGTGAATAAACAAACAGGGAGAAAGTAGGGGTGAAACTAGAAACAGGAATGGAAGCGAATTTATGGGCAGAACGCATGATCGAAGCCAAGGAGGGCTAATAAGGCCATATATATTTATTCAGTGGGTGGGGCGGGTTTTATGGATCGACTGACGGGGGGTGAATTGTGCTTTCCAGAGGGATGAAGTAAAGGCACACCAAGTGGCTTAGCATTCGGAAATACGGAATACGGGATAGATTCCTACTAGATCCGTGAGAGATCCCATAAAGTGACCCGGGACCTGATCTGCGCCCTAGTCCGCATGCAGTTCGGTATTGGTTCTATGACCCCCGAGGATGACCCTTCTGGATGAGAAAAAAAAAATTATTCCTCTTTTATCCTCGTTCGCTCATGATTGCGTTTATACTATGCTTACCCTGTACAACTGTACTGTAGATTCTTATCACACTGTACCGTACTCAGTGATACTTCTCATTTGTTTATATAAAATAGTTTCTTTTGCCGTTTCACTTTGACTCTAAAATCTTTTCTTATGTATATTATTTACTCGAATCCTTATTCGCCCTGATTTATTTCACTGTTGGGATTTATATAGCGATAGTTGACATAACGAAATCCTTGGATCAGCTGTGCATTAGCATTAATTATGTGACACGTGAAGAGTAGCATGTTCCTTGGATTGACTTTTAGCGCAAATCTCATGAAAACAAGGCTATAGGCAGTTAATGCTGTAATGTAAAAAAGAAATGTAATTAAGAAATATTTTTAAATTCTTTTTTTAAATGACATGTATTTAAGCTACTTACCCAATGTCACGTTGCCGCTGATAATTCGTGGACTCTTTCTCATGTCGTTTATCGCCGCTATGGGAATCATGAAGTTTAATATAGGCCCCCAGAAATGTGTGCTTGTAAAAAGAGGTTTGGTCGATGATCAATGTTATCAATATAAATTATTTAAAAAGTTATTTAAAAAAATGTCCATACCTCATTACGTAATTTCGTGTTTCCCTGCTGATGATCAATTTTCGCAATTTATCGGCCATGACGAACTGACAGGAAGATAACTTTTTTTTTCCTCCAAATATTAGCCACGAGACGCTACAGCGTTTCTATGTAGCTTCTGGATTTGCGCAGCGACTACGCTAAATCTAGCTTTATTGATAAGCGACGATAATTAAAAATCCTTCGGTCACGTTATCGCGTTCAATGTTAGCGCTGCAATAATCATTGAACTGATTCCGTGGCAGAGTCAGTGACGATCTTCAATGACTGAGAAGACGCGAGAAAAGGCGCTCCGTAGTAGAAAGCGATGTCGTTCTCATGAGAATCGCGAAGAACCGGAATTTCAGGCTAAATGCCAAGTTGTTGCTCATAAGGAAACAACCGTTATAAGAAGTAGCCATGAGATTTACATAACGCCTGAGAATTTGTGTATCTTATATCTACATTAATGTAAGCATAGAGACAGACTTACTGATAAGACCGTATAAAGATATCGCGGGGTAAACAAAAGTATTTGCCAAATAGACTGTGACGTATCGAGACCAATGGCGTGAGTTTAGAATTAATTTATTTTTTAATTATCACTCAGCTGATAATCTTGTTCCCCTTTGTATCGCTGTTTGCAATAACTCTGTAAGGTACTGAAGAATGGTAATGAAGAGAAATCACGATAACACGTTGTATATGTAATTTATTGAATGTCTGGTATTTTCAATTATTTTTGAAAATTTTTTAATCACTATTTTGTCCTTTTCTGGGCATAATTTTTCGACAGTTTTTATCCAAATTATTACTTCTCATGGGTTATTTGAGTTTCATAGTCATTCCTGTTTTTCATTTGATTTTATCTACTATGACTTCCGGGTCCACCGACTCCCTCCTTCCCCCTCTTCATAATAAATGCACAGGTTATTATTTCGCGCGTATAATATTGATGGCGCTATGAATGTTGCATGGGGGTACGTGGCCTTCCAAGTCGTGGGCATCTGGGGATGGAAACTTTTGTAGGTGGGGAAAATACGGACCTGGTAGTGAGCATGCGCTAAAATGGGGTGGTATTATTGATCTGAAGGGGTGACTACTACACATCCCCTCAAACTTCAGGAGCGTGTCGATTCATGTACGGCACCCTTGATTTACGAATTTTTCCCTTGAACCAGTTCTCATTAATTCGCAACAATCGGGTTAGCAGAACAGCAGTACAAAAAATAGGTTGAACTTTTTTCAAAGAAAATAAAATTTCTAGTTCAATACAAATGTACACGATTTACATTGACACTTTTTAAATATCTTTCAATATCATCCCCTATTAAATGGGCTTTTAATTCCTCATACGTACGAAATATTAAAAAAAAATATAAATTTTGCAATTTCCTGTTTTTAGCTTTTTCACAGCCTGTCTCTATTTACTTCATAAATCCCTGGAGAACATTACGTAGTTTTGCACCACCCTGTCCGGCAGCTTCATCGACGTCCCTGAGAGCAGCGAACCCCCTGAATATGCATTCCTGGCCGACTAGTACTGCCTCCAGGGTCGTTCCCTTCGAAAAGCAAATCCTTACCAGCATCCCCTAAGCCACCATCCGAGGCACTCAACAGTATTGCTGCTATTTTCAGTCAAGTACCAAAGACACCCGATCCTTGGAATCTCCTTTACATGCGCCAGTCTATTTGACACGTGGATATTTACGCTTTCCCATCCATATGTATGTGGAAACTGAAAAAGTAAGTAATAGATTGAAGCACGGAAAACGGTGGTACAATTTTACCGAGCAACCTCAGAATCATAGATATAAATGTTCAATAGTACAATATCCTTTTTTCGGGATTTTTTCCCCTCTTTTTCTTTATATTTCATTGTATTTTTTCTCAGGTACGGGTTCGAGGGTAAATTCGTCAGTGGAGTCTTTGATGTTTGCTGCTGACGTACAGGAACCTTTGCGTTTGGGGACCCAAAGCTGATCTGAATGCGGTATACGTATTTGGCAGGAAAGGAGGATAACCTCCCTTAGCCTTTCATCCCTCATGTACCACCACTCCATACAAGTCACCCTACCGTCTACACCCCTTACATCAGCTAGGTCGAATAAAAAGTCGCGCGTTTGCAAAAACTCGTTTCGTTTAAGGAATCGAGGGGACCTCGTGACATCTTAACTCCTTTCTCTCTCTGACGTTCCGCTCCTGCTTGTATTTTCTTTCACTTTCTCTTACTCTCTATTTTTCTCTCACAGTCATTCTCACTCTCGGTTTTCACGTTACTTATTCTCGTGCGGTTACTCATCTTCTTTCGCCCACAAGGAATGCGGCTTTAAGGAAGAAATGAATGCAAGATAAAATTTCATCTGACAATTAGCCATTTTAACATATTTTTCCGATCATACTAATGGGCTTAATTCGAACAATGCCCTTTCCGGTGGAACGAAAGTGTCGCAGAGTGAATAAAAAATTAATTCACGCGAATAGTGCTTGTATACGTCAATTAATTAAATCGAATAAGATTGAATTCGGGAATCTTAAGATCGTCCTTCACGTAAATTGTAAATGGCTCGGATCGAATTCGCAATTGGTCCTCCTTTATTGGGCTCCCCTTTCATTTGTCTCCAATCGCGAAAATGCAAATGCAGTCGCATTCGGCGCGACGTATCCAACGGAGCAGCTGCATTGTGCACAGCCTTATTTATGCACTCCTCGCGAAGTAATTGTTTCCACCAGACGCAGCTGATTCCGTGATTTCGCAATTCCCTTGATGCACCGACAGACCTAAGGGCCGATTCGCATCCGAACGCCGCGCGACTAACCGGCTGCCTGAAGTCACAGGAAATGTAGAGAATTAAATCGTTATACAAAAGTTCAGAAATTCAACACACTGCTACTGATAACGAGACGTTTTTTTTTTTTGTAAATTAAAATCACAAACTTTTTTAACGTTACTTTCAATTTTTGAAAAAATCGTCATGCTAAGGAAACGACGACTTTCTCCACGTCTTTTCATCCCTCCGTAAGATCCACAGTTTTGCTTCACACGTTTTTCCATTTCTTCTTGAAGCGTCTAGCGCGTTAGGCGAGATGCGCACTCAATTCTGAAGCACTTTTCTTGGGCCCTTTCAAAATATATGAAATAAAATAACACTTGGTGAGTGCTCGTGGACGAGGAAGGGCATAAAGAAGGTAGGAAAAAGAAATGGCAAGGATTTTGTGACAATGCTAGTAGGAATACTCATACCAGAGGGATGGTACATACCGTAGATCTGTGTATCATATAGTCTGTACGAGTACCTTAAGATATTTTTATATTTTCCATCTTTCGTCCCACTCCATTTGAAAGGTCCAAGTGACGTAGTTGACCCCCTTCTTCAAATTTGTCTTCTTTTGATTATCCTTCTTTTGGTACCACGCAGCCACCATTGGAAATCATAGAAAATACACGTGACTACCGAAAAAAAAAAGAAGTGCAATATAACACAGAGAATTATGAGGGCTACCCGTGAATACGGACCATTATTCCGCACGATAAAGCAATTCGTCCGCACTTACGGAATTATGTTCTTCCTATTTAGCATCTACGCGTAGTATCGACTTTGGTATTGGAAAAAGGGGACCGGATGTGAGGGGTTGGTTATCGATGAGAATGGAGAGTTTCGAGCATCCCTAAAACAAAAAATTAATAAAAATTATTCAGTGTTCTCTATTGCCTTCTGAGTATTATTTAGGATTTAAATTAGATTCTTCTGTGCGTGTGATATTTATATTTTTAAGGGACATTGGAGGATCTACTTGGTTTTTTCAAAATATTTTCTCTATTAAGAATCTGAACGTCATGATTGACAATGTTAAAATGACTGGAGACGTCGGTACCGATTTTTGGGATTTTCTCACATCACATGTACCTCACTCTATCTAACTCCTCTAGCTCGGAAGTAATCACAATATGTATGAGAGTCGAGAGATCTATAGAGAAGACGCAAGGCACAGCTCGCACCCAGTTTTCTCATCGGAATTGCAATGAGTGCCGTTTCTTGGCCGAGCCAAATACATTATTCCACGCCCACGCGGTATAATTTTACGCAAAAATGAGAATCTACAATAGGAGTTATTATAGACGTACTATGGGCGAATGCGTGAAACGTTACGCGGATCTTTAATAGAGACTCAGGTATTTTTGTACATGAATTATAATAGCGAAAGAGTAAAAAAAAATGAATGGATGGCACGAATGGTAAAGAAGGATACAAAAATGAAAATGGCGGTTAGGGAGGTGTTCAAAAATATCAGGCCGTATCTGATAAATATGGAGACGGATCCGACGTGAGTGAGTCGGGACGAATAATATTCGGCGTATTTTCCTTTGGTTTACTGAATTATTATACGATTCATGTTTCGGATTGACTCACAAAATACAAAACGGAAGAGAGAAATGTTATTGTACCGGGTTGTTGGGGAAAAAGGTAGAAAAGTGGATGGATCAGGACACAAGGGGGCTGGATATACCTTCGAGGTAAAACCTTGTATTTTTACAGCGTATATTCGCGCGGATGTGAATGGCCGCCGTAAAAATATACTGAGAATAAATGCGCAGCGTGCATTACATTTCTACCTTATGCTTTAGTCCATTTTTTTCTCTCTGTATACTCACTCGAAATGGTGCTTAACTTTTTTTTTCTTTCCATTTTTACGCAGCACCGATATCGCAGGATTTTCTCTGGATACTGTTCGTGAAAATAGCTGGGCAAAACACTGCGCAGTAATATGGTTGCTAATTTAATGGCGGAATGACGAGTGGTGTACGCAACGAAAAAGCACTCGAGAAGAACTCCTGAGTCCTCGTGCGCATCAGCATTTAGGAATCCAATATCCTCGGATTGAAGAGCAATAGAAGAGGGCCGAGAGGGTAATTTGACTCTAGACTCCTTGATCCCTGATCCTGTAGGATCCTCCAGGATTCTCAATCTAGGATCTTGTAGAAACGTCAGTCAAATATGACAATAAGTTTATGGGGATCCCTTAGCGTAGAAACAGGAAAATAAGGGTGTAAATTCTTCTAAAATAAAAAAAGAAGCAATAAGTCAGTGAATGTACATATTGAATTAATTTTTCATAAATTTGTACTTGTATTCAAATTACCTTGTTATCCACCTTT